GGGGGGCGATTGGGCAGGGTTCTGCGCTGCAAGTAAAGACGCGCCCAAGGCCGACAGCTGAACACCACCCACGTTCGCAACAATCCAACCGCGCAAAAGGCCGTCGGGCTGGCCCGTGTTTTACTAGCGGAGGGAGGGTAGCGCGAGCCGTGACGGCATGAATCGAGGCGAGCAGACTGGGTTCAAGCAAGTCGGGCGCAGCTCTTGACAGGCGCACATCACCTCGGCCATCACAGAGCGGCTAATCGCCTCGGATGCGCGAAACAAAAGCTGACCGTCGGCTCGTCTGGCTATGGCGACCATGCCAGCATGTCAATTGGCGTCTCGTGAGCTTGGGCGGCCCGCAGTCGTAGTTTGAAGTCGTTGTCGGGCGTGTCGCGCTGTGGGTTTTTGGCTGGGCAGGGAGCAGGCTCACAGCGACGGTGCGATTGGAAATGGGCAGGCAACAGAAAAGAGAAAAGGAAAGGAAGGCGTGGAGAAGGCGACAGGACAGACACCCGGCAAGACGGGCGGGCAGGCACGGCCCTCCACCAATTTCAATACACTCGCCGCTCCGCTTCGCTGTATATGAGGTAATTACACGGCCAAAAGAGACGACAAGAACAGGGAAAAGTGTATGTGTTCGCGCTGCTAAGTACACGGCCAACTGCAAGGCAAAAAAGGCATACATACAAGGAAGCATGATTACCAGTTCGTTAGTCTGAGGGACGCACCCAAGGTACCCAGATCAAGCAGGGAAGTCCAAGGGGCCACCTGCCCTTGGGCACATGCACGTGCCTCCCTCTGAGACATGGGTGACTTTCCCTTCTCGGAGGGCACTTGGCTTTGCTAGAGACCACGTTCACGGACACCTCTACGTTGAGAAAGTCAATCCCGACTCGAACCTTGCATCCATGATTTGTTCATATGCAAAGCTCAGCCCGGCCCAACGAGCATCATCGCTGGAGACACGCAGGTTGGGCCGGCCGGCTACGCCCGCCTGTTTGGGCGCCTGTCCGAAGAACAAACGGCGGCGGCCAGTCTCGCATGCGTCAAGCAAGGACGACCCGAAATACAAGGGTTCAGGCTCGAAAGCAGTTCGTGTTGGCAATCCCTCTCCGGTCCGCAGCCAGCTTCGCCCCCGGTGCCCATCATTGACGGTCGTCGAGGCCGCACACAGGATACATCATGGGCTGCCGTCAAGGCCAGGGGCGGCAGGCCGATTTGCCGCTTTCCAGCAGCACGTCACGTCATTAAATGTGCGATCCACCAGCGGGCGAGTAGGTCGCTCGCTCTGGTTGGGTAATTCCGAACGGACTCGGTCAGGGCGTGTGTGGGGAGCTGTCAGTAATGAGACTCGGCCTTCGAGGAAGCGTGGAAGCGTGGAAGCGTGGAAGCGCAACCAGAACAAACGGCGACGCAGAAATTGATGAGTTGGCAGTCGTGGCATTGCATATCCACGCAGTCGGGACGCCCCACACACACCTGCCAGATTGCAACCATAATTTCGCCAGCACAGCCAGCACACCGAGCTCTGCCTGCCCGGGCGTTGATGTGGCAGCGTTGATGGCAACAATTGCCACCGCTGGGCGCCTGTGGGCAAATCATACTTTCAAAGGCGGACGAGCGTCTTTAATCCATCGACATACCTCCCATCAGATCGTCCAAGGGAACAAGATGAGATAACTTGCGGCTCAAATCTGGACGATCCGCGCTTGCATCGGGTGTGATCAAACAAGGTGGGCTGCGAGGCTCGTTCCGTGCCTTCTGTGGTCCAATCAGAAGCTTGGATGAGCTGGTTCCCCAGATTGAACTTGAGTGTGTGTGTGATCAGCCTGACAGCCGTGGATCGAGCCCCGCAGTATGCAGCGGTTCTTGAGAGCCGGCCCTGACGTCACACGCCGCCAGAAGAGCTTGACAGCTCCTTTTGTTGGAGATGCAAGGTCTTGCTGTCAGATCTTGGTGTGTAAGAATTCAGGCCCATCCAAAAATATCTACACCAGTGTCATATTCCGCTACAGCTCCGTGATATCTTGGGTATGGTGTGCTGTATGGCTGGGTGATCCAGAGCGAGAGTGAATAAAATCTCCTGCAAGTGATTGATTTGGCACAAACAACCCAAACACGCTTTTTACGTGATTTGTTGCTCGCATCCTGGCGCAAATAACTGATATTAGACCGAAGGGGGCCATATGACACGATGAACGATAAGGTATTAAATCCTTGTCTACATTTTAGCCATCGTTGCCCTATCCTACAGGACTGCATATATCTCCGTAGAGGCCGCTATGCTGAGAATGGGCTCTACCGAATCTCATCACCAGCAGCGCAACGCCCGTCTAGGCCCGCTCCCAGTCTGGGCCTCTCTAGGCTTGGATGCGTCTGACAAGGAAAGACAGCCAGATTCTGGCAGACCGGTTGCACTGAGACGCCGCGGGAACGGATACGGAGCACGCGGATTGGTGCTGATTCCATGTCAGGAATGCGCCGGAAGCAGAAAAGGTTGGCACATTTTTTTTTTTTCGTAAAAGGTACACTATACGAGGCATCCACGGACAGTTTCGATGGGATGGCATGGCTTCCTAGTCAGCTGGTCTAATGGCAGCAGGACTTGGCCTTATCTCCATCGGATATTGGACACCGCTACCGGACTTGATGGGCCTCAAATTGTCTTGATATACAGATCAGTGCCTTCCATCTGCCAGCCAGACAGTTACCCTGCGTTATCTCAGAGTGCATGTTTATGGGTAAGGAGCTTTTCGCGCCTGACAGCGACGTGTCAATGGACTATTCAGATGACAGAGAACAAGCTTAGTAAACAGTGGCCAGTTAGAGCCAGAGGTGGCCCAACTTCTCCAGGAAACAGGAATGAGAAATTAAGACCTGCATTTTCCAGACTCTTCCAAGGTCCCGAGCTACAAGCCTGGCCAGCTGCGAGGGAACGTAATCTAAGACGTGAGAATCGAGTCCTGCGTTCTGGTGGGACAAATCGACCGGCCAAGGGGAAACCTGAGCTTTTTCGACGGCCAAGCATCCAACTCCCGACCCAACTAGCAGGTGCTTGCTATGGATCAGGATGTCGTGCCCGATCGGGCTGCATAACCGTTTGTCTAGAGTGCGAGGGGGGTTTGGTGTTTAAGTTCGAGTTCATGCTCGAGAGAAAGTCAGGCACTGGAGTGAACACCTACCCTAGTAGGCACTCCCATCAAAAGTTTGTCGTCTGTGTTTGCTATGGGTGGGGGTTACCACTAATGTATACCGGTATTTCCTTTTTTCTTCTCGCCCTTCTCCTTTCTTTGCGGCCACTTTCCTATCGCCTCCCTGTTTTATGGTAAACGGCTTGATTATCAGCCAACGCACAACTTTGTCTGCCCATCAGAGAGTTCCTAGCCGACAAACTTCTAAAGTCAATCTTCCTCGACAAAGTGGGCATGGAAGGAGTCGGAAAAAAAGGAAGGGAGAAGGAACAAGAAAGAATAGATCCGAGGTACCGAGTTGCCCGTTTGAATGACCCCCCTGCAGTCGGATCGGCGACGATTTTCCAAGCCGAGCCAGCCGGAAGCAAGGGAATTTTTGATGGGAGCAGTGGAGTTTGCTTTTCCCCCTTCTCTCCCGCCCCAGCTGCCCCAGCTGCCCCTGCCGCAGATTGCTCGGGCTGACACACAGTTGCTCCAGTCAGACCTGCATCAAGACGACGCACGTCGATGGGACTCGTCGTTCAATTTTTTGCGGCGGCGCGTTTGATTTGACGGACCTGTGCCGGCAGCAAGGCCGAACGCGGTGGGTCTAGAGCTGATTCACAAATCATAAACATGGGCTGCACAGTCGCCAGAGCGGAGTGCGGTGTGATATGTCGGACCTGGCATGCTGCTGATCAGGGGTTACGAAGTTTGGTAGGCTTGGTAGGCCATGCAGGTACGAAGCGTGCATGCGGCCTAGCGGACAAGAAGGCAAGGGCAAGAGGGCCCAAGGGCCGGTTGGCATAACTTTGGCAATGTTTGCCCGTGTGGTGCCCGGTTCTTGTGATCCGAAAGCTCGCAACGGCGAAAAAAAAAAAACACTGGCAATAACAACAACAATAACAACAGTAACAAGGGGGCAGAAGACGGTGAGCAATCCAAAGAGGGAGGCAGGACGGCGCTGGGGGCCCTGTGCGGCTCCCTTGTGGCCCAGCCTGCCATCCGAACACCCAGGCGTGTTTTTTTATGTTTATTTTTCAATGTTTGCCAAACCGCCTCCCATTTTTTTTCCCAGGCACCCCAGAAAAGAGGGCTGGAATCTGCGGCCAGACGCGACGGCGCAGGGCGCAGGTGTGGTTGCAAGCCGCTCCACTGATCTGCGTGGCGACCCACTAACTGTTTTCGGATGGCAGGCTGCTCTGCTGGGCCTGGCGGACGGTCGATCAACTTGCTGGAACTGGCAATTGGCGGGGCGGCAGTCGGGAAGTCTCCGGTGGCGGGTGGCTGCTTCCCAGTCTGCCCAGTGTGCCCCATCGAAACTGAGCCATCAACTCTCAACTGTCTCAATCCGCCTTCTCTGCTTGCTTCTTCCTTCTCTTGGGGCGCTGCCAGTGGCTGCCGGCGACGTCGCCGCCGCCGCAAACTCTGGCGGTCCACCCGCCAAACGCTCTAGCGATGCAGCCGTCGAGGGGCGCGCTGCAAACGACCCGACGTTTGCGTGCAAGGACCTGCCGGGGGCGGTTGCTTTCGCTGTCTCCCTGTGGCCGACTTGGGCCTCCCCGTTCGCTCCTTGGGCCCCAGCCTCGCCGTCGAGTTTGGCTGCCATGTTGTTGGTACCGAAACCCCGCTTGACTCGCAAGACCGGGGAAGGCATCAAACCCGGTGGTCTAAAAGGGGCTGCACCAGAGAGGGAACAAGACAAAAACAAACAAAAAGGCAAGAAAAATGCCCGTGCAGGCAGTCAGGTGCTGCTGCTGCCAGAGCCGGCTCGACATCTCCCTCAGGGGCCTTATCCCAGTCACACCCCTCCCCCTGCAGACAAGCTCTGGCTGCTAGCCTGGGGGCCAGATGTGATGACAAGGGAGCAAGGCGAGATCCGATCTGTGCTTCTCTTTGGAAGCGACAAGGTTGGGCTTGGTTGCCCTCGCTTTGGCTTTGGCTCGGTCGCCCGTTCCCCCTTCATCAGGTATGGAAAACAATCGGACGGACCAAGCGACACCGTCCAGAGGGAATGTGGCGGATTCCTGGGGCCTTCCCCTCGGCCCAGACGTCCATTCCAAGCCACCTGATATCCAAACCACGGAACCAAAACAAAACAAGACAAAAACAAACAATCCAGCACCCCACCACAGTCGAATCGCACATCGCGACGACGTGACATTCACGGCTCCGGCGTGGGGAAGACCAGTCCATGTCAAAGCTGTGTCTGGGTGGCCGAGAGGATGGGAGGGGGTCAGAAAGGGGGAGCCGAAAAAAATGCTGCAGGGGAGCTTTGCGCAATGGCATCTCTCTTTGACTGCCCGTCTATCACTCGCGTGTGCTTGCTGCCAGTGCCAGCTTCGCCGTCACATCTGTCTTGTCGACCGCCACCGTGGAACGTGCTCTTCCGGGCACCTGTTCTCTGCTTGGCCTTCTGGCTTCTTTTTCCCGCCATGCAGGGTCCATGCCTGCGCCTCTCCTTGCTTTTCTGGCTGTTTTTTTTTTTTTTTTGCTTCCCTTCTGGTGGCCCATGCTTTTGATTTTTCTATGATTTCTTCTTCCGACCTCTCCGCATCCGCTTTTCGCCCCATGTCGGCCAGACCGCCGCGTCCGGGGGGTTGAAAAGTGACGTGTGGTCTGTCCCTTCATCCCTCCAAGCCTCGCTTACTCCTTACTCCCACGCTTTCTTGCCCACGTACGCCAGTCCCCAGCCTAGCACGTACGCAAACAACAAGCCCCAACGCCCCCCTTCTCCCTTTCCGTCTGCCCCGGGTAACCCTGTTCTACATTCCGCACCCAGCATCATCTGCCGATGGGGCCGCAGGGTACGCCGGCACGCCCTGTACACTGCCAGAGACACAGGTGGAGTGGGTGGCCTCGTCCGAGCACAAGGTTTTGCATGGCATTCCTCGCCGCCGGCTCATACATAACATACCTACATGCCTCACACACACGCTCTCGCTCCTCCCGTCTTCGCCTGCAACCTCGCTCGTGTTGTTGACTTGGCATCAGTCTGTCTGCGTCCATATATCCCTTGGCTCCTGCCCTTCCGCATCCGATCCATCGGCGGGCATTCTTCATGATATAATAATTCGCCACTCCCTCCGCCGCCTCGTCTGGGACAGCGAGGTGGACCAGTCAATATTGATCACTTGCGTGCTTCACTTCTAACACCATCTTGGACTTTGTCCGCTCCACCCGACTCCGGAACCATGACCGACCGTCACGTCACCATGGCGCCGCGACGCCTCGCCAACCTAACGCTCGTCACCAAACACTTCGGCCCTGACGCTGACTTCTCTCGGGCCACCACCCCAGTGCCCAACTACTCGCATCCAAGGCCCGACTCACGCCTGGCCTGTGTCCATGCCCGTCCAGAGCGCCTCGTCGGCAGGTCCTCGATTGGCTCCGACTCGTCACCTCCGGGCATGGTGTCGGACGAAGATGAGGACTACGCATCCGGCGACGACGAGGACCACCAGTACCACCTGTCTCAGTCGCGTCTTTTCGACAGCTTCTGGCAGGAGGGCCCAGTCGAGCCCACCAGGTACCCAGCCCTCTTGGAGTCCCCCGTTTCGCATCATCGTTTCGACAAGTTCCCGGTGGCAGAACCGAAGCTCCACGACCACGATGTCCTAGAATCGCCGCGCTCAGTCAGGCTGGCACAGGACTCTTGGCCACTGCGGCCAAGCACCGCGCTCAGCACCACCAGACCGGCCCCTAGGTACTCGTTGTTCCCGCAGGCACAAAAAGCCCCTCGCCAGGCTCTGCCCCCACTGCGCGTCGTGTCGCCTTCCCCGTTCCTCCCACCCATCGCGACCACCTCGGAACTGAGCCTGCCTTTCTTCAGCCCGAGCGAGAGCCCTGTTACCCCTGAGGTCTCACCTTCAGCTGCCGCGCCACCCCCTCGCGGCATGTCGTTCTCCAAGCCGTGTCCGTTTTCCCCACTGCTTTCGCCTACTGAAAGCCTCCCTGCACCCACCAGCCTGGCACCATCGCCTCCGACAACTCGACGATTCCTTCCCTGGGAGAGCTCCAGCACCGAGGACGACTCCCTGATGACCCGCTCGGTCCCCGCTTCGCCATTTTGGCCAGAGCACTCCCGTCATCACAGCATCCCGCGCCTGCCGTTTCAGACAACCCGTCCTGCAAGTGCAGGACTGCCACAAGACTCGCTTCAGTATGCTTCCTTCCCGCTTCCCCCGGTGCGAGGCCGTTCTGCCACCTGCCTGGCCTCGAGCCGAGCTCCCACATACTTGTCGACCACCAACCACGTGTCTGCACCGGCCTCGGCGGCCCCTTCGCCACTGTGCAGCTCCTTCCGTCCGCCCTTGACCACAGGTATGGGGGCCGGGAGTTTCCCCGGCGAGGACCTCCGGTCCTACTTCGATCTCGACTCGGATGACGAAGCCAGCGACAATAAGAGCAACAAGGGCTCGTCGTCCAAGTTTACTCTGAAGAGCATTGTTCGCAACCTGCAGCACAAGCGCAGCGTGTCTGACGTTCGTCGCAAAGCTAAGAGCAGCGAGGACGCTAAGGAACACGTCAGGCGCACACGCGCCGCCACCTCTGCCGCCGAATCCTCTTCGCCACTTCGCAAAGTTTCTGGCCCTTCGCCTCTCACTCTCGCCGATTTGGACCTCCCACCACCCCCTGCTGACGAGAGGGTGCTCAAAAAGCAAGGTAGTTTTGCCTTTCTCCTTGGACGCCTTGGTTAGCTCTGGCGCATTCACTTTCTCTCTGCATGCTTCTCACGAAACCCCACATATACGCTCACATGATTTTTTACGTTTTATCACATGTCTTACGCTCTGGCGAAACGCCTTCACTCGCACTTTTCCTTTCTCCCTGTTTACCCCCATTGTTTACTTCATGTTGCCTTACGACATGATTCCATCCCTGATTTGAGCACGACACGAAGAACTGGTACTGTATTGGCTGTATGAGCATTCCGATACGATCCCCGCTATGCATATTACGTTGTATACTCCCTTGCTATTTGTCAAGATATTCATGTTGTCTTGTTTTACCTCCTTTTTCTTACTCGTTTCTCTTTATTTCATTCTCATGTTTCTCTACTGTATAAACAAACCCGACCAAAAAAAAAAAAGCACGATGGGGGTATATCAAAGGCCACGAAGGTGGATCCCAGGCGGACTCACAGTTGGATACCAACAAATTTCCTATGTTATTCGGTGCTGAGAGGAGACACGTGTGTGGCGCTCGTCACGATACGGCCTAATGCGTTGGGATGGCTCAGAAGCGAAATGGCTGACTGATGGCGATGAACGATCTGACGAAGACTATCTTGGACCTTGCCGTTTTTCTTTCTCTTACCTTTGTCATTAACCGCTCTCTTCTCTCTTTCTCTTCGACTTCTCCCATTTACCATTAATAAGACAAAGTCTCTGTTTATTGATCACGACTTACTCAGAGCCGCCGATGAGATGCAAATTGAACGCGCCACGGCTCGATCGTGGTAGCCGCGGCGGCCCAGGAATAGATCAGCCTAGCTTCGATGTGCAGTGTGAACATTAATAGATCGTGGCAAAGAGAAAACGGATCTTCCAGCGGTTGCCTGGTGCCCAACTGCCCGGTGCCTACGCCGTTTGTTCTTATTTATTTTTAATAGCTGCCGTCGATCGGGCGGCCACAAGCTTGCCAATTATAGCACCGGCCGTTGGCTAGCGGGGAGGCCGTCGCGGACTCTTGCTTGTGGGCCCGTCTCGGCCGTCGACGCGTCCCTCGGTCGTAGGCTCAAGCCCTGCTGCACTGATTATTGAGCGACATCGGATGGGAGGGTGCCTTCACGAACGGGCCCAGACCTCGGCATTTACCTCACGATCATGATGGGAGGGCGAAAAGCAGGTGATTTGATCGTCCGATTGGACTGCTGTGCAAAACTTCATCCGTTTCTTTGTCTGCATGCATGGAAATGTCCGAAAACAAGCTTCCCGCTACCGTTGCCGCGTAAATCCAAGAGATGTCTAAGCTGAAATGTGCCAGAAAGAAACAACAAGACCAAATACCGTAAGCATATCGGGGGAAGAAAGCGAGGTGGACAAGAGTCCTACAAGTCTAAAAACACATGAGCATAATGTCGTGTCCGTGAGCGTGTCCGCATTATGCATGGAAGCATGGATACTCATCGACTCGTCAATGAACCGGAGAGGGAAAGAAAAGCAAGAGAAACTCGATAAAGAAAGCCCACCAAAACGCCCACGCAATGCATGATATGTAAAGGCAAACGCTGAAAAGATATGGGAAAGGAACACTCAAAGTGTGACACTAACTCCACGCTTGAGGAGTCGAGATTAGACATTAAACATGAACGTCGTCGGCGCCATCAAAGACACCCCCCTCGGCCGAGGCCGTGTTTCGCCTCTGCCTCCTGCTCGTGCGGCGCTGGTGGTCTGTAAAACGCGTCTGGCGCCGGATCCCCAGCCTGGAGTCCTTGCCGGGACCCAGCCCCAGGGCCCATGTGTCTGCGCTGTCTGGGTTGTCTGCGCCCAGCTTGCCCCGGAGGACCGTCTTGTGGCGCACGCCCTGGAAAGCCGGATCCTCGAGCACGTCGTCGTTGGCCACGAAGCTGATAACCTCGGCCAAGCAGGTGACGCCGTGCGGCAGGCGGAAATCCTGACGTCCGGGCAGCAGGGAGCAAAGCGCGACCAGGTACAGAACGAGGAGCGCAAGGATAGTTCCGAATCCCGACACGAGCGGAAGCATGCGCACTTCAGACGTCGACAGCGTCAGGGCCATGAAGACGCCGCCTGCGAGCACGGGGATCAGGACGAAGAGAACAGAGAGGAACGAGATGACGGCGACGCGCCAATGCCCATTGCGCACGGCATGCCAGCTGGACTGGATCGGCAGACACGCCGCATAATCAGCTAGGACGGACTGCTGAGGCGTCGCGCCGCCCCTGGACCCCTGGCGGGGGCGAGAGAGCTCGGCCCATGGCTGCATGATGCGCACCCACATGTCGAGGGCCTGGAACGGCAGGAAGAGCAGCATCCCGATGAAGGAGGGGATGAAGCTATACAGGAAGTTGGCAGCCGAAAATGCACCACCCACGGGGCCAGCGGGAAGACCTGGTAGGAAGCCGTTGCGGATGTTGGTTGCGGGGAGGAAAGAGACGACCAGCAGGGCCACCAGCAGAAGGGCGGCGGCAGCGACGAAACCGACCATCTGTGGGGTGCGCAGGCACCAAGGCAGGTAGCGGTAGCGCACGTTGGGCGAGTGCGGCAAGGCCTCGATGTCGATCTCGCCCTCGAGTTTCTTCTCGACTCCCGAAGCACTGGGACACTCCGACATGCGCTGGGCCAGGGGCTTGTCCGGGTTCTGCTGCATCCACAGGTCGTACTTCTTGAGCGCACCCAGCGCGTACCAGTAGTCGTCGCTGGGCTCGGCCGTGGTCCAGTAGGCGAGCCTGTCGATGAAGCGGTGACGGAGCGCCCACTTCAATTCGTCACGCGATGCGAGCACCTCAGTGCCGCGGTAGTCCTTGAGCGCGTTGGGTCCGGATTGCGCAACGAGCGCCATGATATCCGCCACGGATCTCGGGTCCCAGATGGCGCCCGTCAGCTCCTTGGCCCTCCAGAACAGCAACACCACGACGGCGGAGCCGAGCATGGCCAGGTACATGACAACGAGCGTCCAGGCGACACCCTGCACCGTCGCCCAGCGCCACGTGCCGTCGACAAGGACGACGGCGAAGAGGGAGCTCTGGAGAGGCAACGAGAAGCTCATGAGCCACGTAACCAGCACCGGCAGCCACACATTCCAGGGGCCAGTCAGGCGAGGCCACAGGAAGGTCGAGGGCTGGTACATGTCATCAAATATTGCGCCATAGCGCTCCGCGGGCGAGGGAGACGCGAGGCGCATGAAGGGCATAATGCGAAGCATGGCCACGACCACCGATTGCGCCCAGAGCAGGACTACGGCGCCGAGGAGCGCGGGGAGGATACGGAAGACGAAGTATTGTCCACCGTAGATGGAGCCGGCGTAAGGTGCGAAGTTGAAGCCGTTGTTACGGAGCGAGTAGGCGGCACAGAAAATGAGGGCTGCGATCATGAGCACGCAAAGGCCGAGAAACGCCGCCATGGGCAGCGGGCGCAGGATGTACGGCCTGAAGTTGGCGGGTGGGTTCAGGCGCTGAGTGTCGCGGTCAGTGGCCAAGGCCATGTCGAAGACTACGCAATCCTCTTGGGGCGAAAGCGGCGGATGGGAGCCGTTGGGGGGCATGCGCGAGGGAGGCCCTTGGTGGACCAGAGTAGACATGGACGAGGCGGACGAAAGCGGCTGGGCACCCGGAGTAGGACGCCGCCACTGGCGCTGTGCGGAACGCTGCGAGCGGTGTTGGTCGAGGGCGGCGGGCGGCCGCTGAGCGGCGTCGGGCGCGAAGAGCGGGTTGGACTCAGTTGAGGTTTCCGTCTCGCCGTCGCGCTCTTTGGTGATGGCCTCGATGGCATAGTGGATGTAAGGCCCGTCGTCGACACCAGGGGTGACCCTGCAGGCCTCCCAGGCCAGCTCGTCCTTGAGCGACATGCCGATGAGGGCGGCTTGCCTTCCCTGGGCCTCCGCCTGGAGCCCGATCTCCTTGATATCGTCCAGCGTGAGGTCGGGCTCGTCCCTTAGGCTCGCGAAAACGGCGTTGGGGAGGATTACAGCCGGAGGGCTGGGGTACAACCGGTTGGGGTACAGCCGGTCTGGGCCGTAGAGGTCGGAGACCGAGTCCAAGGCCGAGTCCGAGTCCGAGATCGGCGGGTCGGGCGCAAAGGGCAATGGGGCGCAAGGTCCAAGGGACGGCTGTGGTGAGTCGGAGCGAAGAAACTCGTCGTAATCGCCGGCGTCGCTCTCGGGCTGGCGGGCGGTGGCCTGCGAGGAGCTGGAGGAGCCTGAGGAGGCGGTCCAGGCAGCTCGAGAGTATGAGAGGGGGTGCGAGGGGCGGTGGGCGGACGATGGCGGACCCCGTCCTGTGAAGCAACCAACACGGTCAGCAGGCGTGTTCCCTCTCACATAGGCCAACGATAGACACAGGAATAGAAACAGGAGGTGGGACAGGACGGACAGAGGCAGGTGCAGGCAGGCTTGTCTGGCCGGACGGGTGCTCGTCATGGGTGGGAAGGAGAGTGAGCAGTGTGCGAGAGCGTACTTGGCCTTTCCATATGTTCAAAGTCTTGGATCATGTCTGCGTGCTGAGCTGTCTAGTGTCTAGGCGGTCGGGTTGGGCGGCCGCATATGCACTCTCCACTGCTTGTCTGTTGCTGGCCAATGGGTACTGCAGCAGTCCTGCAATGCACAGAGCTGCATCATGCGGGCACCGCTGGAGTGCATCGTGGGCTATCTATGGCTGCCACTGGCCGCGAGGCTGGGAAAAGACCAGGGTCTAATTGATGTGGTAGTGCGAGGTTGGGGGAGGGGCTCAGGGGATGTATGGGTGGTGGGCACCCAAACGATCAGGTGCGCGACGCGACGCTGGGCTGGGGTGGGTCAATGGCACTTCCAGCCTCATTGTTTTCCCGAGTCTGGGCGGCATGCAGGATCGCAACACTGGCATTTTTTTCTGATACCTTTCTGGTAATTGGTGTATATTTGAAGAGGGATGGTTTCTTCAAATCCATCGCACTTTATCTATCGTTCGTCCTATGTTGCTGCCATCCCAACTGCGTTCTTCTCTCTCGCTGAAGCTCCAGTTGGCATGAAATTCAATTCACTATGTGTGGCTGGGAGCTGGGACCTAGGAGCTAGGAGCTAGGAGCGGGCAGGCTCCACGGCTCCTTCGGGCACAAATTGTGGCTGGGAGCTCAACACCCTCCCAGGGCTGTTTGTGCCACCGGCTCCCATCACCCGTCGGCTCCCGTACCCTGTCTGGGCTGTTGGACAGCCATTTTGTTTCACACCCGTGGTCTTCACCGGCTTCAGGACGTGCGTGTTGGACCACGGATTTTTTAGATTTTTTTTTACTTGTTTGGTGCATGAAATTCAATCGGCTGGTATACATGTATATGCAATGCGCACAAATAACGAAGGGGAAGAATAAGGGGTGAAAACATCAAGTGCTGTTTGCCGTATCGGTGCCCGGCAAGAGAACTCCACCGCCGGACATGAATGTGCAGCGCAGCCGCAAAGCTTCACCTGCCGGCCATGGCGTGGCCGTTGGGCAATTAACCGCCTTGTCGTTAGTCACAACCTCCATAACATTCCCATCCGAGACGTTTAGAAACGGCAGTCTTTTTGGCCTGAACTTCGACGATGAGCATAACCCATAATGTTTAGGTCATTCCAGGTGGGGAGACAGAAGAAAGATGAAAATAAACGCAAAAATGATTTACTTGCAAGAAACAACAAGTTTATGAATGGCTCGCCAACCCGCCTGCATTGCTACCTTTGGCAATTTTTAGAAGGGGGTTTACTTTTTCAAAAAAAACAAAAAAAACAAAGGAAACACCCGAATGGCTTATTATACCCAACCCGCATCGGTTTGGAACCAATCCACAGCCACCACCTTATACAGTACCAGTATTCAGAGACACCGATTCCCTGGCTATAACTGAACCAATAAGACCAGTTGATCGAAAGGGAAACTTGACCTAAGATAACAGGCTCCAATTCCAGATAAACGTCAATGAACATCCCCACGAGAAGCTGGCAAAATGTGCCGAAGTCTACTGCCCTGGACGTCGGGGAGAGTTTGTCATGGGTGGGATAACAGTTTGTTATATCTGCACTTTGTTATCATTTAGTTTGCGACTGTTGCCTGTTATGCTCGAGTCGTTTACACGTGTAGCTGGCGGTTGCATACGAAGTTAGGCACGGACACGGCAGCCATTTCTCCTGTTTCCAACATGTATTAGATAGACTGTGCTTGAGATTGACGCTCCTAAGACAGCCGCTCGAACCGCTGCCGCGCCTTCTCCTTGGTCTGCTGTATAAAGTCGGAGTGGTAGTCCCCCGTGGTCTTGCGCGACGCCGCGGCCGCCGCATCGCCCACCTTGCCGCCCTCCGCCCCGAGTCCCACTCCCGGCATGTACAGCTCCGTCTGGATCGCATCGGCCCGGCCCGTCCCATCGGCCCCCAGTCCCTGTCCTGCCGTCCACCCCATCTTACTGAGCAGAGCGGCGCCTTTGGACGCCACAGCGGGCACCGCCGCAGCCCCTCCCTTCTTGGCACTACCAAAGCCCCTCCGTGAGCCCTCGCTGTCCCCGCCACGCTTGGTGTTGGGATTGACCGGCTGGTTGAACGCCAGCCTTCGTTCCTTGGCCCTGTCCCTGTATTGCTGTGATGATTGGGCGCCGCCCCGGACCGGTCTCATCTTGATAGGCACCTTTCCGAGCTTCAGCAGTTGCGTTACCGCCCGCTCCACATTAGTGTTGTCCGTCATGTTGAGTCGGTGCATTTCGCTCTCGCGTTCGTGTAGCCTGAGCGCCGCCCCGCTCTTGAACCCTCGCCGGCACACCAGACACTGAAGCCCATCCGCGTCTGCGTACGATACGTAGACTGGCGCCTTTTCTGAGCGGTCTCTCGGTTTTCTCCTGACGACTGTCTGCGTCTCGAGACCCAGCCCTACCAGCCTGGTCATGGCCTGTTCCTTTCTGTTCTCGTCCTGCAGCGCCTTGGCATGCTCGGCAGCGAGCACCTCGTGGTCTCGGAGGTCCTGCGCCTTGTCGAACTTGACCATGCACAGGAAACAGCATGTCTGCTCATCAGCGACGCCGTATGACGTGTATGTGTCATTACTGTGCGCCGCCCGTGGACCAAAAGCCCGTCGCCTGCCTGCCGGACCGGCTGTCTTGTCTGTGTCTCCCATGGCTTTGTCCGTTTCGTCCTCGCTGGCTGCTGCCTTGTTGCCGTGTAGCTCTGCGCTCTTTTCAAGCCACATCTTCATCTGGCCCCCCATGGCTATCGTCTTGTCCTTGGGTTTCTTAGTCCTCTTGCCGTTTGCGTCCAGCCAACCCTGGTCTCGGATAACGCCACCCTTCCCAGGGCTCTGTGCTTTATCGCCATCTTCGGGGGCCGGCGATTCAGGCTGTTGCTCAACGTTCACGTCGTGTATGCTCGGGTACGCGCGACCGTCCCAGTACTGCAGAAGCACATCGCGGTTATAAACCGGAACGAATGACTCCCGGTTCCGAGGGGCTGCCTGTTGCTGGTCAGCTTCTCTTGGTGGCTCTCTTGCAGGCACAAAGACTCCTGTGTGGATGAAGCCAACGGTGACAGGCTTGGATGCAATAGTAAACTTGGATGACGCTCGGAACTTGGCAAGCGCAGCATGTGCATCTTCGAGGGTCTGAAACTCTGCGAACCCATATCGCCACGAGTCGTTGGACCATTTGTCGCGCATGAGAAAGACGCGGCGTAGTGACCCTGGCCTTGCGCCAAGATTTGTCGTGTTGCCGACCGGCGCAGTCGACTTGAGTTTCTTGGTAGGTGGAGCTTCCTCCTTGATCGGCTGTCGGCTTTCGTCCAAGTAGAGCTTGGCTATCCCTCTGGCCAGGACTTCTTCCGTCACCGAGGGCTCTAGGTCCCGGACTACGAGGTATTGGGAGGGCATATCAGGGGACGCCTCGTCAGTCTCTCCCGTTAAAATGGGGGCTCCGCTGGCGCCGTCGTCGTCTGGGAGAGCACATTAGTATGGCAGTCGGCTTATGGTACAGACTCGGGAAGCATACCATTCTTCACACCGCACTTGTAGCAGGTTGACCGACGGGAGTAGTTGGGCGAGGCGCACTGTCGGTCGTGTGGTTAGAACATGAAACCGAGCGAGGTGTGGTCTAGGGAATGGGCCATAACGGGATCACAAACACTAGGACATGTCCAGGAGTTGTCGGAGCGGTTGTCTCCCCTGCCGCCGTCTTCCCTAGCGCGGCTGTAGTTGAGGTTCACCCGCACTTTCTCCATCTCCATGCCGCCTACAGCGGGCAGGTCAAACTCCATGCTGAAGCGGCACCTCTCGGCAAAGTCCTCAGCATCGTCAACCGAGTTGAATTCGACGAAGCATATACGGCGGTCTGCATTGCATGGCCAGGGGCGTTAGCTTGTCTGCCGGAAGCTAAATTACCGCCCGTCCCAGACTCAACGATTATCGCTCACTCAGCTTGTTGGTACGAAGGCGCATAGATCGTATATGCTCCGAGGAGAAATGTGGCGAGTTTGTGAATGCGTCGAATCCGTCGAGAATCTGCCAGAATACGGGGCCCGTCAGCTCCAGTACTGGTACAAGAGACAAGTGGGCGCGGCGCATAGCCCATGCGTCGTGGGGACTCACGTCGTCCTCGTTGACTTCCATCGGCAAGCCTTCCATGATGAGTGTGTGGTGTGGACCCTGTCGTGGGAGCGGCGAGGGGGAGCGGCCGTGGCGCTCGGAGCTGTACGGGGAGCGCGACCTCGGACGGCGGCGAGCACAATCATCGTGCGAGTCGTCGTAGTCGTCATCGTCGTACTTTAGCGTGTCGGGGTGCTCACCCCCGCGCCAGCCGCCGCCGCCGCCGCCCCTCGAGGGACCGTCATCCTGGTAGTAGCGATCGGAGCGCCCTCGATGGCGCGATTGCTCGGGGCCGCGGCCGTCGCGGTAGCCGTCCTCGGGCAGCCATGCCCTCGGCGCGGGGCTCCTGGCCGGGCTTCTCGATTGGTCTTTTTGAGATGGAATCATGACGGCACGGTTCGTGTTAGCGGTCGTGTCTCGATTTGTTGCTCCGTGTGCAGCGTGGCTTTTCCCAAGATGCTATCCATGGCTTTTACCCTTCCGCGGCTGGTAATGCTCTCGGTCGTCGCGCGAGGGCGACCGTGGCCGGCCCTCGCGACTTCTCGAGTTGTAGTCGTCGAACATGGGAGGTGTATGCCTAGCACGCGGCAGCGACCATGCTGTTATTCCCGAAGGCTAGCCGTGTGCTGTATATGACCGGGTTGGGGAGGGGCGTTGAAGTGTTTGACGCGAGAATCGCAGTCCTGAAATGGAGGCTCCGTCCAGGCCCTTGCATTTGCTCCGCATGGATCGACACAGGAAGGCGGGCACCATCTGCGCTGAGCTGAGTCAGCTTGCCCCAGCCGAGGAGCTGAGCTCGCTGCTGGAGTGGGGTTAAACTGGCGCTCCCTCCAGACCTGCATCGTCACTGACAGGGGGAACGAATGCCGAGTGAGCCAGGAATTCCCTCTCGATTCTGAGTGAGTCGGCTTCATCGGAAGTAAATAAATGCACCGGCGTTGGAGACTACCGCTGAAGAGGTGTACAGGCAGCAGGAGGTAGCTGCACCGGCTGCCTCCCCTTCTCCGTTGCCATCGACGACTCTCGCCTGAGCATCACAGATCATTTCCCTGTAGTGGCTGACCGACAGTTATTGCGGGCGCAACTTCGGCATCAACCACACCTACCCGCTAGGTACCTACACCTACCTAGGTACCTAGGTAGTTATATACCAGCGGCGCCTCAAAAAGAGGGAATAACCCATATACCATGGCGGACCAGCCTCAGATTCCAGCCGGCGCGCACGAGGCACAGGAAGACATGTGTTACGTCGCCCTGACCAGCGACCATTTGGACGTTCAGGCCGTGATGGACAGGGTGCGCAGTCCAGAAGCGGGAGCCATTGTTGTTTTTGTTGGTAAGTAACCAATATGACTAAGAATCCAGTAAACCACATCGCACACCACGCCGCTGACCTGTGGTCCAGGAACCACTCGTGACAACTTCGACGGCAAGGCCGTCAAGGAGCTGCAGTACTCAGCCTATAACCCCGTCGCCCTGCGCTCTATGATGTCCATCTCTAAGGCCACGCTCGAGAGGCATGGCCTCAAGGGCATCGCGATGGTGCACCGGCTCGGCGTGGTCCCCGTCGGCGAGGACAGCATCGCCATAGCCGTCTCGGCCCCGCACCGCCAGGCCGCCTGGAGGGCCGGCGAGGAGGCCCTGGAGGAGTGCAAGGCCAGGGTCGAGGTTTGGAAGCGCGAGGAGTTCGAGGACGGCGAGGGGGTGTGGAAGGCTAATAGGGACGGCGCCGCTGGCCAGCGCGTCGAGGGCTCCTAGGCGCACGCCCTCGCCGCAGGGTCGTGGGTGCGCCGTAGCTTCGTTTCGGGCCAGGCGTCGACGCCTGAGCCGCCCGAGCCGGCTGGCGGCCGGTGTGCCGACGACGCCTGCGCGTACGCTCTCGCCATGAGCCTCGGTGTGTGCCGTGGGATTGCTAAGTTCCAGGTGTCGACGCCCGAACCGCTCTCTTCACGCCGCGGGTCGCCCGCGGCGTCTGCGCCGGAGAAGACTCCTCACAAGCCTCTTTAGAATCCCGACGATTTCGGCTAAATCTGAGGGCCGGTCGACATATAGATGGAAGTTGATGCTCGTACCTCGTTACGGGAAGGGCTGAACCCTTCAGCTTCGGTGGTCGACCAAGTATGGAAGATCACAGTGGGTGTGCCGGTATAGCATTTATATAGTCAGAGGTTTCACACCACCAGTCAACACGGTAGACACAGAAGGTGTACTGGTATAGCTGCCTGGTGGCTATAAGGGTTACATATACAGTATGCAGCTAGGGGTAGGTCATGATGTTCCAAAGTTACCAGTCTCGTTCTTCGATCAGTCAGTATAAGTGTGCGATAGTGGTAACCGTCAATACAAGACCCGGCAAGTGTAATGTGGATTGTTGGGTATGCAATAACTTTTTTTTTTTTTTTGCGTCGCGACTCTGATTGCACGCGAGAATCAAGGAAAATGGTATCTACAGCCATCAGAGGCCCCTCGAGAGCACCTGGACATATGCCGGGCCGCCAGGCGCAGGCTAGGAACACTATGCCTCAAACACAAGGACGACACCATCGTCGCCAGCAGTGACAACCCGCTCGCCCGTCTCTCCTTGCACAAACCCAAGCACGCCCCCACCCTCGCCGTCGCCCCTGTGCCCCCTCCACTCCTTGATGAGGCCCGCGGCCGCCGCGGAGGCGCTAGCGCCCTGGCCGGCCTGCTGCTGCTGCTGCTGGCCGCCGGCGCCGGCGCCAGCCGTGGTGCCCCTGACGTCCCAGCGCCTCACGACGCCGTCCATGCCGCACGACGTCAGCAGGTGCGGGCTGCCCCTGACGAACTCGACCTTGACGACGCTGAAGTCGCCGTGGGCGCCGCCCACGAGCCTCCGCACCTGGAACGAGCGCTGGGCGTCGTAGAGGGCGATGGAGCCGTCGACGGACCCGGCCGCCAGCAGCGTCCCCGCCGGGCCGGGCGGCGAGAAGCTCAGCGTCTCGACACCGTCGCCCTGCGCGTGCAGGCTCGCCAGTATCTGGCCGCCCTGTTGGTCCGAACCGGCAGCCGCACCTCCACCCCCGCGACGGCCACCACCGGCGCGCGAGCCGCCGCCACTCGAACTAGCCGCGGCCGAGGCGCCGAACCTGGGCAGCGCGACCACCTTGATGGCGCCGCCGGCGCCGCCCACGGCGAGGAAGGCGCCCGTGGGGGCGCAGGCGACGCTGTACAGGCCGCCCTCGACCTCAAAGCGCGCGTCGGAGCCGTCGAGGGCCAGGACGGACATGCCATTGTCGGACCGGACGCCGGCGGCGGCGGCGGAGCCGAAGACGTCCCAGACGAACAGGCTGCCCTCCTCGGACACGGTGGCCAGCATCTCGCCGTCGGGGGTCCAGGCGCCGGCGGAGCAGGGGGCCTGGTGCAGGAAGTAGGACTGCAAGATCTGCAGCGCCGGCGCGGCCGAGGCGTCGACCTGGTAGACCCAGACGGAGCCGTCGCTGGCGCCGAGGGCGACGACGTTGGGGTGCGCGGCGCCGTTGGGGCAGGCCTGCACCCAGTTCACCTCGGGCACCTCCTGCGCCTCCTCGAGGAACCGTATCTGCGGGGCTGCCGCCTTGTCGCCGGCCGAGACGGCGTAGGCTCGCAGGCGGCCGTCCAGCCCGCCGCTCAGTAGGTACTCGCCGGCCGGGTTGGTGAAGGCTAGGGCGTTGATGCTGTCGGTGTGGCCGTCGATGTGGAAGAGCGGGTCGAGCGCCGTCGGGGCCGCCGGGGGCGCGCCGCTGTAGTTCTCGGGTAGCAGCGGGCGCGGCGGCACGCCGGCCGTGTCGAAGACGTAGCCCTTGCCGGGCGCATCGTCGGTGTCGCCCTCGGAGCCGCCCGTGGCGATCAGGGTCGGGCGGGTGGGGTGTTGGGCAATAGTGAAGACCGAATCCTTGTGGTGCTCAAAGTAGGCGATGCCGTCGTTGGACAGGTTGATCTCCTCGCCGTCCTCGTCGTCGCTGTCCATGGGGATGTCGCCGTCTGCGTCGTCGGGGATCTCCTCGAGCGCATCCTCAGCCGCTAGCATCTCGGGCTCCGAGTCCGGCTCATCCTGCGGTTGTTTTGAGGAAGACATGCTGAGCTATATTGTGTGATGGAGATTCGCGGTTTGCGCAGTGGCCGAGTCTCGAGATCGACTCTGGCCGCGGGGATGGTCCCGAGTTTTGTATTCACAACTCAACCGGCCCAAGCACTCAGGCGCGTTCCCCGACTGCTGAACTATTCGTTGACAGTGACGCACAGGACAGCCGTAGAATTTGCTTACTTATTGCCAAAGAAAAAAAAGTCTACACCATTCGTTGTTGATTTCAAATGCGCGGGGCAACTACAATTCGAGCTCCTGCCTGGCCCCTCCATCGATCCTGTGTCGTCACAGGCGGACCCACAAGCGGCCCGGCTGGCGATTTTGTGAGATAGATCGGTGGCCGAAAACTGCCGACGGCCGACCTCGAAGAAGACCTGCCGTATGCATGTCCGTATTTGCATTCCTGATAGTGGCGTAGCAGGCCGGTTAACAAGTAGTTGAAAAGATTTCTATTACGCGTAGGCTGCATAGAAATGGAGTATTTCTGGCCGATGCACGATTATGCAGGGCGATTCTCCATCAACAAAAAAAAGGAAAAGAAAAACCACGACGCTTCTTACACTGTCTGCAAAAAGCATCTCAACAAGAGCCCAATGGGCTGCATACTGACAAGAGTGGGACTTGAGCCCACGCGGATTGCTCCATAGGAAGACGTTTTGTTTTCACCCTGATCCTACGCCATAACCAACTCGGCCATCTTGCCTGTGTTCGCATTGGTGAGCGCTTCTTCGTGTTGTGTCCGCTTATATGGGCTGGGCGAGTAAGTCGAAGAGACTCCACTGGCGACGAGGCTCCATTCGGGGGAAGGATGCCTTGGGTAGGTATGTATGTAGCGGTGTGAACAAGAGAAACATGTCCAAACAAACCAGACGTTATGAATAGCCCTTTCCCCTACGTGGCAGGACCCAAACGCACCAAGATTGTTTCTAGAGGCGCAGGGTGCTGTCAACCCAGACTCAATAGAGGCACCCCCTGAAGATTGGATGAGTTGTAAAGCCTTTCCCCAGGTGACAGCTGAACGTACGTAGATCCATGGGCAAGTCTCGTGAGACGGGGGAGGCGCGAGATCGGATTGCCCGACCTCGCCGTCCCTTGCCTTGGGAAGTTGGGGTACCCCGGGCCCTGGTGTCGTCCAAGGACCAGGCAGCCAGGCCACTGGCATACCCTTGCACAGAAGCCCTGCCTAGAGGACATTCCTGGAGCCTGGGTTGGGTTGGAGTCAGCGACAGGCCAGATACCAAACAAACAATCGACCTTGCCAGGCGGGAGAAACACATATGATCAGCGGTTACCTGGTTATAGGATGAGACGCGACTCCTGTCATCCTGAAAGCTAACGCCCTATTTTTGGATGGCAACAAGATCTGTTTCGCTGGCCCCTGAACGTCCAATGTTGGCCTCGTCGCCAGTCCGCTTGGCTGCGACGGCGTATGTGTGCAGACTGCACACCGCAGCAACAGGGGTGGAGAATTTTTGCATGCTGGATGGGATGCGCTCGAAGCGTTCCTTTCCTTTTCTTCCCTCTCATCCTCCTCGTCATTTGAAACGACGAGGCATCGCCAAAGCCTCAAGGGCCAACCCAAGTTGAGGTTACTGCCGACAAGCCATCTGCTCGCCGATCCAGCGGTGTAACTCGCGAGCTAGCGAGTCAACGACCCGGCACGTGCCCGCCAGGCGCTTCTCTGTTGACAGAAAGGGAAGTCTAGCGAATGATGGAAACCTTCTAGAAAGTCAGCTGCAGCGTGCCGTGTCAATCACCGCCTCTTCCCCAAAGAAGCACTCTGTGATGTGCACATGACGGAACACCCGACGGCGTGTGCAGGACGCAGCCCTTCCCAGCAGAAGGGGTGAAAGGGTGAAGGGGTGAAGGGGTCCACGTCACCACCTGAGGAGAGAGGACGGCGACCTGGTGGCGCAAAACGTCGGGTGCTCAGGTGAATCGAGAGTCATGTCTTTGCAGCTGTCCAACTGTCTAATTGACTTTTTGGCTGGTTTCTGGCTGTGTTCCCAGGGGTCGGGCGGGAGCTCTGTGCTGTGTCATCCCTCCCGGCGGGAAAAGGTCGGCATAACGTGTGCTCGGATTGGTCGGGCGCGGGGACAGCCATCTGTGGCAGCCGTTTGACACGACAACCGACGGCCCAGAAGCTAGCGGCGACACTATCGACCGTTGCATGACGGCGGCGCCCGACGGTTGGTGACATGGCCTGCCACGCCTGTGGCAGCGAGAGAAGCCCAGCTTCGAAAGCAGCAATGCGAAAAGGACCAGGCCAGGCACAGCGGTATGGTATACACCTTCCCAAGCAGACAGAAAGCCACACGCCGCCCCACGACAGGGACAGACATGAACCGCAACGCAACCGCGACTCCACCGCCAGGCGAGATTACCAGCTGGGACCAGGGCGAAGCTGCCGGAACCCCCACGATCTACTGAGATTTGAATTCCCGTTTGTTGTGTCGCTCGTCTGGTTCCCCCGATCCGCTGCATGCAACCCCATCTCTCGCGGGACATGCCTGCTGCCGCACGACATGGCCTTTGTGACTGTCCAGCCTTCACAGACAAAAATGGCAGTGGCGGCGTCTGGAGGCTCCTGTCATAAAACTTTGCCTGGCGATGCCACCATCGCGAAACACCGAGAGCCGCTACCTATGCATTAGCAGCACTACTGCACCTGGCGTGTTTTGTTGACAAAAAGACACAGAGCTCCAGAAAAAAAAAATTGGGCATTGATACATACCTCCGCTCATCCCTCTCCCTTGCGTCTTCTGCTGCATTAGTGCATGTACTCCTCCCATCTCGACGCATCAATAGCCAAGGACAGAACATGAGGTGATGGCTTCACTGTATGGAGATGGGATGAGAGGAGCGATAATGCCGCTGATCCGCTATACACACCTCCTCACTCTATTTCTCTCCTCGCTAGATGGTGGGTGTGAGGCAAAGGCAGGCAGCCTGTCGTAGGTGGCCCCTCCTCAGTGCGACCTGCCCGCCCTCGCAGGCAAAGACCTAGCAGCGCCTCAGCGGTCGTGTTGCCCAAAGCGGCAAGGGCCGTGTCAAAGCCACATCTCGGTTCCTTTTTTGGGCTCGCCCTCGGCACGCTGCCCGCTCCGGCCAAGAGATTGAGCAGCGTTCAGCATTGGAAAGGGTCCCGCGGCGATATTTTGGGTTGGTCAAAACATGCTCGTGTTAATGCTCCATCGTCCCCCAACGTCAGCGGGCACTTCCTACCGCCGTCTTTCCTGCCATTTGCTGGCAAGGGGTGTGAGCGGCGTGTGTGTGTGCGCGTGTGTGCGTGCCAGGGCCTCTGGAAGAAACCGCGCCGGGATGTGAAGGTTAAGAACGAACAAAAGAGAAGACATGTGGTGGGGCCCACCACACCCGCCGCTTGGACCGTTGTCGAAACATTGGCAGTCAGCAGCTGGGCTTTGTGTTTATAGGACCAGGTCTGGCGGCTATAGCCGTCCACTTTGGGGCCCATCGCTCTGCAGGCCATGTTGCTGCGAGGCTAACCTGCACGGCGGCGAGGGAGAATCCTACCCATGCCATGTTGGCATGGCTTTTGGGTTCGGGAATCTCGAGCGGCATGTCCTGGGCGGAGGAGGAGCTGGCCATGTGAGAGGGTGCTGCTCCACACGAGGTGCTTCTTCCCTATCGAATATCGATGCTTGACGCCTAGAGGTAGGCACCTAGGCGGATCGACATCCCCATTCGCGTGCTTCCCCTTCTCTCACTTTCCCTTGTTCTCCCTCGCCTTCTTCTCCCTTTCGTGATAAAAAAAAGAAGAAGAAAAAACAACCCGCTCGATATCCAAAAACAACAACACCCGTCCTGCGCAACCCTGTGTCGCCCCCCGTGTGGATCGCTCCCTTCCAAAGACGGCAACTTTCCACTTGCCTGCCCGCCCGCCTAAACCCCCCCTGACACCGCCCGCCCGCTTGCGAAACCAGTCCCCGTTGCAGCGCCTGCTCCTGGCCCTCCACCGCGTGCCACCCCTGTCGCGCTGTTTCGAAGATCCCGTGGAGAAGGGGAGAGGAGGGACGAGCCAGGCCCGTGAAGGTCGGCCCAGCCTTCTAGGGGGGCCGGCACATTGTCCTCTCTCCTCCTTCTCACTCTCTGTCTCTTACGGCTGCTGTTGCTGACCGTTGCCACATTTTGTCGATCCTGCGCTGCAGCCCCTTGCTGCGTTTCCTTCATCCCCACCCTGGCTTTAAGCTTCTTCAGTGTCCCGGCAAGGTTATTTGCTTTCATTGCTGATGCCGCAGTCATGCATTCAAATTAACCGCGCATCAGAACCGCTCATCTGCAAACAAAATCAACATTTTGTAAATTACACCTCAACACGACCAAACGCCAAGCGAAGCACCTGCTACGATGTCCATTCTGATACCCACAGGTAGAAAACAGCCTCTCCAAGAGATGCTATCACCAAGGTACATGACATCAAGTTCACGAGAAACAATAGCAGCGGCAAACAATAGTGAGGCTCAAAAAGTGATTTTTATAGGTGAAGTGGCGGCTTGTCTGCCTGCCATCCCCAAAAAGGCTGTCTAAGTAAAAATGGACTTCTGTGTCTTGTTTGGGAGATAGGGGGTAAAGTTGGAAGGCCAGCTCTCGCAACAGTACACAGGTCGGGTGAAGTGAAGGGTATGAACGTGGGACATGAATGTCATCTTCGGCGTTTCGAAGCGACGATGATGAAGATAAGAGAATGGAACGAAGAAGAAAAAGAGCCAAAACAAAATAAAACAAACAAACGCCGATGTAAATGCTTGGTTTGAGACCCCTGAACGCCGTCGAAAATTGCCGATTTGGCCAGACTCCTTGACCCCTCCCAAAAGAAAACCCCGTTTGATCATGAAGGCCATGCCACCCAAAACCCTGCCCGCTATTTCCCACCCGGGATAGAAAGGAGATTTTGCCTCTTGCGCCGTTTTCCAGGGGCCGCCAAGGTGTGGAACAAAATAAAGTAGATGGTCGGGTTGGCATCGTACAAGTGAGCGAATGATTGGGTTTAACCAAAAGTGCAAAGAAAAGAAATAAAGGCGTGAATGGTGGGTGGTAAAAACACCGAGTGAAAGAAAAAGTGACGGATCCAAATTAGATTTTAAACCGTTCGTCGAGAGGTGAAGGTGTTGCCTTCCTCTTGGCTTCGTGGCATCGAGATTATGTCGTCGTTATTCGAACTCGGCATACTCATTAGGAGCGAAATCTTCTCGTGGTATTTTTTTGTGATTTTTTCTTCTTCTTTTTTTGTTCTTTGTTCTCGTCTCTCTTCATGCAAGAGATCCGTTGCTGCTGCTACTGTCAAAGTTGTGGCAGCCGCGCTCATGGCGCTTCATGTTGCTCCGGACGCTGAAGGCCTTGCCGCAACCCGCGTGCGGGCACTTGAAGGGCTTCTCGCCGGTGTGGGAGTGGCTATGTATCCTCAGAGAGCTAGGGCGGGAGAAGGCCTTGTTGCAGGTCTGGCAGATGTACCTGTCCTGCGACTGGGGGAAGGACGCGGCCGCCGAAGGAGAGATGTAGTGGTGGTGTTGCCACGGGTTCGCGCCCGAAGAGGGAGCCAGGGAAACGGACACAGGAATGGGAGGGAAGGTCTTGAGGTTTACCATGTTAGTTTAACGGTGCCATAGGCTGTGGGAAATAAGAGTGCGGCTTACCTGGGGCAGCGGCCTCTGGTAGTACAGGCCAGAGATCTGGGGCTGCGGCGGCGGCGTGGGCTGCATGGTCGGGTAGTAGGCGGTCATGGGGTTGGCCGGGCCCATGCCATAGTGGCCGGGTGTGGCGTAGGCGGGCTGGGCGAAAGGAGCCTGGACGGGAACGCGAGCGACGCTTTGTGCCATGTGTGCGTGGGCACGGTGCTCAGGCTCGATGTGGGCCATGGGCGGCGTCGAGTCGAAGTAGTAGCCCGATGCGCCGGGAAGTTGGCTGACAGACTTGGTGGAGGGCGAGTTGTAGCCGTCAAACGAAGCCTCCGAGGTCATGGGCGGGGTTGGCGGCATACCGCCGCGGACGGCCTGGATCGCATTGTAGTGTGACGAGTTTGGCCTGGTCTCGTGCCTCGATTGTGCTGTGAGTGTATTAGAAAGTGGATCTGTTAACAGGGAGATATGCTCAAAAACTTACATTGTTGCTGAGCCTGCTGCTGCTGCTGCCCCTGATGCGGGAACGGAGGAGCAGTCTCAGAGGTGGGCGATCCCTGATCCGCCAGACCGAGAAGGTTGGAGATGGAAGGCAGCGAGCACTTGTTGTCGTCCATAGGGGGCGACGGCGGGCCCTGGGGCTGGGTGAAGTAGCTGTACTGTAACTGGTGGCCCGGGTAGGTGTTTGATATCACGGCAGCAGCCATTGTGTCTGCGTGTTGGTTTGGGTGTGTGTGAGAGGCAAGTGGCTAGTAATCCACTCTTCGTTGCTATTCCTAATCTTCACTCTGTTGTTGTTGTCGTCGTCGTCGGCTCTTGCTGCGAGCAGGATGTCGTCGTCTTGTCTAGTATTAAGCGTATAGCGATGGGAATCTAGTGGCCGGAAGGAAGAAGCTCAGAAAAGGCGGACAGTCAATAAATATTATGTGATGGGAGGTTGTCGGAGGCCAAGCACCAGCTGGATGGATACGATGATATGTATAAAAGGGTCTTGAGATCAGAACGGCTCCAGAGATGAGGGGGAAGAGGGAGGGGTGGAGGCTTAAGTATGTCGTGTAGGCTGCAAGAAGATGCGAGGATGCTGCCCCGGGGTGGCAGATGGGAATTTTCGGTCTTGATTTATTTTATTTTATGGGTATTTTTTTTTCCCTCTTGCTGTCTCTATGGACCCCTGCTGCTAATTTGCGGGCACGCATGGTATTGTGAGATCCGCCAAGCGTGGGAGTCGAGGGAGGCGTGTGTGCCGTGTGCCAGGAGGCCAGCAGATGGGGGAGCCGATCCACACCGTTGATCCCTGGGGCAATGGCAACGACGACAACCTGTCACAGGTCGCGTGTGGGTCCGGCCAGGACGCATTCATGTTACGACAGACCCGGGATGGCGCTGATCAGAGGAGTGGGTATTCCAGCTTTCTTTTGACGATGCGAGGTGGAGATGTGGGCGGGATGGGGATGGGGGGAGGAGAGGGAGGAGGGTGTGCGGACAGATGGGCGAGGGGGAATGGGGGGTGTGTGGGCGAACTGGCGGGCAAGCGAGTCTGCGTGCGCGCCCCGGCTCGACGACCGACTCAGGGTAGGCCGCCTGTGGGCAGTCGACAGGCGCGGTCCCTCGTGCTTGACAGGCCAGCTTGACCCCGGAGCCAGTGCCCATCACCCCGGGAGAAGGCCCTTGAGCTCTGGAGGCACGGCTGGGGGGGGGGGGTGGGCGTGGAAGGCTGCTGCACGGGCCGTGGTGTGCGTAGGGGATCCCTGGCGGGCAGGCCCCATGGCCCTTGCGAGCGCTGGCCTGCTGGCTGGGGCAAGAAGGTTTCTGGGAGGTGGTGTGGGCTCTCTCCCACTGGCACGCCGGTCGGGAGAGCGGGAGAGATCGAGGGGTGTTCAGGTGCCAGGATTCTCAGGATCGGCGGAGGCCAAACGTTGACTGGCAAACCGGTTGATGCACGGGGCAAGGGTTGCTGGAGAAAACATTCCTATCTCAGCCAAATCTAAGCGCAGGCCCTGCCTTGCGTTTTCCTTGCGTTTTCCCAGCCGGCAGTGCTGCGTGACCAGCATAGGGTGTTCTCGACTGCGTATCAGCTATTCTCGGGCATCCCCATTGCAACCGGCCGAGTCGAGAAAGCAAGGGCAGAGGGACCAAGGCGCTAGTCCAGGCGAGGCAAGGGGAGAGGGTAGGGCAGACAAACAAAACATGGTAGGATGCATGCGCACGCAGAGAATACGAGCAGTAACAGCAGAAGCAGAAAGAAAAGAAGAAAAAAAGCAATTGCCGTGGTCCGTTGCCTAGCCCATCGCAGACTCGCAGCTTCCAGGTCCGGCTCCTAGCACGGTGTGGCCCCCCAGCACACTCAGGCGGCAGCTAGGCTCTAGTCGAGCTAGCGGCAGGTGCGATGGGAACAAGGCTCAGTGCTCGCCTGCTGGCTCGTCACGATTCGCACGGGTGGAGCTCCTGCCACGGTGTGCAGCGGCCGCGGGCATATCTGCCGCATTCGGGAAAAGGGCCGGGACGCCAAGGCCAGGAGAAAGCCGCTCTGGGCGATTTTCTTCTTCAAGCCTTCCCTCCAAGCCTGGACGTTGCATTTGTTTTTGTTTTTGTTGTTTTTTTCTTCTTCTCTGCTCTACCCACACCCCCGGCACCCACCCCAGCCGGCCGCCTCGATTGGATCAACCCTGGCCCCTGGCGCGCGACTGGGTGACCCCCCTGGCTCCCTGCCCGTTGAGCTACCACACCCCTGCCACCCTGCCGGGCAGCCCCTCGGCTCACCCAAAAGGATTCCCATGACGGTGTTTTGGGACAGGGTCCCTGCGGAGGGTACTTGAGACGAGGAGCGACTCGGAGCCGGCAGCAAGCTGGCTCAAGCGGCTTCATAAATGCTAACTGGGTCTTGGCTTTTCGCTGTAACCGGATTGCCAGGCTGATCTTGTGCCGTCCGGCCTTTGGGCCCGCTGCCATCCCAAGAATCCCAACCACCGGTTGTGACGATTCCATCGTTGATTTTCGCCTTGGTCCATTTAACGTCGATGGGCTCATTACGTCTGGAGAAGCCGTTGAGCCGCCCCAACTTTGGGCTGAGCGCTGTTTGTCTGCCAGCCTGGTCTAGCCCGCTCGGCAGGGCGGAGATGATGCTGCGAATTCGGATGATTTCCTGTCTGTGATAGATGCATAATGGTGTTGTCTCTTCTCATACGCTCGCCCCTGCTCGTAGTCTAGCACGTGGAATCCGCCAACCTCCTAGGAATATTGGCTCATGGGATTAAAATCCTACCAACACACTCGACAGTACGTGACTGTCTCGGGCTACACAGTCCATAGTAGACTCACGTCTCAATGTTCCATGCTGTACAAACCGGTGTTTATGTTCCGGTCTGCAGCCTACACCGCACGTGTCTCGTTTGGGCGGGACCCGTGTCCTCCAGCTCGGCCAGCGAAGCGGTTCGTCAACCGAGCAGGGCCGATACCCATCGCCCGGCGTCGGCGATCCGCTCTGGTACACAAATGCAGGGAGGTGTAAATCACCGCTTCCACTGCAGGGCAATTTGTCACTTTTTGGAAGCCCCCTTCTGGATCTTGACCTTGCGGGTCTAGAATGTGAGCGCCTGGACCGCCCAGAGTTCCATGTGTGCAACCAAGCCAAACATCCAGGCGGCAGCGAGATTGACCGGGCCACCCACAGCACGACTTGGGAGAGGCTGCCCGCTACTGTACCTCTTCTAAGCGATGACACGCGACTCCCCAGGGAAGAAACGGCACAGCACACAGCGCTCAACGCCGCATATAACCAAAAGTCAAAAGATAAAGAGGAGGTACTGTTACAATACTACGTAGGAACATGCTCTAACGCCGGGCTTTGTGGAGAAGGTGGGGGATGGGATAACAAAAAAGTACGGTGTGCGCAAAAACATTCATTGGCATTCACTGGGCTTGCGCTCCTGTACCTCTGGTGCAGGGGCAACGAACCTTGGGTCAAGGCGACGGCGATATGGGCTCGGGCGGCGGAAACCTAATCGATCCGCCGCGAGATTGATGCGGAGTATTGATACCCTTTCAAACAGTGGCCGGGTATTTTTTTTTTTTCGGGTGTCGGTCTGGTCAGCAATTATTAGGGGATGGACGACGCTCCCGCCCGCTGTGAATGTCACCCGGCCGCACAAGCCCTGCATTGTTTCGCTCTCCCGGGACCCTTAGAGATGCGATGATGGGCGCAGGCGAGTCGGGGGAGTGATGGGAGATGGGCGTAAATCATATCACGGGGCAATCTATCCAACTTTGTAACGTTTTCATTCATCACGCTGCCCAATACGAGTTTTATGTGTGTGTGTGCATATATATGTGTGTACCATATATAAGGTGCGTCCATGTTACAAACATGAACAACCGCCGTCGTGTGTCTTCGCCACGCCTCAGGCCCGACAACAGTAGCCCGGCCATGCAGGCCTCTCGCCACAAGTCAGTCGATGGATCGACGGGAGCGAATTCCGCCTGTGGACAGCACACCCAGGGCGGGCGAGCAGGTGGTGGCAGGGTGGGAAGGAAGGAGCATCAATGGGGTGGCGGCAGACTTGTTTCTCAGAGGAAACGGCTTGCAGCATCTCAGAAACAAAGGCTAAATCAATGCCCTCTTAAGATCGACCTTGTGGATGGGCCGGAAAAACGACACTCTAGCATGCTTAACACAACTAAGGAGCGGTCCGTGACATGGTTCCGGGGGTCGTGGTTGGCCAGCGGGCGGGCGGGCAGAGGTGCCCCCTAGAAAGCACACACACACGACCGCAGGAACGGAGCTCGGCGTAGGTGCATCGGGTGCTACTATTCGCAGGGGTGTGCTCGGAACTGGACGGGCCCTTGTCTGGGATGGCATCCGTCCAGGAGATTTTTCTGAAACAAGGGTGGGAAGTAAAAAAGGTGACAAGGAGGCGGAGGGAAGGCTGTCCTGTCGCTGGAAGGCTGACCATCCGAGCGACTCGCTGGGTGCTACGTGCTACGTGCTGCACGCGCACTGATGCCTTTCTTTTTTTGCTCTTCAAGGAAGGGAGTCCACTGGAACCAAGTTGGTGGCTCACCGACTACCCACCGGGGTGCGGGCTGGACGGCGAAGAATAGCAGCACCAGAGGGAGCCAGCCAACCCCTCCCATACAAGGTGATAAAACGCCAAGGCCTCCCGCAGTGGCATTTTGTTGTGTCGTGGCTCTGGCCAGGGTGGGAATACAAACATCTGAACGGTGACCTCTACGACCTCGGCTGTAGAGGAGCAGGCATCGTCCCGCCGCCAGCCATCAGCCATACCCCATACCCCAACCGCCTCGTCCCATCAATCTCATCCAGGCCATATTAGCCATTCGGGGCAAAGAAGCACTGTAACCGCCCGTCGTCTGGCGTCTCGGACAGAGACAAGAGACAGCCAAGGTTTCTTCTAGGCGTCCCATCTTCAGATGATAGCGAGCAGGGGGGTGAGAGAGATGTGCTAGTGCTGGTACGCCACAGGCCGAGCACGATTCGATTTGCGCAACACTAAGCACAAGAGGTTAGCCTCACACGCCGTCGCCATGTGAGAATTGAGCCGTTGTGCACAGTCGCTTTTGCATCGCCGAGCTCTGCCTATACGAAATGGCATGATATTCTGCGCGAGAATGGGGCGTAGGATGAGAATAGGAGGGAGAAAGAAAGAAGAAAAAAATCAAGAAAAACGCAAGAAAAAAAGCAAGTATACCTGCATGTAAAGCAAAGTAGCGACAGCCACCAGCCTCCCTCCGGAGTCATCAAATCCATCGACGCCACACAAGCTGCAAAGCCCTGGTCCCCAGTCCCAACGACATCAAACGACATGTCCAAGTGAAGGAGCATCCTTCGGCTGCCGGCCTGGACGCATCTCATATCTCATCTGATGGCCTCGCATCGCGGTTGACGGCCTGCCTGCCCGATTGTGTGCGGCGTTGCTCCAGGTTCCGGTCCCATCCCTTTGGTTTTAGATTTAAGTTTCCGCTCAATGCAGGGCAGCTCAACTTTGTTGGCCCTTCCCGCGCGTTTGATCAGCTCGGGTTTATCCCGTCACGAACGTCACGACGGCGACAGCAGCAAGTTGTTGATGTGTTTTTGCGAAATGCAAATATAGGATGTGTATGAACGCACTGGCCGCTTTACAGTCATGGCTCACACACACCCCTCAGCCTTGCAAAGCCGAGTCGGATCTGGAGCGTCGGCCGGGGGGGCACACGGACCTCTGCACTTCCATTTCCAGCCGGGGTTGCAGGTTGCTTGCTAAGATCTTACGAATCGAGAAAATCTCCCCTTGGCCCTGGTCGCACGCTTCAATTCGTCGCACGAGCGACTACACCACAGCCACTTCGGGCTAGCGCCTGGCAACAGTGCGACAAGGGGTTGTGTGTGGCGTGGCGTGTGCGCACCCCCCGGCCGACGGGATTTTGGATTTTGGGAGGCAGGAGGGGATTCTCAGTGGCATGGGCTCGTGCAACAAGAGCCCTGCCACCCTGCCTTGACCACGCTCGCCGTTCTATCAGCTGCAAGCATCCATATTGCCAAACAAGCCTTGTCGTTTCCGCCCTCCGCTTCTTTTTGGCCGCGTCTTCCTTTCGGCAAGCGCAGAATGCAGACTAGAGGCGGTGGTATCTCGGGCGGTTTTTTTTCTTCCTTATTACAAGACCCGACCCATAATCGACGTCAACTATAGCACCTCCCCCAGCCGTTCCGTGGCTTGCCGTGGGATGAGAGCGCGCTCCGGCTCATCCACATCCCCCAGGAACCACGCAAGGGTCGGTCGGTCGGAGTTCGTTTCCCCTTTCCTAGCAAGCCTGCCGTCCTCCAATCGCCCTCGAGGGGACCCCCGATCACCGAAAACGCATGGCGTTGTCCTTGGGTTTGGAGGCATTGGGGGATCACTCGCTAGCATCGAGAGCTGTGAACAGCAGAGTGCGGCACGATGTAGTGAATGAATCAAGTCCCCTCTCCCCCCCCCCTAGTCCATGATCAACGTGGCGCCACATTAGCGCGCCTCGCTTGGATGCAAGTCCAGAATGAACATGTGCGGGAAACGGCTGTCAAAATTGGCGCGCGGGCGCGCGGGCGCTCGCTCGCTCGCACGCACCGCACCCGCACTGTCAGCTTAAGCCCCGAGTGCTACCCAAGGCCAAACACCCAGAGGGCGTCAAGACCAAAAGGGCGACAGACAGACACGGAATCGACAATATGATTTCGCGCCTGCGACCACAGCCGGAGCAGTGTCGATTTCGCGACTAGCGTGGGCCGCTCCCGGGCCAGAGCCAGCTGGGCTGACCTACTGCTGACCAACAGGACCCCAGACACGGCCACGGATCAGCAAGCTGGACAGCTGGGGTGCGCGGGGGGGGATCATCGCGGTGGTGCGAGCGGCAGGCGGGAAGCCAGGCCGAGCGCACGGCAGCGGCAGCGACAACGGCAGCTGCAGCCTGCAGAAGAGTCGAGTCCATCCATGACAAAAGAATGTGTAGGTACAGACGCCAGCCCCCGTCTCATGTCTTAGCCCCCTCCTCCATCTTTTGGTGTGGCGACCCCCTTGGGGAGGGATGGAATTTTCCGTTCCGCGACGGGCAGAGTCTGACGTTGCTGAATGCGGAAACATTGAGCAACGTCGAGCACTGAAGCAAGCCTGACCCAGCCAGAGGATTCCCCACGCCAGCCGGCTGCGACCTGTGGATATGCCTGCGTGTGTGTGTGTGTGCGCGCGCGTGTGTGTGTGTGTGTGTGGGTGGGTGTCAGGGGCTGCCCAGCAATCCGGAAAGAGAAGAGACGGATCGGAGGTGGCAGCAGCTTGGCTTGGCGATTATCCACCACCGCTATCTCTCTGGCTTGCTGCAAATCCGCATCACCCGCCGGTTCTGATGGTGGCCTTTTTTTCTTGGACTCACCATCCAGGTGGCCCTCTTCCATGCATGATGATCGCCGCGGACGGGGGGCGTGTGGACGTTGGACGGAACCTGGGCCGAAGAGATGCCATGCCCCTTTCTCAATGCCGGGCGACTTTTGTTGTGCGTCATGTCTCGTAGAAGGCCAAGGAGGAGTGGGATGTTGTCGTGTGTGCCCATCGTCGCCCCCTCTGATCGGCATGGATTGGGTGTCTACCACGAGTTCGCTTCACTGACACTCTTCGGAGCCGACCACAGAGTGCTGCTGGGACAGAGTGCTGCTGGGCTTGCTCAAGCAGGGTCGGATCCAGACCCACCCAACCTTGCCAGCGAACTGGTCTCCGGCTTTGGTCTTTTTTTCTATTTCTTTTGTTTACCCCGCCTGCCTGGACGATCAACCCTGTGACGCCCATTAACCATAAGTCGGGTCGTCTTCAACATCACACAGATCAAAAACAGCCGCCAAGACCAACCGACACGTGCCGCATGATGCACACAAGGCTCTTCTTGTTTCTGTTGTCATACATAGCGGTATTAACAGGCCTTATTTTCCATCTTGCTGTTTAGCCACACAGGCACGTCACCATACACACACGCATGGTCGACGACCAAGAAGATGCATTACGGACAGACGGACGGTAACCAAAAATCAAAAGGCTTGACTTCCCCACTTTTCAGGTGGGAGAAAATCACGAAATGCCTCCCACCCGACGTTGCAATGACGGCGAATCCAGCCCACGGAAGGGAATAAGCGGCTCCAAATGCTGCAAGCAAGGCCGTCGCCGTCCGACATGCCGTCCTGGGAAGTGCGGTGCCGCCAGCCGTGCATCTCGGGTTTTATTCGATGATGTAACAAAACATGAAGGGCCCACGCGTTTTCGTTGCTTCTCCTGCATTGGTCGCAAGCACGGTTACTTTGCCCGACCCAATCGGACAGAAGGTGCAGACTAGGTTGGCTGTGGCCCCGCAATCATACGGCACTTGGTTGGTTCCCGAGCCTCCTTCCATGTGGTGGTGTCGTTCTTTACTGGCCCGGCCGAATGCAGACAAGCTCTTTGGGGCAGCTGGGGGTGGTTGCCAAGGTGGTTGCCAAAACGGGAAAAGACAGCGCGGAGGGTTTTTCTTATTTTCTTTGAGTGTGATTATTTTACTCTTGATTGGAAATGATCCGCCGATCTCCCGACCGTCCCCTGTCTGCCCACCCCATGACGTCTTGCAAGGAATCTGGGGCGGGCCTGAACTCGCAGTAAGTAGGTCGGCTGTGCGACTCTGCTGCGCCTTGCGGCATTGAGAGTTGGAAAAAGAAAGGGGGCAAAGATTGATTGACGGGTTTTTTGGTCCGTTTGACGAGAGGAGAGTCTCTGGTGCACACCTGGTATCCCGGTCCGTCGCCCATTTGTTCTGATATTTAGATCACTTTGTTTTCATTTAAGATGAGGCTGGTGTTTGAGACAGGAACAAGGCGCAGCGCGAGTCTTTGGTAACAGCCCAGTGTCATCGGTCACCCTGGGGTGTACATGGTACGGTTCTGGTATCACGTTCCGGCACGTGCTTTTACCTGCCTGTGATTGACTGGGGTTGTTCAATCCAAAGTATTGACATGGACGAGTCAATAAAAGGAGGCGCAAGGCGCTTTGGATCGCAAATCTCGCAAAGCCAAGTCGGGCTGGGGCACAGGTAGTTATGAAAGCTGGAGCTCCAAGCGGCTTCATGCGTGGAAATTCGCGCCTGGAATATGGCATTGTCGGTAGTGGGATCCTGGAGAGGTAATTTGGCCTCCAGGTTTCGCACTGCAGGCACGGGCAAAAGAAGTCACGGGGGGCAAATCGGATCTCAAAAAGGCCAACAGCGGCATTTGGGAGCAAAGGGGAGTGGGCCAGCCAATTTCTCGGCTCGGATGGGGTCGATCAACGGCATGCAGTCCCAACCCTTGGCCGGGGTATGGCGATTGTTGCTCAGAAGGAGGCCTATCTGGGCCCTGCCGATTGACCTGCTGCATTGGGAAAAGCCATAGTCGTCATATGGTTCGACTCTGGTGTTGCTTTTTTGGACCCTCCTCCGGTCGGGACAAAAAGCAGAGGCACAGCAGCCTGAGGAGGCAGCATGATAAGAGAGACATGCATGTGTTTGCAAGGCGCGAGGCCGTTGTGTCTCCCGAGAGGCGGCGCCAGGCTGCCTGTCTGTTCCTTTTGCGGATCAGCCTGTCCAACTGGGCCGCTCAACTTGGTCAACCTTTGATGGGTGCACGGGGCGTCGGGTGGCTTTTTTTTCTCTTCTGTTTTTGCCTTTCTCGCAGACGCGAGGATTGAGGCTTACAGGTTCGATTTGGCAAACCTTAACCAGCTACACAAGGTCGGTCCGCCGGCGAATACGCCTAGGCAATCTCGCCCCCTTCATTTCGTTAGTTTCCGAGGCGCCAGTTCCCTGGGCCTTCCCCCATCACACACACACATCACTAGGCCGCAAGCGGGAACAACGCCGCGGAAGCGAAAAGCCGCCAGACTAAACGCTCGCCTTGGCCAAGCCCGGCCTTTTTCTTTTTTCTTGTGCAATCGCCCAACAAGCCGCCCCCCCCGCTACCTAGTCTAGCGTTTAGCCTTAGCGCCACAGGTTCGACTTTACGACCGTCGAAAACGGGCTTAGCGCTGGAGAGGGCTTCTTTTTCTTTTTTCTTTTTCGAGGGGCGCCGTTGGGTTGCATCATTCTTCGTTCTGCGCCCACCCCCTCCCCAAGTCGAGTTAGGGCCCTGGGTAAGTAGCTACCTACCTACCTAGCTCTGTTGCAGACGTCGTGGCCCTGGCTATCATGAACCCGGCAAAGGTCGCGATGGCTGCGCTGCGGCAGGCAACTCCATCGCGCCGTTGAGCTCGCCAGGGCATTTCGGCCTATATCGTGCCACGTTCCATGTCGTGTCGTGTAATTAGCTAATCGAGGGTACTGTGTATACGCGTTCGTTGGTCCCCGAAAGGGCACTAGGGCTGACTGCCTACCTGGGCCCTCATATGGGCTGTGGAACTCGACCAACAGAGCCCGGCCGGAGCGCTGGCTACGGTTCCGAGTCCGAAATGCGCGCGTACTGATGCTGTCCGTTGTCAGCCATCACGAGCCGGTCATCAGAGAGAGTGCCAGCAAAAGGGAGGCACGGGATGTTTTGTGCATGCCCCAGTCTGGGTGGCACGCGCCGGATTCACATCTCGATGGACGCGTTCATAGAAGGTTGCTGGAAGCTCTGATGGATGGTTGGAGTGGGCTCTGTCAGTCCTGCTCGGATTCCTCGTCCTCTTGTCCTTGCTCGCTGGGTCACAACTCACAACCGATCGGGCTTGGCCCCATCCCGGGGAGGCGGGCCTAGGTCAGAAGCGATGCCATCAGCCTAGCCGAGGCCACTTGCCGCCGCCCGCACAACCCGTTCCATCGTCCTGCTCCATTTCCTCTCGGTCTGCCAATGAGCCCAGGACCAGCAACGATGTAGGTACTCGGACTTGGCGTGTTTGTATCTCTACTGTACCAGCTAGCTTGCAGTAGCCACCATGCCGCCGACTAGAGAGACTGGTCCAAAAAAACGAAGCGACAACTTGGCCCTTTCCTCCCGCAACCCCCGCCGCCCCCCCTGGTCACCCTCCACCTCATGGAGGGTCTGCCTCCCTATACCAGAGGTCTGCTATACATTCAATATGTTTGTTTGCTGGCAACTTCGCTCGCCAAAAAAAAAAAACCCTGGTTCCCATCCCCCCCACTCCACCCGCCTCCCTGCCTTTTCCCTTCGATATTGCGACCCTGCATCCGGCTGACTCTCTACGTACCACGTAGGTCCCGCCCCGTACGTGGCTCTCTCTTGCCCGTCCCTGCCTTGTCATGGGCGAGGCGCAAAAAAATGTGGGATGATGTTAAGGAGCGAGCCGGTACGGAACGAGAAAGGTTGGCTGCTCTCGGTGATGAAAAGAGGTTTAGGGCGCCGCGCCGCGCCCACCCACCCTCACTCCCTCCCCATCCCCACGACACACACCCCTGGCTGGGTTGGAGGGGCCCTATTCGCAGCCTGGCCTGGTCACATTGTCGTGGCCAGCATCCGTCCTCTGTTCAGTCCTGGTGTTATTGGCCGTGGAAGTGCCGGGGCGTCTTTTGGCCAAAGGTAATTATCCCAGATGACGCCGTGCGGATTTGGCAATTCGCCGTCTCAACGGCTGTCAATTAATGTTGAGGCTAGTAGCCAGTATGAATGTGGCATCGTCTGTGTATGAGCTTCATGCTCGGTCGATGCTTTTACTCCTTACTACGACTGTACCTCTCTCTCTCTCTCTCTCTCTCGTCACCGCCAAACTGAATAACTCGCCACGGGCAGCATCGGCAAGCAGCCACATCGGCGACCTCACATCGCCGTGGATGGCTGCACAGCAGCACCAGAGGCAGCAGCTAACCGAAGGCCGCATATCCCAATACTAGTATACATACACCCGAGTACCTACAGAGTGGCCCCCAGCCATGCATGGCCTCGTCTGATTGGACCTCGTGCGAGTGCGCGATGGGCACGGGGAGTACTTCGCCTATCTGCCCCTGCTTTTGCAGGACACCCGAGCTTCTCTATTGTGCAGGGTCGTTGTATCAGGGGCCGGTTTCCCTCCCCTTGACGCTTTTCTCTCTCTGTTCTCTGGTTCCTCTACCCTTTTCCTGACGGACACAACACACGCACACGCGCCACGCACATCGCACGCATGGGTTTTCTTGATCCCTTGCAGCTCGACTGTCGGCAGTGCAGCCGGCATTTCTTTTGCTCCCACTCATTTGACGCACCGGCTAGGGAGGAGGAACGGGATGAGGGAGGATAACCAACAAAAGGAAGCCCTAGTCTGCCGGTCCCTCTTCGTATAGAGACAGGACCTTTCCTAGTCATGTCCACAGGGCGCCTTCTTTCCTTGTAGAAGCATAAATAAAAACCAAGGTTGGTGCAGGAGTTCGACGCGGGCGTCAGCGCCCCCGGGGCTCCGGCGCTCTTCCGGATGGGTTTGATGGGTTGCAGTGGAATGCAACGCTGACTAGGGGGTTGCGTTCGGGCCAATCTCGCCTTCTGGTCCCAGCTTGCATGCATGCGCAGTCTCCGTCTCATGACATCAGACTTTTGGTGGCTTTTGGGTTTGCTTTCTTTTTTCTTCGTCCTCCCTTTCCTTGTAGCCTGTTGACGAGAAGACGTTCTCGAGCTGTTTCGTAGGCTAGGTTAACCGGAAAGACATTGCCTGAAACCCTGTCTGTCCTCTCGACTGCACTCAGGCTTGCGCTGTTGAAGGGCGCTTCACTCCATGGCGTACCATACTGGCGTATCAACGCCCACTCTAATATGTAATTCCGGGAATGTGACCCTCGAGCTTGGGTTGGGGGGTGTGCCCGTCGGGGGGCTAAGCGAGGGAGGGGCGTAGCTGCGGGTGCCCGTGTTCATATTGGGGACGAGAAAGCAACACAGTGGACAGGCGGACGGCAGCGAGCCGGAAAGAAGCAGCGCGACATGCACTCCCACGTCCGTTTCGGTATGTACCTCGCCTGCCTGGGGATTGATGATGCAGACGCCGCGGTGGGTAGGTACATGTGTGTGTGTGTGTGTGTGTGTGTGTGTTGTTTTTTTCTTATGCATACAGCAAGAATTTGTGACCAAAAACGCAAGCCAAGCAACAGTCTTGCATCTCTTGAAATGTCTCGAGAGACAAGACGGACGGGGTAAGGCAAGGCAGTCGGCAAGACAGTCATCACAGCAGAAAGCCACCGCAGTGGACCGGACTGGCTGGCCCGGAGGCAAAAGCCCGCGGCCACCACCAACCCAAACCCACTCAGCAGGACGAGGAGGGAGGGGAGGGGGGATCCACAGAGCGACGCAAGGGTTGCTGCCCGAAGATCACAGGCAGGGGGTGTTGTGGGTTCGGCTTCCCTGGACGTCCGCGTGGGGATGGATTCCTGCCAAACCGAGAGGGTTGCGTTCGTTTGTGTGAGTGAAAAGAGAGAGATGTGGGAGGGCGGCGGTACAGTACAATGACCCAGTAATTCGTACATGGACTGAGGTGGTGACAGTGATGATGCTGGTGATGATGATGGACCGTCCCAGTCCCAGCCTTTGTAACGGAGGACTGCCTGCAACCGAGAGAGCATTGCAGTTTGCGCTAATTTGCCAGCCACTAGCGTGCTTTTCGTGCCATCCAGAACCGAATATCGAGCCCTCTTGGTGTTTCTACGGTTGCTGCTGCAGAGTGCGAGCGTGTCGGCGCACCCAGCCTGTAGCCGAGGTATCTATCTAACTACCTATCTAGCTACCCATCCACACACCATCCGTTTCGCCAATCTGCACTTCGCCTCTCTTCGCATCGTCGATGCCGCCGTCTCCCCGTATGGGTCTCCCCGTATGGTGGCACATGCCTCCAACCACTTATGCATCCCTCGCTCGACACAACTCGAAGCATCTACTTCCTTTTGCTCCAGGGCGGCCATGTCTACAGCCACCACTTTCCAGCTCTCCGCTTTCGGGTTGTTTCTTTTGTTTGCTTCAATACAGGCCAGTTCGAGCGCGTCGAACAGGGGAGGGAAGGAGGAGGAGGAGGAGGAGAGGAGGATGCCTCTTACACACCACCATTCCATATCACCTGGGTTTCCCCTCAAGGTCGACCGACAAAGTCGACTGACAAAGTCGACCGACTACGCCTACGGAATGCCATCTACTACCCACCCACCCCGTCAATCATCACCCATCCACTCGCCCACCCTCTTTTGCGCTGGACTGATGCCACCCACGCACTCCCACACACCCTTTTCTTTCCTCCTGGCGCCCACCCCGCCGGGAGTTCGGCGGGTTATACCGGGAGTTTGCGGCCTAGCCGACCTCCCGTCCTGGGTGTTCAGCTCCCCTCCCCCGGAACCAGACTTTCTTTTTGCTGTGCTCCTTGCCTGTCGAGAGAAACTAAGGTAGCCCATCAATACACCGGCGTCGTATCAGAGCAAAGGGCCCAAGCTCCTGGTGGTCATAGCTCTCAGCGGTTTCGGTCCAGAGAGAAGATCATCCATCGTCCTGCCGCAAGCCACGAGACGCTAAAACGCCAAACACAAAACACTTGGGGTCTTTTCTTTTTGTTTGTTTGCTGCTTCTATTTCCAGTCTTGCAGCGGCTGAAATTGGCGCTTATCCTTTCTTTTTTCATCTTTTTTTCATCTTTTTCCCCCCTCCTATCTCCCTTCGCCGCTTTTAAATTCAAGGAGTAGGGCAGGCAGGCACGGCCAGGGGTGGACGACGTCCGACTTTTTGGTGGCTGGGCGGGATCGTCGGCGTCGGAACCTAACGATCGGCGATTCGCCCTCTCGTGCTGTGCTATTTGTTCCCGCCATGTGGTTCTCGCACACCTCGCTTCCGCCTGCCGTCACTGGTTTGTCTTTCCCCTTAGGCTAATGATAAAGTAGGTCTAGCCGGCGTTGACGAAACACAACGACTAACACACGCCCCCTCCCCTACTACATTACAGCCACACACATACGCACATACACACAACCTAAGCCCAGCCCAGCCTCGTGGGAGAGGAATGAACTGGCGAGGCAAGCCATCGCCGGGGCTGCCTGTCCGTCTGTACAACCCTATAATCGCTCACTTACTCCCTTCATCGTGCAGCCCTAGCCCCCTCCCTCTCGTCCTCATCGCTACACAAACGCCCTTCCGAACCCCAGGGGTCAAATGGACCACAGCGGGATACCGTAAAGGAATTCGGCGCACACTAGGTCCTCATCGCCCCCTGCGGGTCACATACACTCACACAGAAAAAAAAAAGCCAAACGGCGCTATTGAAATCTCGAACCGTTTGACTGCCACCACAGATGTGACGAGCTACTGCTAGTATCCATCCCGCAACGTCACCATCTGTGCACCGCTTTCCTTCCCCTGCCCTCGCCACACGCACGGCCCGGGCGTCCATGCCAAACACGCCTCTTAGATCGTCTCGGCCTGCTCCCCGGCCGACCACGGCTATCAAGGGGCGGGCGGTTCCCTTCAAGTGCCGTTGGGGCTACAGCTGAACGAGGCGAGGAGTGGCAAGCAAGGGAATTGCTGGGAGGGGTGGTGGGCGGAAAGTACGCATAGCTTGACAGACAGCCCTTTCACCGGCAGGCCGCCCCGGCGAAGGGTCCCCACCCCCCTCCTCATCCTGCTGGACCCTAGGCTAGAGATGGCGTCGAAACTCCCAAAGACCGTGCCCAACATATACGAGCTGCCGTTTTCTTGCTCGTTCGTCCCTGTCATGTGAATACATCCACGTTTTGGTGTAAAACAGGAGGTTAGGTAACTGCCATCAGTAAAGAGCCTACATTAAACACCGTGCATCTTGGAGAATGAAGCAATGAGACAGGTGAAATGAGATTCAGCTTAAAAGCTCCCAAGACCGTTGCCACTTATACAGACCCCCACGTAAACTCCAACAGTGAGTATGTGACTTCATCCAACCCTGTAAAAAGATAGAGCAAAAAAGGAGACGAGTATTTACATCGCATCCTCCCCTTGTTTTGTTTTTACCTCGATCCTTCCGCCTCACTAGGCGCGCGTCCCAACCGACCCTGGTCCAGCAACCCCATGTCTGGATTTGGCGCCATGTCGCACTTCGTGCCATTCCATCTCTGGCGGAGGATGGCGAGTGAGCCTCGTGCGAGCAGGGAAGTGGCCTGAGCCGGTGCGGCCTGTCGCCAGGCAGGCAAAGGAATCGGATCACTCCCTCGCTCTGTCGAGACGGGAGGGAGACCCCTGTAAATCTTAGCCGACATAGCTCCTCCCGGGCCAAATCAGCACACGCCGTTGTATTCAGAGAGAATAGAGGAAACCAAGAAATCCAAGCTAACGTCTAGACCGTTAGAGCGCAAGAGACAAGCCGACCAAAAAAGAGACACCAGTGGAGAAGAGTGCAATAAAACAAGAATGTAGGCGCGGTTTGCATGCAGCGAGGAGATGACAAGTGGTATATCGAGGATTGTGCTCAAAAACCGGTGAAAGTAGTGACTGTCCGCCATACGAGGATGAGGCGAGAAGATGGCGCAAGATGGAGAGCAGTGAACGAGGGATTACCAGGGCACGGTGTTATGTGCAAAAAAAGCCCCGTGACTTTGTCGTTGGCTTTCGTCTCACAGGCCACGTTGGAAAGACTCTCTCCTCTCTGTTCAATCCCAAAGGGAAAAAAAAGGAGGAAGGGCAAGGAAAAAAAAAAACATTATGTCGTCGTCGTATTCGTCATAGTCGTCGTCGGTCAAGAACAACACACACATCATGCCCTGGCGATGGGCTTTCGTCGGACCAGGAAGGGGCTGGGCATGTCATCCCTCTCGGGATCCCAGACCGCCGCCGGCTCAAGGGCCGATCCCGGGCGGCTGCTGGGCGGGCCCGCCGCGCCGGTCGTGTTGATGATGAGGTGGTCCTTCAGTCCCCTCCGGGTGGGGCTGACGTTGCCGCCGTTGCCGTTCTCGAGACTCATGACGGCGCTGAGCGGCCGGCCGCCGGCCCGCGCCTGCTGCAGCTCGACGAGGGTCCTGCCCTGGATGTTGTTCTTCTTGGGCACGAGCACGGGCAGTCCGGCACCGCCCATGTCCTTCTTGGTGAAGGACGGCTTACGGGACAGGACATGACCATCACCCGCTGCGGCGCCGATAAGGTTGGCCGCCGAGGGGATCTTGCTCAGCCGCCGGTTGGGCGAGTTGGATCGTTCCCGCAGCGCGCCACCGTCTGCCGATGCGCCCGTCGCCGTCCTCGCCGCGGGGGGCAGCGACGGCTGCTGCTTCAGCCTATTGATGGGCGCAGACTTCTGGTGCATCAGACCCGGGCGGCCGCCTGGGCCTCCGCCAGCGCCCGCTTTGGACACCATAACGTCGCGCTTGAAGGGGTTCTTGCGCGACTTGATCATGCGCGTCGGCGAGGGCGCCATGTTCTCGTCGTCGTCAAAGTCCGAGTCCAGCCCAGAGCTGCCAGACGAGCAGTCGCGGGGTGCCCAGCGGGGGTCGTCGGCGATGGCGCTGGGGATGGCAAAGATGTTGCCCGGGTTGGCCGGGGGCGCCTTGGTGGCTGCTGCCCGGCGGGGAGAGAGCGAGAGCGAGGCGATGGCCATGGGTGAGGGAGACGCCATCTCGACGTCCATGGGGGTGCCGACGGCGCCGGCGCCGGCGCCGGCAAACATGGTCTGCGCCCGCGCAAACGGCGTCCGCGCGTTCTTCTTGACCAGCACCTCGTTGCCGAAGGAGGAATCGGGCGAGTGGGCCGAGACCTCTGAGGCGTCCGTGGCCGACGAGACGTCGCCATCGGTACTGGTGCCGCCCATCGAAGACCTGGGGTAGTCGCTGGACTTGGAATGTGACGATGAGAGGTCCGTCTCGGCCGAGGCGGCAAATGACACGGCCGCCTTCCTAGCGCGCGCCTGAAGTTCGGCCTCGACGCGAGCCTGGACCTCGCGCTCGAACGTCTTCTGCAGCTTCTCAAGCTCGTCCTTAACCACACGGTCGATCTCCAGCCGCGCCTTGACCTCCCACTCGCGATGGAGCGTCGCATCGATCTCCTTGCGCACGCCCTCCACCTTGTGCTCATATTCCCGTATCCGGGCGTTGAGCGCGTCCTCCTTCTGCTTGAGCAACCTGTTCATGTCAACCACCTCCTTCTCCTTGCGCATCAGCCGCACCACTGGCAGGTTCAACAGCGCTGCCGTGTCTGGTCGTCGGTCCGGATTGACGCGCAGGCAGTCCTTGATGACTGCCGTCAGTTCTGGCGAGTACGCAGGAGGAAGGGGTGCGATCTTCCCCTCCTTGATCTTCTGCACCAGCTGAAAGTGCGTCTTGGCGTTGAAGGGCGGCTCCCGCGCACAGAGTTCGTAGATGATGCAGCCAAGCGACCAAATGTCAGACTTCAGCGTGTACTTCTCCGCCGCACAAATCTCTGGCGACATGTAGAAGGGCGTTCCCACGTAGGTGGAAGCGAAATCGTGTGACTGGATCATCTTGGCCAGGCCAAAGTCGCCGAGCTTGACGAGGTTGTCCTCTCCGAGGAACACTGCATAGCAAACAGGTCAGCATACCAAGACACTCCAGGCCTTCTCAGGCCCCCGTTCCCAGATGGCGCTTGTCTGCCCGCCCTAAAGATACCACTCACCATTCTCGGGCTTCAGATCGCGGTGCAGGATGGTCATGGTTCCAGGGGGCACCACGGGCTTGGCTGTATTCCCCAGGCCGAGAAAGTTTCCAATCTCGGGCGGGTTGACACCGTAATGACATCGGTAGAGCGCTGTTACCAGCTGACTGAAGATGGACCACTGTGCATCCTGGTTAGACGGCCATGTCGTTTCTAGGCGAGGAGCAGTGGGAGGGGTCTGCGTACCACAAAGCTCTCCTCAGCGTATTGGTTCTTTGCCTTGAGTGTTGAGATGGCCGTGCCAAGATCTCCTCCTCCAGCATATTCCCTAACGTGCATGGTCAGCACTGCAAAGTAACAGTAACAGTACATGTGGGCAGAGTCCAGCCTGGGCCAATCCTGCTTACATGTACAAATGAAGCTCTTGTTCTTGCTTCAAATGGCATCTTGAGTAGTATTCGATGATGTGTGGGTGCTAGAGGGTGAGCACGGTCAGCGTTGGTGCTGGGGGTATCGCTTCGCCCCCCGGAGACTATCGTCCTACCTTGAGGCTGGAAAGGATCTGAAATTCGGCGTGGAGCTGTGCTCGCTCTCTGTCAAGAAAAATATTCTTGTCAGCCCAGTCCTCGGCAGCATCCCGTTGTGAGAGGCCGAGGTAGAGGCGGAGGCAGTTACCGTTGCGACATGCGCCCATAGTTGATCTCCTTGCGGCACAGGATAGCGCCGTCGACCTTGCGGCGGACCTTCTTGATCACACCGAACGAGCCCCGGCCTATGGTGTTGAGGCACTCATACTCGTCGCCTTCGGGCGACGCCATCGTCGCCGTGGTGCTAACAATATCGGAGCTGCGTCGGAGCGGTGTCGGGTGCAGGCAAGGCGGTGTCGGCGGCGGTGTCGGCGGCGGTGGGACAATGCTCGGGTCAGGGTAGAAGGCGGGATGGCATGCGAGAGCTGGGGAGGCAGGCGGAAGTGGTGATGGTGGTGACTGCAGAGTTTGGCGGCGGCAATGCTGGAATCCGGGCATGTGCGAGGAGAAAAGTCGCCGAGTAGACGCAGCTCGCAGCTCACCAAAGCTGTGACGTGAATTTGTTCACAAAACAGTGCACGTCGCCCGGGCAACCAACGGGACATCCAGCTTACATAACTCCAGCTGTGACCCCACAACTCCGACCCCACAGCTCGGTGCCTCGCAGATTGGGCTCGTGGCCGTCACACAAGGTTCCACCATGGCGCGCTGCATTGACATTGACATGGAATGTCTCTCTCGTGCTGTTTGCAACTCCCGGCAGACGCTGCCCCAGATCCTGGTCGATACCTGCACAAGAGCAAGCTCTTGTCCTGAGTCACCAGCTCCCCCGACTCAGCGCATAGATGCCCACGGCCAGTGTTGTTGCCAAGCTCAACCATGGTCCGACGCGGCTGAGCGCGTCGAGGGAACCGAGCCAGTTCCGGAGCGAAACTCGTGGCTATAGCAACATGGCCTAGTGACTCGGGCAATCTCATGCTAGCCAGCGCGGCTTTGCTTTTGTGCGTCCAGACTGGCATGGTCTCTGGAGTGCACTGGTAACAGGTGATCGGCGGCAACGCGATACCCGACCTGCGTACCAAGTCAATATGAGCATGGATAAGCAAGACATCTTGGCCAACATGTGGAGAGAGAAGCCTGCCACAACCGACTTGTTGTGTTTCTGTTTTCTTTCCCCTCGTTTGCCATCGGCATTTTTTGTTCGCCTGTGGTTTCTCGATATTTACCGAGTTGCCGAGGGGCTGGTATGTTTGGGGAACTGAATGCATTTCTTGATTATCCGTGACGCCGGCGGGTTCTCGCCCTTGATTTAAAACAAATAGAGTAAAATAAACGATGAGAAATGGAACTAAAACAATCATGGCGAAAGATAAAAAGCAAAAAGCCATTGATGCCGAAACAAAACCAACCGAAAATTCAAGAAACATTAATACATAACTGCGTGTCGAGAATAAGAAACGCCGTTACCACAAAATTCCAACGAGCCGCGAGGCTATTCCCATCTTATTGCAGCCGTGAGGCCCTTAATCCATTCTAAACAATCCATGCTGATTCGGACGGTTACGACCAGAGGGCCGCGGGTGCTCAGTGTCGGTGGCGCGAGGAGCTCGCGTGGCCGTGCTTGTGGCCGCTGTGGTGGTGGCGGCTGCTGCCGGAGGAGTGGTGGTGCCGCGAGCTGGTGGACGACGAGGCGGCCAGCTCGCGCTCCAGCTCGGCGGCGCGCTGCCTGTACCCCTTGACGATGTCCCGTATGTTCTGGATCCGATCGAACTCGAGGTCGAGGGCGTCGAGCTCCTCGTTCAGGCGGTGGAAGCGGGCAATCTCGGCGTCGGCGTCGGCGACTATGTTGCCGGCCTCGTCGTACATGGCGCGGGTGGCGGCCTCGCACTGCTCCGAGAGGTAGGCGATGCGTTGTTGTATCTGCTGCATGGCGCGGTCGAAGTGGCGGCCGAGTTGGGCGAGCGAGCCCGTGTCCATCATTAGCAGGCCCTGCGACGAGGCGCGGCTGGCGGCGCGCGACGAAGACGAGCCGCCGGCCGCCGCCACCTGGGTCTGGGTCTGCTGCAGGAGGAGCGCATCGTCGTTGGTGAGACCCAGCTGGTTGATGGGCACTGCATTCTGCTGGCTCGAAGATGACATGACGGCGTGGCCCGGGCGCTTGTCTGTGCCGCGGCGGGTTATCGGGGGAGGGCCGCCGGCGGGGGCGCGAGGGCGGATCGGCGGATCGGTGCTCTGGGGTTATTCGGGGTACGCGGCCGGCAGATGGCGTGCGGGGCGCCAAGGCTCCGCCGGGGGAGGAGGCGGTATCTTCTGCCGCGGGGTGTGCTCTTGGTTTAAACGGCTGGTGGGACGGGTGTGGGTGCAGGTAGCCGAGGCTGTGATGGGCGGGCTGTGATGTCCCTCCAGGGGACGGGGCCGCCTGGGCTCGCAGCGCTCCGAGGGTGCGCCGCGCGTGGGCGGCCGTCGGAACGGGACGGGGCCAGAGGCGATACGATGCTGCGCGACGGATTCGGGGCCGGCAGTGGCGCGGTCGTGCTCATTCTTGGGCAGAGGCGCGCAGGGCGTCATGGCTTCGAGGGCGCTGGGAAGGTGGTCATGGCAGGGGGAGAGAGATGCCTTTTGCGGATGGGCGAGCGTGTGTGTGAAGGAGGGAAAGCGAGCCCGAAGGGGAGCGGAGAAGGTGGTGGTGGTGGTGGAGAGGCAACCCCCAGGTCGAGCGAGAGGGATGGCTCGGGTCCTTGCAGGCGAGGCGAGGCGTTTGAGCGGCAGCAGACGACAAATAAATAATGGCGGGAACGGCAGCGACACCAAGCACACAAATTGCCGATGGGGTCAAAACCCGCTCAGCTCTGATGCTCGGCCATGTGAAGAGCTAGTCGAGGCCTCGGCGGTTTGTGGACGGCGATAAGATGCGCGTTTAAAGCCTGAGCCTGCGAGACGAGATGGGGACGGGCGCTGAGCTGGGCTGGGGGAGCTCGACGTTAGCGGCAGTCTGTGCCTGTGGAGCACAGGGGACCTTTGGCCAGGCAGCTGTGCCTAAAGCGTTGGTACTTTGGAGCTTAGCTTGGGCAGGTGCTGGCCCAGGCAGGTGGTGGCCCAGTCCCAGCCAGCTCAGCCTGCATTGTTTGGTCAGGAAGCCTTCCGGCCGCGACACAGCACACAAAATAAAAAATTCAATCAAAATCCGTGGGTTGTGCCTCTTCTGGTTTTTCTTTCTTGCCGCGTTTTTGTTTGTTGTTTTGTGTACACGTTGGCGAGCATTACACGTAATTTGCTGCCAACTCGCAACCCCAGCCAGCCCTGACGCCATGGACTTGATTTCCGTTTTGGGGAATTGCGTTGGTGACAACGGTTCTCGCGCTAGACTCGGGCCAAGTTAGCGTCGCTCTTTCCTGTACCTTTGCACCGTGCAGCATATCAACACCACCAAGAACCCACCTACAGCTGGTGCTCTGCCTTCGAGATGGAGGAGTGGTCGAGATCCCCACCGTGCCAAGGCCTCCGCATCCAGCCACTCATCTTCAACAGCTTTCATGCCATGTTGATCCTCCCACGTTCGCCCTCGCCCAATAACCTGGAACGCCCGGGTTGAACGGCGACCTCTCTCGCAACTTCCGACGAGCCTAGGCGACGTCAACCCCAGCCCCCGAGATGCTAGTCCCAGACCTTTACCTCTTCAGACTGGCACAGCCGAGTAGCGCGTCATAGCAAACACGCTTGCGAATATCAGAAGCATGAGACTGAGCGGGACTGAGCGAGACAAAGCCTCCTTGCGGCAGTACTCCTTGACCATACTGATAAAGCAGACGACAACAACTGGCCAGAAAAATAGTGAATCCGAGGTATCTGAATCAAGCCTATCCCCAAACTATCCCCAACATATACCGGAAATCCCCCAATGACAGGGAAACCATGAAGAAAGCAACCCAACTCCGGGAGCATGTCCTCCTGTAAACGAAATCCCTTTAGAGTGGCCTGCTCCGATATGGCGGTGCGTTTATCAACCCCACGACCTGATCGAGCTGTGTGGCGTCTGGGGTGCCGCCTCGGCCTCATTCTAAAGCCTGCTAAAGCTTGCTACCGCATGGACCTATCTGGGATCCCCACTAGACACCCGGACCAGCGACGGCTCTGCCGGGAGGAACTGTGCTCGGCGCGGCCGCCTTGGCGTGAACAATGGCCCGCAGTGCCGCCCTTGGCTTGGAAAAGTAATCCTTCTTAACTTGACGAGCCGCCTCCTCATCAAGGCCGACGACCGACACCAGCTCCCCCCCAAGCCGTGCCGTCACCACATTATTTAGCAGGCCAGGGAAGAGCCAAGGGTATTGTAGCATCTCAACCTCGAACGCCCTGACCGTCTCGCGGGCAAGTCTCTCATAATCATATCCCGTGAGGCTTTGTACCGTCGGGTTTGCGACGCCCGCGCTGACGCTTTGTCTCCTGCTGCCCCTGGTGCTGCCAAGGATCAAGGCCAGGCGGAAGAGGTTTGAGGCCGAAACGGCGTTCGTAGAAGGCATAGACCCGTCCATTCCGTCCTTCAGTCGAAGAATTACATGCGGCGCCGACTCGGCAGTGGCGTAGAACCCGCCCGATGACGATAGGTGAGGAGATGCAGTTGCCAGGTCTTGCCCGTGAGGGGCAATGTGGTCGTAGAACAACTCGATCTGCTTTTCTAGGACACAGGCAAAAATCCAAGGTTAGTCAATCGACGGCCACTGTAGAAAGGAGGCCCCAACTTACTCTGGAGGTCGTCTGCCCAGTTCAGGACATCGTCGCGTCCTGTAGCCTCGTACAGGTAGAGCAGAGCCTCGATGAGAAAAGCATAGTCTTCGGCTAGCGCCTCTGTCTGGCCCCTGACTCCGGCTCTCGATGTCCTGTACAGCTTCCCCGCCTCAGCATCCCACATCCTTTTGATCTCTTTGATGGCTGTCTCGGCAGCCGACAGATATCTAGCTCCCCTGTCCGCGTCCACACCGGACTCGATGAGGACAGCGCCGGCGCGAGTGAGCGAGGTCACTACCAAAGCGTTGACGCTCAGTACCACTTGGTCGTCAACATCCGGGGAAATCCGCTCCCGTTCCCGGCGCGAGCGAAGCCTCTCGCGGGCACTAACCAGGATCCGTCGCACATCATGCTGAGAAATGCCAAACGAAGCAGAGAGTGCTGCTTCGCCTTTGACAATGCGCAGCACGTTCTGACTGATAAACTCATCGTGAGGATCGTCGTCACGAGAGATGTTTCCATGCTCCAGGACATTGTAGCGCGCTGCGGCGACTTGAGCCGCCAGGTCACCACCACTGGTACCAGCACCACCCACGGCACCGGAGACACCAGTGCTGCCAACCTCGCGCACCGTCATGTCAAACTCTTTCCTTGTCCAACAATAGTATCCGCCTTGTCGCATTTGCGTGTCGCCCTTGCGATAGAACGAGTCGGATGCCTCGCTAGTGGCGAAGAGACCCTCTGGCGTCCGGATTGGGTCGCTTGTGAGGTAGTCCGCCAACTCAAGGACGACATCGACAAACTCATCATAAAGAGATAGTGCCTTTCCTGGTGAGGAAGTCGCGATGCCGAGCCAGGCGTCCAGGTACACGTTGAGGAGAAGTGCGTTGTCGATAACCATTTTCTCAAAGTGCGGCATGGACCAGTCGGCGGTTCCACTATACCTGAAGAAGCCAGACCAAATTTGGTCCCTCAAGCCCGAGTCTCTCAGCTTGCGCAGTGTGTGTACTGCCATGTGCACAGCATTGTCAACCTCGTCGCCGCCCAGCACGTCAGCTACGGCCGAAGGAAACCTGGCGAGGCCGAGTAGGAATGCGAGCTTGGGGGGAGTCGGAAACTTGGGCGCCAGGTTCCATCCACCGTTGGTCCGGTCGAAGGTGCGGGATAAGTGTGAGTAAGCCTCCTCTAGGTGCTCAAGATCGACGTCCAAGTCCGCTGCGGCTGCTGTGGCTGTGGCGGGCTCGATGAGCGTAGGGGGCGGGGCAGGTTCCGCACCCATATCGTCCTGGATGCCCGAGGTTTCCAAACCGGTGCTGGCAGGCGTAGTTGTGGGTGTGATGCTCCTTCTCGTACCCAGAGTACCCTCTGCAGCGAATGCGTGGAGCTTGAGGACAATGTCCTTAGCTTCGGTTCGGCACTTGGTCTCCTGCTCCGCCCAGACTTTTTGGAGTTTCTTGAGTATGGAAAGAAAGTCTAGTCTCTCTTCATCCTCTCCATCCAGGCTCTCGGCATAGCTACCAGGGCCGGGCCAGTAGGTTCCGCCGAACACAGGCTCAAGCTCAGGGGTGAGAAATATATTCAAGGGCCAGCCGCCACCCCCATTGACGGCCAAAAGGTAGTTCATGTAGATGCTGTCGATGTCTGGACGCTCCTCACGGTCGACAATGACGGGGATGAAGGAAGAGTTTAGCAGAGAGGCCACAGACGGGTTGCAGAATGAGTCTTGGGCGGTGAGGCGGCAGTCTGCGAAGGCAGTCGTTTGGGTTAGTAAATCAGTACGAAGCGAGAAGTCTAGGCGTCCTTCATGCCGAATCATAAGTCAAAGGGCTCAGCGGCCAAAGGGGCGTACAGTGACAAGCTTTAAAGCCAATGAAAAGAAATATAAGCTTATTCTCCCGCTTGGCCCGCGCGATGGCGTCGCCATCGAGCAACTGCCACGCGATTGGGGTTTCATGGTGTGCGCGCACGTAGGGGCTGGAGCTGTCGCCGGCGCGATTGACCAAGGGCCGGGCGGGAACGGAGGCGGCGGCGGACCGAAGCCCAGAAGCGCCCTGGCCAGCGGCATTGCGCGCAAGAGGGTTGGGCGGCGTGGCGGTCGCGGTCGCGGTTGCGGTTTCCGCGCGGGCGGGATCTTGCTCAGCGGCCAGAGCGGGCGGCGCTTTGGCGACGGCCTGCTGCAGCTGAGCCGACATCATCTTGGCTTGGCCCGTAAGAAGCCGAGGCGGCCGAGGGGCGCGGTGGGGTTTCTGGCGGTGGCCTTGGAGAAGCGACGAGGTGGTGGGGAGGCTCTTCGGGCATGGGGGTGGCACTTTTCGGTGAGAAAGCGAGGGCCGAATCAGAGCGGTAGGAGATAGAAGCTGCCGATTCTGGAAGCAGGTCGTCGGCCGGCTCGGCAGGAACAAGACCCCTCCCGTCTGCATCTGGTCCTGAGGCTGACGTCGTTGGAGGGGTGGGTGGGGTGGATTTGTGGAGCAAGCGATCTCGATCCATTCCTCTGTTCCAACTACAGCTCTTAGTTAGGGGACTGCCATCCACAATCTGCGTTTCGGCCTGGTGATGCGGTCTTTGCCTCGATTGCCGGCCCCAGATCCGGCAGACGCAGGAAAATGAAGTCAGCATCTTCCCAGAGCAGCCGTGGCGGCATTCTCGGCGTCGCCGCCTTGTTGTGCTTGGCTCAGGGGCGATGAGTAACCAGGGGAGGGGGGGGGGGGGGTCCGAGGTCCATGCCCCCCGGCCCTCCTCGTATATAGTTCTCGGCTGGTTCTTCCTCATAATCGAGAACCCCCAGCATCAAGAACCCCCATCATCAAGAATCCCCATCATTCTCAGAACCGCCTTACCCTCGCGCCAATCGCAATGCCGAGACCAACAACGACCAGGCAGTGGGTGCTGGCCAACAAGCCAGATGGCCTTCCCATTCTCGGGGACGGGCCCGACGCCACCTGGCGGCTGCAGGAAATGCCTCTGAGGCCGCTGAAAGAAGGCGAAGTTCTCGGCCGTGTGCGATACATATCCAATGATACGGGCTTGCGCGGCTTCATATCCACAAGCGTCGCGCCCGAGAGATACTACGTGCCTCTTGTCGAAGTTGGCCAAGCCATGCGCGCCGGTGTCATCACCGAGGTCCTCGAATCCAAGAGCGATCGTTTCAAGCCCGGCGACATGCTGATGGACTACCACCTCGGCTGCTGGTCAGTACCGACCCTCGTACAGCGACAACCGCCAAGTGCGCTAGCTAATCATCTCGGCCAACAGGGGCGAGCACGTCATTCTTGACGTGACCAAATCTCAACCGCTTCTATCGCCTGTGCCCGAAGGCGTTTCGCTCACGAACTACGTGGGGGCGCTAGGAGCTTCAGGTTTAACTGCCTTCACTGGTTTGAAACATGTTGGCCAGCTCAAGCCGGGCCAGACGGTGGTGGTATCTGCCGCCGCGGGTGCCACGGGCTCGATGGTGGTGCAGATCGCGCGCAAGATCCTCGGGGCCGGGCGCGTCATCGGCATCGCTGGCACAGACGAGAAGTGCCAGTTTGTCAAGAACGAGCTGGGGGCCGACGAGTGCCTCAACTACAGGAGTCCCACCTTCGAGCAGGACCTCAAGGCCGCGACGCCGGACGAGGTGGATCTGTATTTTGACAACGTCGGAGGTCACATACTGGACGTGATGCTGACGCGAGTGAAGAAGTTTGGACGAATCGCCGTCTGCGGCCTTGTGTCGACCTACAACTCCGCTGCCGACGAGCCGATGACATTACGGAACATGTTTGAAGTTGTTTCGTGCGGTCTCACCATCCAGGGCTTTATCATGCTGGACTACATCGACAAGGTGCCCCAGATGATGGCGGACTTGGTGGAGGGCGTTCAGAAAGGACTGATCTCCCTGAAACATTCGGAGCAGGTCGTCGAGGCCAGTATCGAAAAGCAGCCCGAGATATTCATGAGCCTGTTCAAGGGCGCAAACAAGGGCAAACTGGTCACTAGCCTGCAGACTTAGGCCACAGGTTTAATGGTGGTTATGTACGGAATAGAAAGAAAATGCGCAAGCCCGACTAAAGATAAAAAAGGTGCCACCCCCTGTCGAGAGTGGTTGCGATTTAGTACCACGATTTAGTACTACCCCCTATTGGAGGTGGTTACGCGTTTCGTCTTGCCGACCCCGCGAGGGTTAAGCCGCATAGGCGGGACCGACAAGCCGAAACGATCTTTTTTATTTCAACTCGTTTTACGACTTCTTTGGCCTGCCTTGAAGCTGGTTGCCGAAATTGAGATCAAGAGGGACACCCGTCATCGTGCCAAGGGGATCGGGAAAGATACGGTGCACAACGGCCTCTGAATTGTAGGAGTTATGATCTCCAGGATCGTTGGGATCCTCCCTCTGAAATCTAGGCCAACTCTAGGTAGGAGTTCTTGGAACCATTCAACCTTCCCCTTCGGAGAGATCTTCTCGGCCTTGTCCAAGTACTCCCTCTGCTTGTTTAGGATCCATCTGAGAACGGCTCCTGCTCCTCGGGAGCCTAGACCAGGGCGATACAAAACGAGCATCACAGGGGTTGGTGTAATATCTAGTGGAAGAAGTCGGTTGAACAGATGAAAAACCTAGGTTGGCATTTATATGGAGTTGGGCGTATTCGATTACATGCGGGTAAAAGGGGGCAACAAGGGGCAAGGGCCGGAGGAAAAAGGGAGACGGCAATATACTATTTTCAATATACGGCTTGACGACATACCCGAACCAGATAATCTCCCTGAAATCTTGGCTTCGACTCAAAGCCCTCTGCCCCCTGCTCCAGGCTTCTTCATCACCCTGTGTTATATCTAATACCCACGCTCCGCCGCCGCCTGCGCCTGCCTCTGCTTGGCGCTGGCGAGGTCCGCCCTCTCGCGACTCTCGGCCGCCTTGGCCGCCGCGACTGCCGCCTGCTGCTGCTGCTCGGCGTGACTCGGTGGCGGCTGCTGATAGGCTGGCGGCGGCGGTGATCGCGGGGCCTGAGGGGGTGGCCGCTGGCCTTGCGGCGGGGGCGGCGGCTGGAATCCTTGCGGTGGTCGCTGGGCCTGAGGAGGTGGCCGCTGACCCTGCTGCGGTGGTCTCTGGCCCTGAGGCGGTGGTCTCTGGCCCTGCGGTGGCGGCGCTCTGTTGGGGTTCGGATTCTGAGGAGGCAGGCGGGCTCCCTGGCCACCCTAAGAGCCCGCGGGCTTGCCCCCCTGGGCAGGCCTCGGGGCGCCGCCTTGCCCGGTGGCCCGCGTATCCAGAACGACGTGAACGGGCTCGGAGGCGGCTCCGTGCTGCCAGCCAGGGTCGGCGGCGTCAACGACGGCGCCTTCGCGCTGAAGATCCTCACGGAGCATGAGGGAAGGAAGGGACTGGAGAGGGGCCGCCACAGCGTAAGGGACTGCCAAGGCAAGGATGAATGAGACGGGTGAAGGCATGCTGTGTATTTTGATATCGCAACACGCGGTACAGACGGGGAAGAGTGCCGGACGTGTCTGTTGCCTGCTTCGGGGCAGTAGGGGGCTGAAATGAGAGGCATGGAAAACAGCAATCGGCACCAAGGGTCTGGCTGCTTCAATACTCGGCTGCGAGGCTGCGGCATCCGATTCCTGCCCCATGGACCCAGAACTTCGCGGTCTTGACCGGGCGGCGGGACGGATATCGCCGCGTATCGTGGCCGAGAGGTCATCTGTGGGCCGACGGGAAAACTGCATCGGCGAGCGAGCTTTTGAGTCTAGAGCAGACAGGCTCGGCCGGTATGCTGGAAGGAACAAGACCCCGCTCTTGAGTCGGCATCGCGATGTCTGCCTGCATCGCTAGGCGGCAACAGAGGTCAACAATAAGGTTGGGAAAAGCTACCGCACCTCCCTCAAGTCTCCTACTTCCCCTCGTTCCTCCATCTTTCTCCGCTTCACTTTCTATCCCCTCGCTCTTGATTTCCCTTCATTTCCATTTCTTTCACCCACCGTATTTCTCCCTCTCCTTTCTCGACCATTATTAGTGATACGAGCTCCGGAAGAGATCAGATGACTGGCATCTGTCGAGCATGTCGAGACGACTACGCCAAGGCCAAATTGGGAAACCACCCGACGGATATGGAAGACAGATCCCAGTGGCTGGAACCTGACATGAAGCTAAGATGAAAGGCTAGCCCACTGGGTGACTGAACAAGGCAATGAGAGCGAGGAAACGCAGGGATCTCGGTGAAGACGGTTCTCTCAAGGTTGAGTCTAATCCCATCACTTAGTCATGTTCCCGGAGTTCCAGTCACTTTGAACTCTGCCGAGGGTGCTCATCCCGTCAGAGTCGTGCAATCTGCCAATGGCCTGGAACCGGCAGGCCGGCATCACGCCGTTAGGATCAACGTTCATGGGCGTGGCCCAGAATTAGCCAGGTGCAGCATATGTGGAAAGTTCCGATACTGAAGGAAAGCATGGCTGGATGAATGAATGCCCATAAAATTATTGTCTAAAGAAGCCAGGCCTGTGGGACCTCAAGGAAATGGGCCGGCGAGAGCTTCTTCCAAGGTCTGGCCGGTAAGCTTGGAGAAGACGGCCCGATAGCGATCGGCTGTTGCGCGGGCAATGTCGTCGGGGATGGCCACTCCCTGCTTGCCCTTGAGGCCGCTCGAGGTCAGCCAGTTCCTGATGAACTGCTTGTCGAAGCTGTCCTGGTCGCGCCCGGGCTCTGTATGATGAAGTGGTTGGTTGTCAGCAAGCAAGCAAGCAGGCAGGGTACCGCGGCAAAGCATCGTTTTCCCAAGGATGATTGTGTAGTATCCATACCGTACTTGTCGGCCGGCCAGAAGCGCGACGAGTCCGGGGTCAGGGCCTCGTCGATGAGCACGACCTCGTCCGTCTCCTCGTCGAGGCCAAACTCAAACTTGGTGTCGGCGATCAGGATGCCGCGCTCGGCGGCGTAGTCGGCCGCGGCGCCGTAGACTGCCAGGGCCAGCTCCTCGATGCGGCCGGCGTACTTGCGGCCGACAATCTCGGCGGCCTGCGTGGGCGTGATGTTCTCGTCGTGCTCGCCCTGCTCGGCCTTGGTCGAGGGCGTGTACATGGGCGCGGGCAGGCGCTCGCACTGACGCAGACCGGCGGGCACGGCGAGCCCGTGGACGGTGCCGCTCCGCTGGTACTCGGCCCAGGCCGAGCCGGCCAGGTAGCCGCGCACGATGGCCTCGACGGGGAACACCTTGAGGCGGCGCACCTGCATGCTGCGGTGGCGGATCAGCTCGGCCTCGGCCGCCGGCAACCCCGCGGGCGGGTCGAGCGAGATAAAGTGCGTGCGCAGGCCCGGGATCTTCTCCTGCAGCTTCTTGAACCACCATACGGTTGAGAGGTTCAAGATTACGCTCTTGTCGGGCACGCCCGTGTCCAGCACCACGTCGTAGGCTGACATGCGGTCCGTGGCGACGAAGAGCAGCGTCTTGTCGTCGACGGCGAAGAGCTCGCGCACCTTGCCCTTGGCGATCTTGGGCAGCGCGGTGAGCTCGACGCTGGTGACAGTGGCCGACATGGCGTTTGTGTGATCTGCCTAGTCTGTGTAGAGTAGGCTGGCTGTATATATACCAATATGCCGTCGCCGTTGAGACGGTTATCTCGGCACAGCTGATGGATGATTTGGTGGCCGGGTGATTCACTTGGAACACGAGGGAAGAAGGGAAGTGAGTGAATAGCAAAGAAAATTTCAACGGGAGCTAATGATAGAAAGCCACAAATCAAAGCCGTCGTGATACGAATGCCATGTGCTTCACAGGGTGGCGCGGGGCTCGACGAGCGTCTTTTAAATCTCTGAAGCACGATTTGCAAGGTTTGCGTGTGCGGCTTGACTAGAAAAGTCTACCTTTGGCCGCCCACGCACACCTCCACGAATACCCGGCCAGGTAGGGTCCTGTATACCTACTTGGGCATCTACCAAACAGCGGTTCGTTGTCCTCGACCCCAGAGCCAGCCCTGTTCACCCAAAATGTCGATACACGAACGTCGGATATCACGAACTGTTTCGTGCGGCTGGCTGCTCTGCTCGTCGCATTTCCGTTGACCCCGCGTCGCGTCACGTCATACGCAATTCGTGTGTTCTGTGAATAATTTAACCCCCACCTCCCTGTATCGACCCTCCCTACCACGTGGGGATGCCATGTTGGATTGCCAAACTAATGCTAGAAATTATCTATACCGCCGTATCGTATGTAGAGATTACCCACATATGTATGTCTCCCACCGAACTCATCCTTTTCTTTTGCATGTCATGATCCTCGCCGTCCTTGCTATGCTATGCCTTGCTCCAAAGTCAATATCAACCATTAGACAATACCAATAGAAAAAAATAAGCTTCAAACAGGCCATCAGAACGCCATGAATGCTCCTCCAAGTAGAGCAAACAGCCCCGAGACCGCTATAACGGCAAGCATGTCGCCCCCGCTGCCACCGCCTCTCGCCCGCCAAGCCCCGTTGGACTCTGATGCCGCATCCGTCACCGTCACTGTCGGCTTCCCGTCAGTGCCCGTGACCGTCGTCAGAATAGTCGGTCCGGGGGTGGCAGATAGCTGACTCGCCACGCCAGACAGCCGTGGCAGGCCCGCCGTCGTGCTGTTGGATAGCTCTGTCACCTTTGAGTCGGTCGCGTTGAGGTTGGCTTGGGCAAGGCCGACCTGTTTGTGGTCCAGATCATACACAACGTACGCCGACCTCAGGAACGTGTCTCCCAGAAGGGTCCACTCGCTTCGGGCCAGGTCTGATGCCACAGATGCAAACCCGGCCGTGCTTTGGATTCCAAGCAGGCATGTGTCACGCGGAGCGAACGGCATATTCCCTGGCACCAAGTGCTCGAGCGCCCCCCTGATCACGTCCAGCACCATCTCGTGAACAGGCACGCGAATAGTCGTCGTCTCTTCCGCACCTCCGTTCACACCGGGACCGCGGAAGGAGAAGAACATGTTAAGGCCACGCTCACTGTCCAGCTGCTTGCAGTCGACAAACGTCAGACCCGTCCCCGCCGCCCGCGTGTCGGTGTGGGCGCCCGTCGTGCGAAAGACCTTCTCGGCCATGCCAGCAGGCAGATACGACAGGGTAGTTCCCGAGTCTAGCAGGGCCGGAACCCCCGAGGCGTTGCGCGTCGGCACTTCGGATATGGTCTTGTTGGAGAAGGCGATGGACATGGACGCCAAGTTGACGGTGAAGGACGTGATTTTGCCCGTCGACACGTCCGGTATCAGGGGCAGCACTCCCAGGGCGCCGATGAACTTGGCCGTGTCGACGCCGCCAAACAGGATGCGGCCCGACGGGCTCCGGCGGTCGTTGAGCCACAGACTGTACGCCTTAGCCGGGATCAAGCCCTGGCGCACCAGCTCATCCATAATGTTAGGATACTGCTCCGGCGCCGCCACGTGCGTGCTAAAGCCCACGCCCAAGATTCCCGTCCCGCGAACCGTCTCCTTCGCTAGGCCCATCTGCATCGACCGGATGGTGGTGCCGCCTATTGTGAAGTCATCTTTTATGTAGTCGCCCTTGGCTTGAGACCCGTCAAGATACCGGATCGAGAACCCGTCCGCTTGTTCCAGCGCGTACGAGGTGCTCTTGGCCGAGTCGTACGTCGTGGCGCACGTATCGCCGTGAACCATCTGCAGGGTTCTGCTTGTGCAAAGATTCGCTTCCTGCGACACGATCCAGGCGTCGCTGCTTCCCGTGTCGAGGACCATGCGCGCCGGTGTTCCGGGCGTGCCCACCTTGACGTCGATGTAGTAGGCACCGCCCGTGATGTTGTTGGCAAGCGATTCGACAAAGGTCGACCGCTTGGACAGTCCTTCTTGCTCCTCTGGATTGGACCTCACGATATCCATCGAGACCACGCTTGCAGAAACCACCGCGGCGGGGCCCCAAAGCGCCACGGCGGCTGCGGCGCCCACACTGGGCTTCATGGTTGCTGTTGGGGTGCCTGAGGTGCCTAGGGTGGCTGCGCTGCCGTCTTGTCGATCTTGTTGTAAAGGGTTGCCGGTGGTGCCGAAGAGCAGGAGAGCGGTACTTCCAGCAGGAGGGCGGCAGGCAGCTGCGCCGAACAAGGCCAGGAACTCCCGAAAAGAGGCTGAACGTCCCCCGGACGACCTCGCGAGCGGCCGTAAATGAGCTCGTGGCTGATGACGAATCGATTCGAGGGCGGGGCGACGCAGGCGGGCTTCTCCTGCAGCTACGCGGTGGCGCACAAAGGCTAGCGACAAGTGTGTCGACAGACTCGGGCGGCGATAGACCGGCAGACAAGGCCGTTGGCGGGAAGTGCAATTATGGGAATGATGAAGTGGACATGCCAAAATACATGTTGGCGCTGCTGGCCCCTTCCCTCTGACCTCAGTTCCCGAGTGCGGGTTGCTCTTCCCTTTTGGTCGGCAAACCAAAAAGCCTTGGGTCGCTTTCTTGGCTGTGGATGGGGAAGGAAGGCCCCTGAGCCTGAATGGAGAATCGACCGACCGCGCACTGCAAGCGAGCGCGGCGTGAGGAGGAGGCGCATCCGTCGCGGTCACGACGGACGAGGCAGACGCCGCAGACCAGCCTCGGGCCGACCTGTGTCTTCCCCTTGCTGTCAGCCAACCTCTCTCGTGCCCATCTGTGTGCCTGCGGAGGAAACCCTGCGCTGGGCGAGCTGGGCCGCGCGCTTGGTCGCAATGGGAATGGAGCCTCCTGTGCCCTGCATGTTGCCCAGGGCCCAGCCGGACCGCATCCCTGCTCTCCGTTAGCCCCGTCCCAATCAATGGTTGCGTTGCGGAGGCGAGAAGATCCAGACAAGGAAAATGGCGTGAATGGTCAACCAAAAGAAAGAAAATTTGTAGAAAAACAGACTCCCGGCCAGCCAGCCAGCCAGCCGAAGGGGCCACCCCCACCCATCCTTCGGACATGGGCTTCCTTTAGCAGGAAGACACACACTCCGACATCATCAGTTGCGAATTTCCCCAACCACGGGCCAGTTTACACACGATACTCTTTCCGATACGACAATATCAGAATATTGCCAATGGGCAAGTGGTGTGACTCTCATGTCCAGATGTGATTAGGACTATCCCACCACTACAACTATCTACAGGCAGTTGTAAACATCACCACCCTGGCTGGTGTCGCCGAGGGAGGCCCTTTTTTGATATCCCATTTCGCTCCCGCGTATCCCACCTAGAAGATCTCATACCCTTAGCGGTCTTTCCGTGACATTCCCCCAGCATAAACATTAATCCAATTGAGTTAATACATGCACTTCTCTTCGGAGATAACCCAAGTGTACAGCAACATGTGGCGGCTTCGAGCTTACTGAGAAAATGCCGTTATTCCACTGTTGACAAATCCTTCTCTAGGGTTTGGGGTTCAAACTCTTCGGGAAGGAGCCTCGTCGTCTTGGTCACAGTACTTACCACGGCTCATTCTAGCAGTGAGGATTCCAGTGCAGAGAACAGAGGAATCCTGACATGTGTTGTGAGATGTGATATTGTTCTAGTAAATTAACAATGCAATTCGCCACAAGTCGACTAGCAGAATAGGCGTAAAAACCACCTACTTTAAACATTAAGCTTGAACACTAATTCTATGGCATCTAGGCTAGGTTCTAACAAATGGGGACATGGTGATCCCTCCTGATCGATCTGCAGGTGCCAAACAATAAATTGAGTAGAGGATGGTTCCTAGGCGGATCCATAACCTACAGACCAGCGTGCGATCCCTCCTCGACACATTTGTCCAGGACACCGATAGACTTCATGTCTCTTCGTATCACACTTCACCAGAATCCCTCGGTCTCCACACTTTCCTCCTCGCGCGGCGCTCTCTCTGCCTCGCTCTCTCCGTCGCTCCTTGCCGGCCATGTTGCAACGCCAATATGGTCCATTGCTTTGACCATGGATAGCGCCGGCTCCCAAAGTGCCCTGAAGCAGCCATCCTGTTTCATCGATGCAACGGTCCAGGCAGCTTCTTCTCCAAGACCTAGACGCTCGTTGGCTTTGAAGAGATCCTCGGCTTTGGCCGACGATAGTGAGCCCTCGAACCATGCCGAGGCCCGTCCCTCCTCGGGACACTCCCTGGCTGGGAAGGAGTGGAATCTCACCCAGCCGTCTCGCATGCCTTGCGATACAATCGCCATGTCCTGGATCTGATCGATGTCTAGGTAGGTGGCTCCGCTCGGACATTTGTGGCGGGCCGTGTACCGTACACGCACTCCTCTCACGCGAGCCCCTGCTGTAGCGCCGCCGCCGAGAGGACGTGGAGGTTCCAGTTCGTAATACAGAGTCGGGGTACGGTTCGTGTTCCGGCTAGGGAGACTTGCGGTCAGTTCATGAGAGGTTCGGGGTGGAAAGGGGGGAGGGGGATGCTAACGGTATCTCGAGTGAATCCACCAGGCCACGAGCGAACTCTGAGTACATGGCCTCCAGCTTCCTAGTTGGGCTGCAGCTGGCCACTACCTCAAAATCCCAATGGCGGTGCAGGCAGTGAATCGCAACTGGGGCCAGGCGCCCGTTGGGGGTGGTAATGGTAAAGCTGAAGTCGACGGCGTCAACTTCGACTACAAACTGCTTCGCCCGGTCACCGAGTCGGCTATCGGCGGTACCAAAGCCATCGCACATGAACTCGTAAACAACCCGCCGAGAATGAAGCACCCAGGAGCTGGCTTCCGGGAGGCTACCGAGAGAGTCGGCATCCTGGCCATATAGCGAAAGCATGCGTGTAAACAGGAATGTCTCTGGCCGGCTGTATGCCTTTGCCATGCCCGGAAGCAGCGCTTCTGGGCGCCAGCCGGAAGCCTCCTGGTTCTTGTCGTTCGTTGCAAGCCCACTTGGCGTGAAGTCTTTCAGGCAAATACGACCAAACACGATCTTTAAGGCCACCTTGCCGGAGCCGTAACGCAGGCGCTCGCTGAGCCGTGCAATGTTCGCCTCCAAGTCCTCTCGAAACTTTGGCTCGGGGTCCTGGTTTTTGGGCTCAAGCTTTTTGGCGTTAGGCGCTTTCTTGCGTGAGGCAGTCTTCTGGTCCATCGTCTCGAAGAACACGCGGCTGCTTCGATCATCGTCTTGTCCTACCGAGGGACGGGCACTACTAAACGACTTAGTAGGCACGAGCGCTTCCATATTGAAGTTGATAAGGGCGTGGGGATCTTCGTCGTGTGGTTGGGAAACCAGGGATGGCATCCTAGGAGGCATGTCATCCAACAAGCTTGCTTGCTGTGATAAAGTCCCAGCTGGCGGATTGCAATATTGCTGGGTATTCGTATCTGGGCCGCGCGCGGCTAGCCCGCCTCGGCTGTTCGTTGAGAGGGGGTGGCAGTTACCTTCCAGTGTCTCGGGATCTCCGGGTGCCAGGAATGAGCTTGGGGGCGACAGCCCGAGAGCGGGAAACTCGGAGAGAAGATCCATCTCCGGGGGAGAACTAGGATGCCGAGTCAAGTCCGGAGGCAGTTGCATGTTTGGCGACGGGTTGCTCTTTTGGGCCGGATTCGGGGCGTACGAGACCTTAACAGCCTTGTTAGGGAGCTCCGGCCATTTTGTCGGATCGTTACGCCAGCCCCGAGGGGATCCGTTCAGAGTGTTACCCGCAGAAGAACCCAGCGGAGGCCAGACATTGGGAAGTTGCGAGGTCGCGTCGCTTCCAGACCCTCTAGACCAGACATTATGGGAGGCAGTACCGGAAGCGGCCCAGACAGAGCCCTGAACCGGCGCTGCTCTGCCATTGTGCTGGAGGCGGAAGCGATCAACCCCCACACCCCACGGTGGCGCCGGTGTCTTGGTTGCGGCCGCAGGCGCATTGAGTGGTGCTGTCTTCTTCATTAACGCCGGCAAGACTGGATGGTTGATGGCGCAATTGGAGGAAGCAGGCGGAGCAGCTGTGCAGGCAGGTGGTATAGGGGCCAGCTTTTTCTGCTTGTCAAGTCGATCTTGCAGACGTAGCTGGTGTACCTGGTCAGTGGGACCAAGGCATGGAGGAGGTGTCTCGGGATGGTCAGGCACTCCCAAGATCCAGGTTTCGACGTAGGCATCGACAGATGCCTCTTTATCAGCTACCGTGTCCCTCAGAAGCTGGCTGCGGTGTTCGGCGGGTTTTGGAACTTTTTGCTTCGCTTTGAACCTTAAGTTATTGAATGCCTGACAGTACCGACGAGCCTCCTCGAGCTTGAAGCGCGCCGGCTGACGCGGGCCGAAAAGTGACCGCATGCTCTTTAGAGCAGGGTTTGGGAGGGAGATTCTCAGGCTCGCAGCACCGGATATGGCCTTGTACTGCTCGGCCATGCTGGGTCCGGCTATGGGGTCCACCAGTGATGAGCTGACCAGATTAGGATTAATGGCCGACATGAGTCTCACATCCACACTGAACGTGTGGTTGGCCTCGGAGTACAGTAGGTGAACAGCGTTAAAGGGCTCATCGTGCTGGAGTTGGAGTTGCTTGGTCAGTCCAGGCCCCATCAGAAAGATCAAGCGCAGCCTCTCAGCAAGTAACTTGGCAGGCAGGTACTCACCGAATGTTTGAGAAGACAAGAGAGCCTCGCATACGCGCTGTCGACTACATCTTGGCCGTGGCCGCCCATATAAACGACGCGGCCCATGCCATCCGCGATGATGGTGGCACCAGTAGAGCGCTCAAGCTCCAGCAACGAGCCGGCAGGAAGAATTTTGTCGATGTCGACGTCCTTGGGCTCATTGTCGTCGATCTCATTCCAACAGCGCACAGCCTTGAAGTGTCTGACCGAGTCTGGCAGCTCGGCTCTGTCGATGGATGAGAGATCGTGATCCGCATCCAAGGGCGCCTGGGCCTGTTCGATGGACCAGGCCGAGCAGTCTCTCAACGACTGGATCCAAGGATGCGAGATCTCGGGCTACATACGCATTGTCAGGGGAGTGCCCAGCCGGGATCTGTCACGTGGGCTTGGAAGGAAAGCATAGTTACCACGGGCTCGCCACCCTCGTCAACTACGCTGTCCCAGGATAAGTCGCCATCGAGAGTTCTCAGAAGCTTGACCAGCCGAGCCTGGACTGAGGAGACTTGATCTCTGAGACAGATGACTTTGAACCACTGTTGTTTGGGGTCATACATAACCTCAAGATGGCCCTGTCGCGCAAGGCTAGGTCAGCTAGGAAGAATTCAAACCCCGGGGTTCAGCTTAGCGTACTGTCTCGGCAATGGCCCTGGCCTTGTTCAGGACATGGGCAACGCCTCGAGGCCGGTAAGACCAGAAGGTAGCTACGTAGAACTCTTCATAGGCTTTAGATGAGGGCGTCGGCAGGCCGGAGCCGACAGTCGACGACGCTGTGGCCGACATTGCAGCAGATGGCCGTGGCAAGAGCAGGAGCTCCGGGGAGAGGGAAGGTAAAGGAGAGAACTGCGGGTGGCCAAGCCAGAGAGCTGGCCACGACCGGACAGCTGGGCAGTGGCGGGCAATATCAGAAAGAGACCACAAAAAAGAGATGAAGAGATGAGGAAACGCCGCGTTTGCTGGCGTATAAAGAGGGGGCGGGGTTGGGTTGCTCGACCAGACTACCGACATACATATCAAACGAAGGTTTCTGCCCTTTTGGGAAAGCACGGACGACGGCATACAGCCAACCAACTCCAAGCCCTGGCTGGGAAGGGGCTACCAAGGGACACCTGCCTTGCATATAGGCACCTGCACCCACGTACGTACCCGGGCAGACACCCAAGCCCCCCCTGCCTCCTTGGCCCTTACAGTGGGCAAACGGGCAGACTGGCGGCATGGATAACAGGCCTGTAGTCAAGAGTCATTAGCCAGGCCACCACAACAGTGCACATCTCAGCGGTTGGATTGTGCCCGCTAATCCGGCGCAAGTGACATTGAAGGTCCAAAAGAAGAATAACAGTCAAAGATTCGAGTTCCGTTCTTTCAAGGAACATGATGTACAAATCCGACGCCTGCTGGGCTCCTAATCCACCGCCTCTAACGCCGACCAAAAGCACCCCATCAGGGAAAAGAAGAATCTGCTATGCAAAAATCGCCGCGTCTAAGCCCAAAGAAACAACGCCAAGCCTAATGGCTGCATCTGCCTTGCTGTGGCATGGCTGTGTGCTCTCCCCCCGGGCAGGTGGAGAGGTCGGTATTTGATCGCTCGGGTTGCAAGCCGAGCTCGACTTTTCCCTAGACCCAGCAAAGAGAGGGGGAAGATGGCGATGAAGAACAGAAAGAAGAAGAAAAAAGGAGCATGGGGCGGCAAGTGAAGGACATGTATGTACCGCGTAGGCCAGTTCTTTGGAGCAAAAGAGAAGGAAGGGATCGCGAAGAAAAAGAGGGAAAGGAAAAAAGAACTAGATAAAAGAAGAGAAAGACGCAAGGAACAAGTGGAGCATGCCCATAGTCCGGCAGAGCCCACGAGCTCGTGGACGGGGCACTCCGATGTAAGGATATATTTCCCACGCCATTTGGCCTGCGGCCTGCCTTGCTGCCCCGCGTCGTAATGTATAAGTGCGCCGTGCTGTCTTGTGTATGTCTGGACGCACACCGTCTATCATTCGCACACACGCCAACACTCACCCTCGCAGACCCGTGCTACTTGTCTTCGCGGAGGTTCTCTTTGACGTTTAGCGCCCACCGCAGCTTGTGGAGCACCTCTCTTGTCTCCTCTAGTGTCCGTAGTTGCTCCGCCTCTCTTTCTGCAGCCTTTGTCTTGATATCGAACAGCGCCCTTTCCTGTTCCGCCTTGTACTCTTCAAACTTGCGCGTCACATCGGCGTTTTGGCGCAGAAGGTCCCTGATGTTCCCGTCCTGCTGATCGCACAGGTCCCGGAGCGTATTGATCTTGTCGTCGTCCACTGCTCTCTCTTCCAGCAGTGTCGCCATCTCGCCGCGTACGCGCGCCAGCGCCTTGTTCACCTCATCGCCTTGCTCTTTCCAATGGCCGCTGATGGCGTTGTAGCGCCCCTCCATGAGGGCAGCCTGGGTGGTGGCCTGCTCTACTTGTCGCTTCGAATCGCCGCGCACCTTGTCCATCTCATCACGCCACGTTCGTTCTTTTTCGCGAGCATCCGACGTCCGCTGCTTCTCGAGCTCGACGGCCGCCTGCAGGCTTTCGACCTGCCGTTCTTTCCTCGACAGGAGCGCCTTGGTCACGTTGGCCTCGAGCAGGCGACTCTCGTACTCGGCCATGGTCCTCTCCATCTTGTCCTCGACGAGCCGTGCTTGTTGCCTGAACTCCTCCGCCTTGAGCTTCTCAATCTTGATGTCCCGTTTGAGCACCTCGTTGTCGGAGACAAGGCGGTTGATTACCCTGCCCGTCTTGCCGCTAAGCGCGGCCTTGCCGACCGTAGAATCCCAGCCATTTGACAGCTGCGCTTCCGTTGCGCTCAGGCCGACGCCGTCGTTGCCCTCATCAGGGGCCGATGTCCTGGCGGCGCCGTTGCTGGCGTTGTTCCCAGGGGGAAATCTCCCCGCCTGTCTCGTCATACCAAGGCTGCTCTCTCTCCTTGGAACTTCAAAGGCCGCCCCGTTTCCTGGGCTTGGGGTCCTCGACGGCGTCTCTGGGTTTCCCAACGTCCCCGTCGAGTCTCCTGGCCTGAGCGTCATACTATTCCGTGAATCGCCACCGTTGGCGTAGGGGCCCCGCCGTGCAGGGGCACTGTCGTTGCTGTCTAGTGAGCTGGAGAGGGTCGAGCCGGTGTGCATGGCCGACGATGACCACTCCAGGGGGGCATCGTCGTCAAAGGATGGCCGCCCCCGGTCGTCCTGATTCTGAACGGCGCGAATGGTCGATGTCATTCTTCGTGGGTGGTCGGCACCGTGTGCAGCGGTCGTAGGGACGGACGTGGGAGCCTTCGAGTTGTGGGAGCCTGAGGATATGCCGCTGGCCATGCTTCTTGCGTTCATGGCGCCGAGCGAGGCTGGAGTTAGCGTTGATCGCTGCCGACTGTCATCTGGCGACTGAACGGGAGGGGTCGTTCCTGAGCGGCGAGCATTAGAGTTAGCGCAAAGGCGGATGTGACGGCTTGACACAGGCGGTGATGATGAGCAAGGCCAGGACCCTCGGCGTTGTTGGGAGGGGGGCCCGGTGGTAAAAGAAAAAGGGGGGAAGGGGTGGGGGTTCAAGCGGCGGCCGGGGCAGCCCGGGCTCCGGAGCTGGAGCAAGGGAATGGAGGGCATGCGGTTCTCTAGCTTACCCTTGTGGTGCTCGTCGCGATGGATGGGAAAGACGGAGCGCGTCCGGTCCAGGGGAGAAAGCGGCCGGGGCTTCTGGAACCGATCAAGCATTTATTTGTCGGGCAGGCAGAGTTGAGAAAGCAAAGCACAGCTAAAATTCGTGGCCAGCGTCAGGGGTGATGCGTGACCTGCGGCCGCGCCGTCTGTTTGTCTGCAGGTCGAGAGCCTTGGATGGCGCCGTATGTAGCTGACAAGCGCCGCAGTGGCCGCTGGGACCTGGCTGGTGCGGGAGGCAAACGACTGTCGCGTCTTGCTTCAGCGTTGACAGACGGGCCGGATGGATTCGCCGGCTGTGACAGTGCCCCAGCAGGTGCAGGTGCACCACAACCCAAGACAAGGCACCGTCCGTTTTGCGGGTATGACAAATTGGGTAGGCGGCTGAGGTGCCGCTTTGGGGTGCTGCTTTGGGCTGCCGCTTTTGGCTCCGACGTGATCCCGTCCCAAAATGCGAACGACGTTTGCGGTGACAAAGAGTAGCTATTCAATTGATGGAGACAGGCAAGCAACGGGTGTAGTTAGCCTCGAGACGCGACGATATCACTTTGAAGCTCCACCACAGGGCTGCTCTTCTGTTAGTCTCGGGAGATGTCCCAGGTACCAGTAGCAGGCGGCTTGTGGGTAATCAACATGGATGCAGTTCAGCTCAATTTTGGACACGAGAGCGATCACAGCCGGGGAAACACCACCACCACGACACAAGAATGGAACCAAGAACGAATTAAAAATGGCTCAAGAAACTTACAAGGACGAAAATAAGATAAAAGAAACAAAAAGAATCGGTCATTTCCCTGCTTCTCCCGGCCCAGCACCCTCGCCCCTCCGTCCTCCGCAGCCATGCTGATTCTTCAACAAACAGGCCTGCGCAAAGGGCACTGCACGGATCAATGGACTGTTCATTCGTCACGCCTACTACTCAGGTGCCACGATCCGCGTCGGGTCCCCAGAGCAACCGGCAGGGCAGCCCTGACCCTGGAGGCCCAGGAGCCAGCCACCTATGCGGCTATGCTATCGATTTCAATGCCAGGGGTAGTCTAACCAGATATGGCATGAGCTAGGTCGTTTGCACCAATGGATGTTCTCGCGCTGGCGGGGCCTGTGCAGCCCAAAAAAAGACAACAGAAACAATGAAAGGGAGCCAAGGCGCAATGCGTCCTTCATGCAAACTTCGAGTGGTGCTCACACATTCTCGGGACTCTGGCTTGTCATCCTTGCCGAAAAGTGCAAAGTTCAACACCCGCCATTGAACCTCAATGAGACGTTGTGCAACGCACATACCGGAAATAAACAACCCACAGGGCGTTGTTTGTAAAGAAGTGATCAAAACAGGACATTCTGGACTGCACGAGAATCTCAAAGTTTGCGAATGGTTTCTTCGATCGTCTGCGCCAGAGGGAAAGATAAGTGGCATGAGATGCTCATGTATATCCCAAGTAATATGCAGGTTCTTTGAGGTGTAGAGCAAGACCACAAAAGGCCGGTGCAGCAATCTATTACATCTAGAGCAATATTCATACTAGCCTGCCAAAGAGCGGCGGGAGATCACCACACATGTGCCCGGTGTCTCTTAGCTCGCAAGAACTGCCGGTGCTGAACCCTGCGATTCCACGGCAGCGGTGTTGGTGATCACAAAATCTCGCCGCCACCTTCCAAGGTACTTCGCAGCCAATGGCCGCGCTTCCTCATCTGAGTCACAACCAAACATCGCGAGCGTTAGTAGGATATATAGTGTAACATGAGCGAATACGCCTAATCTTCAGCCCGCCTCGTTTAGAATCCATAGGACGGGGCGGTACTTACATTCTGTCCATATCCCTTGCATTGCGTCCAGTGCCATTTCCTTGGCCGGTGGTCTCATCATCACGAGATACACCAGACTGGTGAGAGCCAAGTTGGCCAAGGACGGATCTCGACACATGCCTTTAACCCGCCCCAGTATGGATGGGTTAACTTCGGGGATCTCACCCAAAAACCGAGTGAGAATCTTATCCTGGGCATGTAGGTACGGCGTGATTCCGTCCACGAGCCGGATGGCCACTTTGTCGTAGTGCCGCGGCGCGTTTCGGGATAACTTCTGTTGTAGTTGGTCGTTGTACCACTCTTCGGAGAGCCATGATATGGCCACGTCGATCCTCCTTCGAAAGTCCTCGAGCACATAGTTGTATAATGCCTCACGGAACCTTTCGCCTAGCGGGAGAGAAGAGTTGCCCTCGCCACTGACCACGTCTGCGCCTCCGTCTAGAGCAACCGATGCTCGGGTCGCCAGTCGGGTGACCACCGTGATCCACGACTCTCGGTCGTATGAGCTGGCGGCCAACCTGTTGATGCCCGCGCGGCTTCTCCTCACACCCGTGTCCTCAAGCTTGGTGGTGATCCTGAGTATATTGGCCACCGTGCCTCTCCCGGCGTTCGCTGCATCTTCCTGTCTGAGCAGTGGCGGTGGAGGCAGCCTGTAGGCGCCGAGTGCGAGCGATGTCGCCTCCAGATTTGCCTTCTCATTCGACCGTGAAGGCCCATCCATCTTGTTCAGAATCTGCTCCGCATCCTCGGCAGCGAAAAAGTCGGGCTCGTAATCATCGTCGTCCTCCTCGACACCGAGTGGGGCAGTATCGGGATTCAAGGCCGCTGGTTGCAGTGCAGCAGCCGCCTCGAGCGTGGCAAGGCGATCACGTATACCCTACAACGTCACGGCATGCTTGTTAGAACAATTCGTTCGTCCCAGACTCGCAGATTCGCATGCGAGCGAATGACTTACACCGACGGCACGGCCGAGGATCGAGGGATCAACCCTGGCTAGGGTAGAGACGCATATCCTGGCAGCTAGGTCTGCCGAAACCGCCGACACGTCGAAGACTTGCAGACCAGAGCTGCTGGTGAGCGTGAAGATAGCGGCCAATGTGGTCGGCCCGGGCGGTAGTGGGGTGACTTGCGGCAGAGGTGACGGGGCTGGCCCGGAGACCAGCCGCAGCCGTTTGGCATCGCCCAGTGCTGCAGCATTCTGCTCGGCCAAGACACGCTTTCGGCTGGCCTCGTCAAATATCTCATTACGAGTCCGTACGAGCCGCTCGATGTGCTGGTGAATGCGCTGGTTTGCCTGGTTAAGGGGGTCTCTAGAGCAGAGTGGGTGAGCAAGTGTCTCGGAATACAACACGAGAGGTATTTGAATCGTTCCCGTCCCTACCGTTTAACCAGATGGACGAGTAGCATCCTAGTGGTCTTCTCCATGGACTTTACGAGAACACGTGACTTCGGGGTCATGGGAGAGTTCGCCAGCTTCAGAGGGTTGAAGCTCAAAACAGTACTCAGGATACGGTTCGAGGTGGACGGCCTTGTGCGGATGAGAATGGAAAGGCAGTTCAAAGTCGCGTCGACTACCAAGGCGTCGCTGCATGACAAAGGTTGCTATTAGATGACCCACTGAGAAAGAGACGGGGACGTGGCACAGTTCCTACCTGCTGTTGTCTTGCAACACACCCAGCATCCTATCCAAAAGCCCCGTTGCTTCCGCTTCCAGGTTTCGTGCATCGAGCACGGGGTGGCTGGGAGGCACCATGGCGAGAGAGATCTCCAAGCCATCGCGTTGCTGTGTCGTTTGCGAGGTTGGCTGTTAGTAAAAACAGCCGGAAGACTTGTTGGGGAACATGACGATAAGAGTGAGGGGGGCAAGGGACGGGTCAAAGGGAATGCCGCGCACCTTCAGTTCGCCGTTGAGAGGGTGTGCCTGGGCGAGAACTACACGCTGGGCAAACTTGATGCATGCGATCCTGACGATCGACGACTCGCTATTCCAGAGCTGTAGCACCTTGGCCTTGATGGCGGTCAGACGCTCCCACGTGGGAGTGTCGTACGAGTTATTAACACTGGGTAGGTAGTGGCCGCCGCTACGGTCAGCCAAGCGCTCATACAGTCAAGCACTCGAGCTATGAGCACTATCACAGGCCCGCGAGGTCAAAGTCAAACCATCGAGGCTTGAGGTGAAGGGTAGATTGGGGTTTAGCACGTACATCCACCGTATTACCAGGGGATAGATGCTAGCAGCGGTTTGGAGAGCGCTCTTCAAGACATAGATATCCTCCTTTGGGTTCTCTATCATGGCCCGCAACGTCTCCAGAACCAGAAGACTTAGAGTCTCCTTGTCCCGGGTGGGGAGGGAGGGCGTCGCGAAGGCCTCAGCTAGGAAGTCGGAGCCCCATCGCCTAAGCTCCAGAACTGAGGATGGGCCTATGATGGGCAAGACACCCTGGACGATGGACGAATAGACCTTGGGATCGAGTAGCACGTGCTTCCGCGCATCGTTCAGTTGCCTGATTTGCTCGGCTACCGACGACTTTACGGCCGCCATGATAACGAAAATCTGGCTGCTGCGGGGGCGAAGAGAGGGAGGAGGTGTTTTGCAGCTCTGTGCCCGGAGGGGGGCTCGAAAACCGGGCCAGTTCCCCAAGAATGGCTCCTTTGATGGCCAGGCTGGGGGAGACAGGCGCTCAAATCTAGCAAACGACCGGTTGGCTCCACTGTCGGCCTACCGCCCTGCCTTCCTCACCGAAGTTCGTCGCAAGACTCGCTTGTCTGGGCGTAGACAGCAGAGGAGCCGCTGGCGACGAAACAACCAAGTCAAACCGGCGGGCTATCAGTGGCAAGTCGGCCAGGGCCTGCGATCGCGGGGAGGTGAATGGGTGGGTGTTTGGTGACTCTGTCGTCGGAGCGAATGTGTCCTTGTTACCGGGACCACTCTGGTTGTCGGTCGAAAGGGTCTATTTGCTTCGATTGACCGGAAATGAGCAGCATGAACAACCAGCGAGCGACCAGGCTGAGCGGGCGAGAGCCTTGCAGCTAGAGCTTTGTCTGCTTGCGGCGACAGAAAGAGACGCGCTGTCACGCGCCTGACTGCGACGTGCTGTGTGGGTCCAGCTGGATGGGCTGCCGCCTCCTCCAACTGTTTGTGGGGCCCAGTCAAAGAGTGGGGTAAAGCTAGCAACGCGGTACCTGCGTGGACAGCCTCCTTGGCGCACGCCTATCGATTGCTCAGTCGTGGGGGCGAGTCATATTGGCGCAGAGGTGGGGCTGACAGAATCCCCTCGACAACTCTGAGATCGCCCGAGCCTTGCCGACGCAAGCATACCAGAATAGATACCTCAGAACGTTGTCGCCCACAGCTCATTTTTACCAACGATGGCAGGGTATGAAGATGACCACGCCAACAGGGTGTGGTGAACTGGGAAGTGGCACACCTGCTAACACAGCCCATCCGACCAGCGTCCAAGGATCTGGTTACTACGACCGCCAATACCGCCAGTCCCCTGCCTTGATCCGAGCTCGCCGCCCATATCTAGTGAAGAACGCAGTCACTGGCATGGCGATCGCTGCTTTCGCCGTCGGAGTCTGTTCGTAACGTAGTCGTCCTACTCGCCCCCCTCCTGGTCCATACAACTCTGACTGGTTGCGTACAATCCTATAGACGCCTACACTATCCACGCCATCGGTCAGGACGAGTTTGAGGATGTCAAGGTGCCAGAGACCCCGAGGGCATCGGAAATAAAAATGCAGCGCCCACAGGCCTCCAAGTGATAGACTTAGGCCCTCGGCTCGGAACCCCCCAAGGCGGAAAAAAACGGCATATCTCTCCCATCTGCGTCTGATGTAGCCTCGCGTAGCGGACATTTGCCGAAATCGTGGATCCGATTCACACATCTGGCTTGGGGCTTGGTTCTCAGGGAGGGCGGGAATAATGGTCCCCGGTGAGAAACCAAGCATATGCCAGGGCGTGGGATCACGGGTTCAGCGGCCTGCACACGATTACACGGGGCGCTAAGTGCTCAGCCGAGTCCTGAGGCCATGTATATACCCACATTGAAGCCCTGGTCAAGGGGGCTCAGTGGTATCTTTCACTTACAAAAGCCAAAGTTGCAAACGACACATCCCCACTCATATCTATTTACGTACCTATAGCCCCAAGACATGTTCTACAGAGCATGAAGTCGCGGTACGGAGTAGTATCGCAAGCTGACCGAACTTGTAACCGTTGACACTTCACGTAAACACATATATGAAGTCGGGATAGTAACCGAGATGAACGGTTGGGAGACAACCAAGACAAGGAAGAGAAAGCGCTGGGCTCAAGTCCCGGACGACCGCCAGAGATGCGGGAATATGGGTATCCATCCAGACACGTAATAGTCGGCAAGAGGAAAGGAAAGGCATAAAAGTGCGGTGATGTAGTACATGTGATGAAGAACACAAGGGGAAGATAAAACACCTGAATCGCAAGACAAGGGCTTATTTGATCTGCCGATCACGCGTTGGCCTCAGGAGCGAGTACTAATCCTGGTTTGTGCGGCAGGGGGGAAAGCCGCGAGGTTCCGTCAATGATAGACGGATGATCCGAGTGCTCGTGACGTCTCGAAGCGTGAGGGTGCCGGTGAGGATGTGGCGCGAGTGCTGGACTGTTTGTTTGGGCGGTTCCAGGGGTCTTGCTTTGTGGCCGAGGATGTTGATGGGACGGGTGACTCGGATTCGCCCAAGGGGTTTGCTTCAGGAACTCAGCACCTGCAGGGCCGAGAATCCGCTCGTTTGGAATAGCACCATAGTCTTGAAAAGTGGCCGCGACTGCGCCGGCATGGTGGACACCTCTCCGTGCTTGCTGAGGCAAGCGTTAGCAACACCGCCGATAGCGCTTTGCGGGGAGATCGTGCTCTAGTAGTGTTGAAGCCGCAGTGCCTCGGCTTTGTCGATGGCACAAAGACTTACAGAGATCTCCTCAAGGTCGTCTTCGATCTCGGCCAGGCTGGCGCCAGCAATCTCAGGGGCTCCGGGGAAGCCACGGTGCTTGGCAATGCCGGACAAGATAGAAACCTCCTTGTTGTAGGCGATGGCCTGCTTGAGTGCTTTCGGTCTGGCATCCGGGTAGCGCAGGCTGAAATCGGCAATGTTGTTCGCATGGAAGCGCCGCTGTTGTTGTATCCGGTACCACTCGTCACCCAGCTCTTCCAGGACCTCCTCCCGGGTTTTCCGTACGTCCTGGTAGTACTGTGACATGATCTGAGCTCTCCCGGCAACAGCCCACCGCTGGAGTGACTCTTGGTTGAGCTTATATTCGGCCTCGACGATCCGAAGCTTATCGTCGCGACGAGAATCCACGCTATGCATCATAGCCAAGTACTCGGGGTGCGTTGGCTCCGCGGCCGTGAGCATTGCTTCTTCCTCATTCAGGAGGCGGATGCGCTCTTCGTAATATCTCCAAGGATGGAACTCGTGATTAGCGCTACTAACAACCTCGACTCTGTCCGCCTCGACTGATACTCACTGGTCTCGAAAATCGGCGAACGACTTTTCTAGCTCGAGAATGAACTCTTGAGCTGCCTTCCTGCGTCCCACTGTTGGCTTGTTTGTTAGTGAGGAGGCACAATCATCTGGAGAGTAAGTGGCGCGGTTGGGGAACCTGCATTCTTCTTCGTCTTTATGTGAGGTGTCGGCATCGCCTTCGTTGTCCACGTCGACATCGGCCTCCTCGTGGTCAACATCTGCGTCGACCTCGGCATGTTCATCCTCCCCAGGTACGGCGCCCTGTTCGACCCGTCCGGATCCGGGGGGATTATCAGCACCGTTAGGGTCGCCAACATCGCCGCCGCGGGTCTGCTTTTCCTTCCTGGCCACGCTGCGCTTGGATCTCGTCGGGCTGACTGCCTCGCGCTTGGAGGCGCGCCCACTCGGAAGCACCTCATCTTCCGAGTGCTCCCCACTCTGTATATCCACTGGGGTAGCATCGGCGTCATCCGCAGTACTGGCAATGGTGGTGGTCTCGTCGACGCCATCTGTGGCTATTGGCACGGAGCCAATGCGCTTTCTGACTGGCTGGTCGGCTTCAACGCATTCCGTTGCGGGCGACCGTTTTCGCTTCCGAGTGTCCGAGGTCGAATTTTTGTTCGAGTCTAGGGGGTCATTTCCACGGTCTGACGACTGGCTACCTCGACGCCGCACATCCCTCGACTTGGGTGGCGTTTTAGCAACAGGAACCTCCCGGACAGGCTTACGGGCCGCCGGGGTCGCAGAGGATTCGCTGTCACTCTGGTCCTTTTCAGAAGACGACCCAGTGCCGTTGCCCGAGCCACCACCACGGCCTCTTGCGGCAGCCCTCGTTTGTTGATTTAGCTTGCTCGGACTGGCCTGGAAATCGCGCCCGTGGTCAACGCGAACAGGTGAGCCATTCCTGGAGGCTTTATGTTTGGCGGGACTGTCATACAGGCGCTCTGTCTCGGCCTCTGAGTCGTTGATGTCGACGTCGGACAAGTTGGAATCGTCGTCATGATCGCCGTCGTCGGGACCGCTCTCTTCGTGGTCTAGGCTCGTGGACGTGTCTCCCTGGGCACCGTAGTCGCCGCCAGGGTTCTTGCGCATCAACTCGAGATCCATGATATCAGAGTCGCCATCCTTGTCCTCGACATCGCTCAGAGGGCTTGACATGTTACTAGCGCTTCCCTCGTGCAGGGCCGGCGCCGGCGGGCTAGAGACCGGAGTAGGGACGACGGCATCGCGGACAGCCATGGATAGACGCGGCTAAGAGAGGTAGCGGTCGGCAGTGAGGACGTCGACAAGGACCATGCGGGTTTTGTTTGCATCAGTGTAGAGTGGCGCCGAAATACGGGCGGGTTTCGAGGGAGGACTGGAGGGTTGGCGAAACCAGCGGCGCTGGAGGCTGTCAATCAGACAGTTTGAAAGCTAGGAATGCGACGATGGGCGGAGTGCAAGGCTATCGGTTAACGGACTAGATACTTTAGAGAGAGATTGCAGTCGCGAATGCCACGATGAACCAGGGCAGGGCAGGGTAGGCGCTGCCGTCGTATTATCCAATGTTGTTTCTTGTGTGCGGAGTGTCTTCGGCTGGGATTCCCGCGTGAAGAGGGCATGACAGCCTCCGAACGCAAGGTCTGGAGCAGCATCCCCGACTTCCGCTTGCGCCCACCACCTACGCGCCCCGTCTTGTCAGGCGGTGTAAAATGGCACAAAAATTGGCAACCCCCCAGCTCCGCTCTCGAAGCAGGTGCGACACCGCCTTGACGTCGCGTGAATCTCAACCCCTGGCCAAGCTCTGGTCGCAGCTTTTTTTTTATTGGCAGAAAAGAAAGTCGCAACCCCATCCGTGAGCAGTCTCACACATTCGGGCCAGAGCAAAATGGCATCAAAAACGGCAGCCAAGTATGTTTTCCCTGATATTCCCTGTTCGAGTCGCCCTTATTTTTCTGTCGCTAACTTACACCAACCATTCTCCTTCAGGCGCAGTTTCGCGCGACCATCGAGCAAGGCAGTAGACCCCGCTCTCGAGGCACTGTTCGCAACGAGTGTAAGCGCCCACAACTACATCGAAAGACGGAATCCCTCATACTTTGGTTCTGACCTCATTGGAAACCAAACAGGCTGGTCCGGTCGACCCAACTCGGAGACCGCGGTATTCCGAGAGAACATCGCAAAATCCGGACGAGGTGGTGGACAGTGATGTCGCATCGGGCCACTCACCGGAGTCTAGTAGTGACGGCGAAGATGAATCCTCTTCCCCTGGAGGCTCTGATGCCGAGTCTGATGACGAGATACGAGCCGCCTCTGCACAGCCAGCTGTCCCAGAGAACCCCAGCCGCAAGCGCAAAAGGCAACAGCCCGATGCCCATGATGATTTAGAGAGCAGGTACTTCCGCCAACTCGCCGACGATGAAGACCACACCCCCAAAGCCGCGAGGCCTGAGCACAGCGAGAGTGATGCCAATGAACTTAGCCCTGGGGGCTTGGTCCACGAATCTCTATTGCCTAGCTCGGAGAAGTCTGAGCTCGACAAGGCCGCAAGGACAGTGTTCCTCTCCAACGTCAGCACAGAGGCAATCACGTCGAAGGCAGCCAAAAAGCAGCTGCTTGCCCACCTGTCCTCTGTGTTCAAGAAAGATGCATCACCTCCTCAATCGATCGACTCACTCCGGTTCCGATCGGTGCCCGTCGCGACGGCTGCCATGCCCAAACGGGCCGCCGTCATCACACAGGCGGTCATGGAAGCCACCACCAAGTCCGCGAATGCGTACGTTGTCTACTCTGATACTGCGGCCGCCCGTGTGGCCGTTGCGAGTTTGAACGGCACTATTGTTCTCGAAAGGCACCTCCGAGTCGATAGCGTCGCCCACCCGGCGCCAGTGGATCACAAGCGGTGCGTGTTTGTGGGTAATTTAGGCTTCGTTGACGACGAGACCGTCATGAATACCACCGTCGACGATGATGGCAAGGAAAAGACGGAAAAGCGCAAACGGACAAAGGTTCCCATGGACGTTGAGGAGGGTCTTTGGCGCACCTTCGGGAAGTCCGCAGGCAAGGTTGAGAGCGTGAGGGTTGTGCGGGACCAGACAACGAGGGTCGGCAAGGGCATTGCTTATGTCCAATTCTATGTGAGTCAAGTCTGATGGGCTCCTCGCCAGTCCTAGAATGCTAACAGCCAGCGCTTTTGCCGTGCAGGACGTAAACTCGGTCGAGTCCGCTTTGCTCCTGGATGGCAAAAAGTTCCCCCCATTGTTGCCTCGCGCCCTGCGCGTGACAAGATGCAAGGCACCTCATAAAACGCTGCGGGCAATCGATCGTGCCAGCAAGACCAAGGCCACTGCTCTTGCCAATTCCCGGGCAAAGAGCACAAAATACGTCCGCAAGGTCACGGTTGAGGAGCGGACGGGCGCTGGCCGGGTCGGCAAACTACTTGGGCGTGCCGCAGCGTCTCGCTCGGGAGGCTCAGAGAAGTCGCGCGCCCACAAGGGAAGGAAAGGGGATGCGGTGCCGTCGACTGCTTTGCTCAAGACCCCTGAGGAGATTATCGAGGGGCATAGAGCAAGTGCCAAGGATGGCAAGCCGAAGGACCTAAGGTTCAAAGGTAGCAGGAGCAAGAAGGATAAGCAGCCTGCTTCGGGAAATCAGAAGCGGCGCGCCCTCCGAGCGGCAAACTGGAGCAAGAAGGGGTCCGGGTGACCATTGACCTCGTGGTCAAACCCTAGAACGAAGTATCGAGGTGGACGGAATAGACACGGCCAGGTACTGAAGAATTCTAGATGGGGAGGCGAGGGAATAGAGGTAGTTACATATGACATACACTAGCTCTAGCTGTAGGTTCGCCAGAATCTCAACCGGGGCACCTGCTCATTCAGCTTAGTGGGTTGATTGTCCACAAGTTACCACACCCAGCGCAAAACCAAGTCCAAGTCCAAACCTCGGTTATGGAACAAACCAATCAAACAAAAAGCACTTCTCTCAGCGTGCAACAGAAGTCAGACCTGCTTCTCATAGTTGTCCACATACACCACGGAACCATGATGCGCGCATCCTGGGGTCCAGCCGGACGGGACCGCATGTCAAGCCTAGTACTCGGCCTCACCCTCCTCAGGCTCGAACGACGAGTCCGCAGCGACCTCTTCGTAGTCCTTCTCCAGAGCTGCAAGATCCTCCCGGGCCTCGCTAAACTCGCCCTCCTCCATGCCCTCGCCAACGTACCAGTGGACGAAGGCGCGCTTGCTGTACATCAGATCGAATTTGTGGTCCAGACGGGACCAAGCCTCAGCAATAGCTGTGGTGTTGGACAGCATGGACACGGACCGGTCAACGCTTGCAAGGGCGCCGTCAGCGGGGGTGGCCGACGGAACAGCCACCGGCTTCTGGTAGTTGATGCCAATCTTGAAACCTGTAGGGCACCACTCGACGAGGTTGAAGGAAGCCTTGGCCTTCAGCGCAGCAACCGCCGCGTTGCAGTCACGCGGGACCACGTCGCCACGGTACAGCAGAGCCACAGCCATGTACTTGCCGTTTCTCGGGTCACAGACAACCATCTGGTTGTTAGGCTCGAAACCTTTTGCGTTTTACACGTTAGCAAAAGCGCTGGGCTTTTCGCGTGGGCCCCAGTTGTGAAATTTATTTGGTCGTTTTTCTCTCTCTCGTTGTGTCTCACAAGCCAGCCAAGCAAATCAACTAGAAACTTACATTGGAATGTCAGATCATGGACCTTGAAGCTCTCATGGGCACTCTTGGTGGCAGATATGACCGGAGCGTAGCTGATCAGCGGGTAGTGGATACGTGGGTAAGGAACCAGGTTGGTCTGGAATTCGTTCAGATCGACGTTGAGCGCTCCGTCGAAGCGCAGGGAGGAGGTGATGGAGCTGACGACCTGAGCAATGAGACGGTTGAGATGCTCGTAGCTGGGACGCGGGATGTCGAGGTTCCGGCGGCAAATGTCATAGACAGCCTCGTTATCGACCAGGAAGGTACAATCCGAGTTCTCGATGGTGCTGTGGGTGGAGAGCACAGCGTTGTAGGGCTCAACGACAGCCGTCGAAACGCGTGGGGCCGGATAAACTGCGAATTCTAGCTTCGACTTTTTCCCGTACTCGGTAGACAGACGCTCAAGCAGTAGGGCACCGAAGCCGGAACCGGTACCGCCACCGAAGGAATGGAATATCAAGAAGCCCTGGAGAGAGTTGCAGTTGTCTGTGCGGAGCGTCAAGTCAGCTTCGCCCGATGCAGCAGGAGTGGCATCGCTCATAGATGCTCGCATAAGGCCAGGGGGGGCTCACCGGCAACACGTCGAATGCGCTCGATGACATTGTCGACCATCTCCTTGCCGATCGTGTAGTGACCACGAGCATAGTTGTTGGCTGCATCCTCCTTGCCGCTGATCAGAAGCTCGGGGTGGAAAAGCTGGCGATAGCCACCGGTCCGAATCTCGTCGATGGGTGACGGGTCCAGGTCGACGAAGAGAGAGCGGGGAACGTATTTGCCACCGCTGGTCTCGGTGAAGAAGGTCTCGAATGAACCGCCCTCCGCGATGTCCTTCGCATTCGGGTCCGGCTTGCCGTCGTGACCAAGCCCGTGCTCAAGAAGGTAACTATAGATCTCGTTAGGCAAGTTTTGTAGACCAGCGGTGCACTTATTGGCAGTCTCACAGTTCCCAAGCACTGTTTCCCAGCTGGGTACCAGCCTGGCCGAGATGAAGATGAAGGACCTGACGAGAGAGGTTGTCTCCTTGTCAGCAAAATATCATCGCGAGTGCCTCCCAAAAAGTGTCGGCTGCCACGCCCCCTCCCATCCATTGGCGGCACGAGAAATGTTCGCAGCCTGCCGCCGGGCACATATCGAGAGCTTGGCTGTCGCCGCTGCCGCTAGCGTCTGGGGGCCGTTTGGAGATAAGTGGATAGGTATGTAGGGAGATGGGAGTCCATATGCTTCGGCAAGGCATCAAGGCGTGAGGATCGAGGCTGGCCGAGCTGGGAAGTGAGGTATAAGGCAGGGCGGTACAGGTCGGCAGGTCGACATGGGCCGGTTTTGGGGCTACAAACAGAGAACGTACTTCGCCTTTCATGGTGTTGGAAGCTGCAGGAAGTTGTCTCAAGTCGATTGAGAAAGTTAGAAGCTAGAAATGGTAACACTTGCTAGGCACTGCACGAGCAAAGAGGAGCCGCAAAAATATCCGTTCTCCACGAGAAGCGGGATTGGGTCGGGGCGTTCTTCACCTGGACCTTGCGAGCGGTTCGGGTGTTTGTTGGAATGGGATGAAGTTGTCCGGATGGGAGCACGTTGCAGGTCAACCTTCCAGCTGCCCGCTTCCTGGAATCACATTAATTTGTGGCTCCGTTTGGAATAAGGGAGGGGCGGGCAGCTCTCCTGCAGAGGTCCTTGCCCCACCTGATGGAGCATCCAAGTACCTTCACATAGCCAGCATCGGCTCAGGCTCTGCGCTGGCCTAACAAAGAAACCCAGCCCCTCTGTGCTTGCTCGTCTCCTCACCGCTTGGATTCAGACGTCCCGCCGCCACCATCCCCAGGCGCGAGCTAAGGAGGGGCGTGAAAGCTAGTTGGTTGAGCATTGGGCCACCGCCTCGGTTCGCAAGCCGCGGCAGCTTGTTAGAACCCAAAAGGAATGGCTGGGAACCGAACTAGGAAAGGATACGTACATGGGCGTTTACCTACTCGGTCTGACACGTCCCTACATTGACCTCCAGAGGGTACCTAAATCCCGTCGGTACTACCCTACCTACTCAGTGTCGAGATAGCAACAAGACACGAGTCTCAAATGTCCAGCCTGCATAGCTAGCGGGTATGCCTAACTTGGACACATGGGCTGGGGGGAACTCGACACGTCGGTTTGCCGTCATTGGATCCACGACTATCGCGCAATTGCACCCCTGTATCCGAAGCAAAGATCCAGGGGAGCACATTGACGGCTGACAGCCCAGCCAAACGTACCCTTATCCTCCATATGCACATCCTGGTGATGGTGTGCGGAGATGCCGCATCCAGGAGGTATGACATGGCACTTAGGCATAAAAACCGAGTTGCATATAGTCACTCCCATAAAAAGATGAAACTCGTCATGACACAGGAAGCAAGCACCAAGCGCAGAGGGAGCCCACATATCATGGGCACCACCAAAAGCGCTACCTCACAAGCACATATGCATAACCAAGATGAGCGAACAAGACAGGTTAGTGAGGCCGAAGCGACCGTATAGATCATTCACACCAGGCCTACTAAGGCCGAAGGCTGTGATATCTCTTTCGTACAGCACTTCCCAGCTAGCAGGTGACCTCACCCTTTGGCAGCGCCAGCTTTGATCAACAGGATATCTCCATCCTCGACAACATAGTCCTTGCCTTTGGTCATGACCTTGCCCTTCGCCTTGACTTCTGACTCGTCACCAAGCTCCTTCAGGACCGAGAAGTTGTACACGATGACTTGAATGAAGGTCTTCTCGAAATCCGTGTGGATGACGCCAGCGGCTTGTGGTGCCTTGGTCCCGTTACGGATTGTCCATTGCCGCACCTCATCCGCACCGCTTGTGAAGAAGCTTCCGAGGTTCAGAGCCTTCCGCATCTGGAGGATGACCTTCGGCAGCGCAGACTCGGCCCCGACCGTTTTGCACTCCTCGGCCACCTCGGCATCCGTCTCGAATCGCGTGAGACGCTCCTCAAAGGAAACCGAGATCGGGATGATTGGGTCACCGGTGGCGTGCTCTTTGATCCACTCGGCAATCTTCGGGAGGTGCTTGTTCTTCTTGCGAATATAATCCTTCTCCGAGAGGTTCACCAGGTAGACCACAGGCTTCGCGGTAAGCAGAAACAGGGGGTTGATGACCTCAATCTGCGCACAGCCACCAGTCAGCGAATTTCTCGGGGTCCGTCTTTCAGACTGTCACCCTGCACAAATAGCCCATCGCGCAGCCCCTTCGCCAGTGTAAAAATCAGAGCAAATTTTATCTCAGGACATTCTCTGCGTTGTTTGTGAGAACGTTCGACGAGCTGGGTTTGAGAGATCGGGCCTCCTGGCCCTTGGTCATCATAAAAGGTGACGGGGCTGACACGATGGGAGTAGAGGATAACGAGCCGAGTTGCAAATGGAATGGCAATGGATGAACGAACCTCTTTGGGACCCCATGTGCCCTTCCGGACTTCTTTGCCGTCCTTTAACCATGCGAGGATCTTCTCGATGGTTGCCTCTTCCTCCCTGGCCTTCTTGGCCTCGAGACTCTGTCCACCCTGGCGCGTCTTCTTCTTTTGGTTCTCGAGAGCCTTCTCGACGAACTCGATGTCCTTTAACCTGAGCTCCTCGCTGATGATGTCAAGATCACGCGTAGGGTTGACGTCTCCCTCGACATGGATAATCTCGGCATCATCGAAGCACCGGACAACCTGGAAGATGGCATCGACAGCGCGGATGTGCGACAAGAAGGCGTTGCCGAGACCGGCACCTGTGGAGGCACCGCGAGTCAAGCCAGCGATGTCGTAAACAGTCAGGTTTGCAGGGACCCGTGACTTGGGCTGGTACTTGTCGCACAGCCAGTCGAACCGCGCATCAGGCACGATGACGCGCGCCTCTTCCGGATCGATTGTTGCATAGGGGAAGTTCTTAAGCAGGCACCACAAATGTCAGCCGCATGCGGCAAAGAAGCCAAGCACTCCAACAATGTGGCGTTAACTTACGGCTGGGTTGCCCAAGTTGCACTTGGTAATGGCTTGAAAGAGGGTCGACTTTCCAACATTGGCCAGGCCGACCTGTCGCGCGATGACGGTTAGATACCGGGCCAGAGATCTGTCGCCGCCCCGGCCAGAGCCGAGCTGTCACGTACGATACCGCTCTTCAGGTTGTTGCCGGGGCGGCCTAGGAGGATCTTCTCCTCTACAACCGCCTTTTTGGGTGCCATCCTTTTGGTTCGTGATGACTGGGCGCGCCCAGTGGTGTAAATAAAAGTCGCGCAAATGATCTTAGGCTTGGTGAAAAACGCAGGCCTGGCTGCGGCGTGGTCTAAAAGGTGGGCAAATGAAACGAAAAAGGGCCGAAAAAGTATTGAAGTCGTTGTGACGACGAGATGGGAGCAACCCTGGGCCCCCGCGGGAAGGGGAAAAAACGGCGAGCGGGGTACGCAGGCCGCTCTAAAGGGAGAGAGGCTCGGCGGGAGCAATGCTCGAGGGGTAGCTGTCCTGCAAAGCGGCAGCGATTGGCCAGCCAACTTTTGGCACGATTTGTGCGGGAGTGGTGGTGAGGAAGCAGGTGCAAGCTCAAAAGCTCCTGTGGCAGCGCCCAGATAAAATTTGCGATCAATTCTTTTGACGGGCTGAAGCGGGGCTGGTCATGTGCTCAGTCATGTGGAGGATGTTGCTGGCAGATGGGAAGTTCAGCTGCGGTGGCGCGGGGCTCCCCAGTGTCATGCACATGATGACGGTGACGCTGAGCACAGGCATCCAAGAGCCTCGTTGCCAGTCATCCCGCCATCTCACAAATCGACAGCACGCTTTTCGACAGCCAACTGCAAGCCGTCAAAGCACACTGCGACAGCGGGCGGAAACAGAACATCGTACCTTTGGTCCGGAGTTTGCTGTCACCCCTAATCGTACATGGGAACACCTGACGCTCAAATCTCCCGACACCGTGACTTGACTTGCGCGTTGCATCCACTCCCCAAATTAGCGGGCTGTCTCTCTCACAGCCACCTCTTTATCGGGCTTCCTAGACAAGGGTAACGCGCACTGCTCAAGCGAAGGCGACTTCACTCGCCGGTTCGCAAAGAACATGCCTCCCAAGAAGCCGAACAGGCCGACTCGACCAACCCACCGGTCGAGCACCTCGATAGGTTCAAAGACGGAAATTATAATCAACGTCTATGACCTGCTACCCGTATGGTCTCCTTCTCTGGGTAAGGACTTGGCTTGGGTGCATACCACTGACAAGTCCCACTCACAGCCCGGAAGACTCTCATCAGTCCTTTGGACGTGCGGCACCTCATTGCTACACTCAGGTGTCGTGATCAACGGGAAAGAGTACGCCTATGGCGGCCACGACAGGCGTGGTGTCACTGGGGTGTACTGGACCAAACCCCAAACCGAGCCTCCGGGTGGAGTGTTCAAGTGCGAGATACTGCACGGTTTCACCTACATCCCGCCGAACGACATAGATGCCATCATACGTGATGTATCGGAACAGTTCCGCGGGACGGCGTACAACCTATTAACCAGGAATTGCAACCGTACGCAACATCCCCACAACACCCTTTCTCTCTCTTTTCGCTGCGTGCTATGATCATATGAGGCGGGACGGTGTGTAACGTGTTACACCGCCAACACGGCCCCCTTCCTTCTTCTGTTTCACACAGTGATATTGTCGATTTCTGCCAAGACTGACTTATGTTCTCACAGACTTCACCTCATACATGTGCCAGCGATTGACAGACCGTCCGGGCCCTGGCTGGCTCAATCGCGCGGCGAGCATCGGTCTGGCCTTCCCATGTATCGTTCCAAGACAGTGGATTGAGCCTCCCGATTATGACCTTGCAGATGGGGAGCTTCTAGCCGACGATGATAGCGAGTACGACGGGGACTCTTCCACAGAACAGTCAAGAATGCTGCGGAGCTCTTCAGATTATCCCAGGCTTGTCGGGATAAGTGAGGAACGTCTAGACCCAGTTGGGTCAAGCAGTGGAGGCGAGCGAACCAGATCAAACAATAATCGGTAGGGTGGGATAGCTACCGGAGAGTGTGCCATTATGGCTGACGGCGATTCCTTTTAGCTGGTCCGTTATTTCTTGCTACCTTTGCGTCCAAGTGGTATAGGGATTTACTCTTTTCCTTTCTATCTTGCGTTTAGCGATTTTAGCGTCCTATATCAAGTCGTGTCTTCTTCCACATACCCGGTATGTTTGCCGCTCATCTTCAGAGAGGTGAGTGGGTTTGTCGTTTTTACCTCTCTCTTGGTTATTCACTTATATTGCCAGCTTGGTTACTTCTGTCGTCTCCTGTTTGCAGTTCCATCGTTACACGCAGCCCCAGAATGACATATCAGCCTGGGTACCCTGGAACAGATACGTCCGAAATTAACGTTGCGCAACACACTTCACCCAATTGCTCCGGTATCTGGTAGTGGGTGGTACCCTTTTCGCATGATATGTGCCCAAGCAACCCTTCATGTTCAAGACCCAGCCAGAATCTAGAGTATGCGCGCACGCTTTTATAAAGCTTTCTGGAAACAAGCAGCAAATGTATATGTACCTATCACGAGAGCTGCATCTTAAAGTACATGCTGTCGCTCATTTGTTTGTCGGCTCACCGGGAGGTTCCTTGTCACACTTTCCTCGCTGGCGCAAGAGCTCGGTTGCCAAAGCACATGCATGCCCAAAACACCACCCAGACCCGCTCTTGTGGGCCCTGATCGGCCAACTGCCTGGCACCAGGGGCCCAGGCTGCCAGCTACTTTGGGTGGGTAGCTTCCCGTCAACAGGCAGGTTTTTGGGAAACCATTCGTGATGGTGTGATACCAGCTATGGGCTTCCAACCAAACGACTAAACTTGACATCGACTGCCAGTAGTTTGCACTTTGAGTCGCTCTATACTGTGCTATGGCCGCCGCGCATTGGTCTGAATACTGTCCCTCTTGACCAAAGCGAGATACCTGGTAAGTACTAGGTACCGGGCAGGTATTTATGTACCATAGATAAGCTTGCATGGGACCGTGCAACCTCCAGCTATCATCTTCACCTGGAGCAGGTACCCCGTGCTTGTTTTGGGGAACCCGCAATTCACACTCCCCTCACATCGAGCTGCATTCCATCAGGGGCGGCTTTCATTCCATTCTAGTCGTTCAGCCCCATCCTTAACTGTCACCGTCATCATCACCCGCACTACACTGCACATTGATCTGGCTCTTCCTCATCACCTCCTGGCCATATTTACCTCTAGTCAGCGACGACAACTGATTCCGACACCAACGTATAGGCACTCAGTCCTGAGTCTCCGTCCTCAACCTTCCTGCCCGGGCGGATCTGATGCACAGCCTCGCTCGTCCGCTGCGGTAGCTGGTGTTTGCGGCACCCCTGACTTGCCGCCGCCCCCGAGCCTTGGTGATCGACACGACCGGAAGCTTCGGCTCGATGCTGGAGTCCTGCCTCGCCCCATACACACGAGAGCCTCACGCCGAGTGAATGCAACCATTAAACCCCTTCCTCGGCGCCTTCTTCAAAAGCTCGCTGCCGGCCCAATGCAGTCCTGCCACCCACCACGTCCTGCTTGTCCCCGCGACTGATGTGCTCCTCACGTCCCGCGATGCCGAGAGCGGCGGCTCTTTGGCCGAGTCTGTCGCATCCGAAGAGTTTCTAGCGAGCCATGTGCTTCGCATCCCTCCTCTCGCCATAGGCAAGGAGGGTGCGCAGGCGCAGAACCTCTGTGAGATGAGGGGCAAGGCGAAACAGTACAACACGGTGAATAATCGCAGCATCGTGGTCAAGGACAACCTGGTGTACAGCAACAAAGGTAGGTCATATCCCACCTAGCTCCTCACCTGGAGAGGCCAGCCACCCATTCCTAACCAGAGACCACCGTGCTGGCCATCAGGCTTCAAGAACCTCGCCCATGCGACCCTCCTCGGCGATGCGATATGGTATTCGGACACGCTCGAACCCCGGCCATGGCTGGTCTACTACATCTCGCAACCTCTCGTCGGCTTCTGGGAGGAAGTCAAGATCGTTCCCGCCATTGTCCCTGGCCGTCCTCAGATAGCCGTACTGCCAGAGCCGGCCGCTTCTCCATCCTCGTCCAACGCTCGCAACGGCCCGGCTGCTCCGCGCAAAAAAGACATCAAGAGCTTCCACGACCTCCTCAGCCACTTCCCTATAATAGCGCGGCAGATGCAGCCCGGCTTGGAGAAGCTCCTTCGTGAATTCACTACGGCCTTCGAGCGCCCTCTCCCTCCGCCCCCGTCGTCGCCGTACATACCCGATCCGGAGCCTGACGGTCCCATCACAACAGCGATTAAACGAGCGAGGTCAAACAGTACCTCTGCGAGCAAAAGCCCTGTCATTGACGAATCCAGTGCTATACCCAACCCCGAAGACATATTTTCTGACGACGACGAGGATGTCATGAGAACCTCCCTCGAAACAGCCGTCACCGCCGCCATCGATCTATTCCAATCTGTGGATAAACAGCAGCTCTCTCTCCTCGGGGCAACGACGGATCTCACCGGGCCAGTGGCTGAGAGGCTGATAGAGCGATATGTGGCGGAGCATGTCCACCACGTCCTCTTTGTCAGACTTGTGGCGCTCAAGCAGCGGGAGGATCTGGAGCTGGATGCCAAGATTCGCCAGATGGGCTGTATCGACATGTCTCAGCTCGGACTGCCCATCGAAGGTGGCTCGCGGGGGAGGCGCGAGCTCACGGCCAGGCTTGGACAGGCCGTGGAGGAGTTTAGAAAAATCGTCGATGCCCCATGTCCTCAAGACATGATGGAGGTGCTCCTGTCGACCCTTAAAACGGTGACGTACGTGACAGACTCACCGCCACAGGCCGTCAGTCATAGCGCTGGCTCAGCGCCCCCAGAAAAGCCGATACTCACGATAAACGCCGACACGCTCGTATCCCTGCTGCTCTTTGTCATTATTCGATCCAGGGTGCACCAGCTCCAGGCGCGGCTCTCATACATCCGACACTTCATTTTTATAGACGACGTTGAGAACGGCGAGATGGGTTATGCTCTGAGCACTCTAGAGGCCGTCTTGGTTTACCTGGATCGAGACTCCGGGGCCCTCCGCCGCTCGAGCCGTCGCAACCAATCATTATGGGACGCTGCAGCGAAAGGGGATGTTCGAGAGTTAGGCAGGTTGATGGAGCCGGGCGCCTATGCATCATACAGCGAGGAGGTTGTGGAATCTCCACCTTCCAGCCGACGCGCCTCCAGCAGCGACTTCTCTATGTCCAACGGGGTACACTCTCGACAGTCGTGCGACATCCTCTCCATGTCTGAAAAGTTCTCACTGGGCTCCAGCCTTGCCCACGTCTTCCCGTTCCGCGCGAATGGGGTTGATGGCACCGGAAACTCTAGCTTGCTACCGGTGAAACGGGTCAAGAAGGTTGCCATGGACATGCGGAGCATGTCTAGCGGATCTGAGTTCTCCTTCCACTCCCGGGCTACTAGCGTCGGGACCCTAGGCAGCGTCTTCGAGGCCGACACGTCTATGGAAACGCTGTCGCAAACACACAACCCCAGAGGCGAGTCAGTGCTCATGATCGCGGTGCAGAACCAGAGACATGATACGCTCGAGTATCTCTTCTCACTGCCCGGCCTGTACACAGCCCAGTTCGTGCTTGACGACAGGAACAATGAGGGAACCACGCTCCTTAGCGCCGCCGTGCAGTTGGGCCACGCGGAGCTCGTCAGGGTCATCATCGGCTTCCTTGAAAGCGCCGGCATCGACCAGCGGGGCCTCACAGAGTATTTCGCAGTGCAAGACATATGGGGTCGCAGCGTTGGGCACTACCTCTTCCATGCGCCCTTCCTCATCGATGACTTTGGGGCATTGGTGCCGTGGCGACAGAGAGACAAAAACGGGCAGACGCCCCTCTTTGCGCTTTGTCGGTCTTACGACCACGCCATGTACCTCCAGATGGTTGGCGGTGCCATTGACGCGGCTACCTACTCCCAGGCTGATGGACGGCCGCTTCACTTGGATCAGCACGTCGACGCCAAGGGCAACACGCTGCTCCACATCGTCAACAACGCTCAACTGGCACTCCGGATCCTGCAGAGCTGCGACGTCGACGTGAATGCAACGAACGAGAAACAATTCACCCCGCTCATGGTTGCCAGCAAATACGGTCGCTTCGAGATGGTACGGGCCTTCTACAGCGACCCTCGCATCGACTTCGCGGCCAAGGAGCTGCGCGGACTGACGGCGGTCGAGCTGGCCAAGGACGACGACGTGCGGAACAAGATCGATGACCTCACGCTCTTTTCGATGCCGGCTGGGCCCGACATGCGGACCACAGCTGTGGTACGAGCCTACTTTGTCGAGGATGCTACCATCAGGTTTGTGCTCAAGTCCGGTGCACCTGTCGACAAGCACAGCTACGCCGTGACCACTTGCCGCAGGTCTCTTGCCGACTTTGAACATCTGGCCAGCCTTCTGGCCATGGAGAACCCGGCGTCCTGGATACCGTCAATCACCGGGCTCAGGTCTCCGTTCCAGCTGCCGTCCAAACCTAGCCGGGCAGCGCTCAAGGACCTGCAAATGCGCATGGACTGGTTCTTGCGCATAATGTTGACGCATTCAACCTTTGCGACTCACGAGATGTTGTGGGAGTTCTTTCTCGTGCCAGATCTGCAGGCCGACATGATGGACCAGCGCAGCATTCTCAAGGCCGAGACAAGGGCGGAAAAGGTCCGGGAGGAGCTGGAACCGCTGGACGATGTCCGCGAGGTGGAGCGGTTCGTCGACCACGCGCTCGAAATGGTCCGCAGCGTGGACTACTCGACCAAAAGCGTCGGCAGGCGGATGAATACTGTGGGCATTGCTGCCACCGGTAAGCTCAAAGCCCGACCTCTCACCCTACCCACGCCTCCTGCTCCTCCTGCGAAGCCCATCACGGGGAGAGACTGTTTAGGGCCGGCGGGAGAGGAAGGATGTCAATTCGTTCCTCTTGTATTTTGGCTGACCGTAATCGCCTGTGGTTATAGACTTTTTCACATCATGTCGCATATTCCAACGTGCGCTTGCCACGTTGAGTTTCTTGCCTGGGTCTCACCTTGCGGCATTTGAGATTTACGCCAGCGCCATGGCGCCACCGACGATCAGCCCCCATATGAGCTTTCATGCCGCTTTTCTGGCGGTACAGTCAACAATAGAAGCCATATTGGCGGCGCTGGCGCGACCGCACAAGCTGATCAGCCAAATCGAAAGCACGCGACGACAGGCCGAACGTAACTATAATTCCCTCAACCGGTCAACCAGGTGGCCTCTGGGCCTGCTGGACGACACGCGCCAGCGGATGAACGAAGAACGTGAGGAGAAGCTGCGGCAGAGTCAGATGGAAGGGAGAAACTTGTCCAAGGAACTCAAGTACAGTCAGCAGGTAGTGGCTGGAGAGTTAGCGGGCTGGCAAGACATGCACGAGAAGGTGGGCCGGAAAGCTATCAGAGACCTGGCCAGGGGCATGGTCGTGATGGAGCGGATGAGGCTCGAGGGCATCCGTAGGGCGCTGAGGATGGTACAGGAGTCGGGGCGGTCATCGGAATCGAGCGGCTGGCCCTTGGGTCCTCCAGACCTCTCGGGGTCGAGCGCCCAGGATTCACCAACAAGCGGTGAGGGCCGGGTAATGGGAAATGGTGTCGGGGAGCCGTGACCGACCAGGGGCGGTCCTCATGGCCAGGCGACACAGTGACTAACGGACGCGCCTCAAAGGGACGCGTTACATCAAGCAGCACGCGGCTAATGGGTCCGACGATGTGTCGGGCCCAGTCTTCGGCGGCGAACCAGCGAAGCCGGACCGGAGAGGTAGATCAGGGAGGATCACGTCGGAAGCCCACGCCGATATACCGATATCATGTACTAATTCGTGGCTGTAACGAGCTAGAGCCGGGCTGAATACAAGCTGGATTGGGGGCTCGGAGACTGTCACACAAGGTCGAATACAAGACCTGCCGGCGTCCTGGGCTGGCAGATGACTCCCTCGGTAGGTAGGTGCTCGCGAGGCTTGCAGGAGGGCTGGAGATGCACATGGGCGGGCGTGTTTCAGGGTAGACCAAGTTGGACAAGCAGCAAATGCGGGCATGGGATCGCTTGGTGTGAGTCAGAGGGGAGCCCATGGATGTTGGTGACCGTAGAGGCAGACAAGCTCCCAACCTTCCGACTTTGCAGGTCGCACGATGGGTGAAGCTAGCACAACGGACCGGAGCTGCAGCTCTCTCTTCCTAGGCGCAGACCGGACCCAGGGATCGGCAGACCGGAGACCACCAGGACAAGAGTCAAAGGACCAAAAAAGGGCCGGCCATGCGGAGGTTTCGTGGGTCCTCCTCCTTCCCCCACCCGGTGTGGCTTCCTTTCTGATATGCCGCATCTGCACGAATCCTTGGGGGATGGAGGCACTCAACTATGGTGAGTCACCCAACGGGCAGCGACAAGGGGGTTGAAAATGTTTCGAAACAAAAAGAGGGCTGGGGAAACATGGGTCTGGATTGGATGCGCGCAGGCCAAGGTGCTGTTCTTTTCCACGCACTAGTGGTGGATGCATGCACATGCAGTCTGGGTTCATGCAGCAGGGAGCCTAGAGCTGCCCCATTGGCTGTCGCGGTCGCGCCAGAGGAGCACGAGCTCGGCTGGACGTGGGTGGGGTCGCGTCTGGAGACGAGACTTTGTTTTTTCCGTCCATTGCTCTTCTTATTGTTATTACCGTAATCGTCTTCCGCAACTCGCCGCTCTCCTCTTGATAACCCCAGCCACAGTCCTAGTTTCAGTTAGGCGAGAGAAGTGCGGCTACAATTCAGCACCAGCCCAAGGCTGCGGTCAGGATACGCACCAATGTGAAAGAAATGAAGCAAATAGACTGAAATATAGAGTTGACCAATGAATATCATTTACATCAATATTTGAGCCAAAGGGAATTTCAAACGCGAATCCGCCTGGAGCAGTGACACACCGTAGCTGGCGTCTAAACATCAGTGTTAATTTCGGTGTACGGCTTCCCGCGCAGGTGACTGCCGAAAGGTCATGTCGAGACACTCCCGGCTGCTGATGGCCAGGCCACCTGGACGGGATATACGGCTCCCGAGGCCCTGCTGCACTGCTGCACGGCAGATGAGGGCCAGGTGGCCGTCTCTGGCCTTGGGGCCTCTAGCAATCTCGCGAGGCGCCTACCAAGAGGGCGAGTCGCACACCGGATGTCGTATGCGCTTGCAAAAAAAAAAAAAAAAAAAGGCATATTCGGTGTCCACATCCAAGGCCTGTCTGCCTTGCTCGCCCCCCCAGCCGGCCTGGAAACGACGATGACGACGGCGACTATGACAGAGTCGCGTGCCGCCGCATTGCAAAGACCCGGCGGCCAAATGGGGCGGTGCAGATTCCCTCTCGGTATAGACGGCAATTTCCCCTTCGCGCGCCTCAGGTCAGACAACAGGCCCAAGACGCTGGGGGTTTTGCCTTTTTGTTGTAAGCGCCCGGCTCGGATGCGGTAATACCCTTGCGTGCGGGACCCTGGGCCGGGTGGGCGCAGCAGGCACTACCGCCGCGTGAGATTATCCAAGGTCGTAGCCGCCCGCGGTTAAGACGAACAAGCGGCTAGCCGCTCTGGCGGTAATCGCCCAGTCGTGTTCCAGACGCTTTTGCCCTGGCCGCTGGGCCCACACCCCGCCGTGCACCCTGTGCGGATCGCCCGCCAGTGACGAGCGCGCAAGCCGGGGGCGTGTCCACCGCCGCGGGCCGCCAGGGGCACCCCTCTTTTGTCTTGCGCAGTGTTTGGTCCTTCTAAACGCGCTCGTTCTTTTGCGGTTCCCCAGCGCAATTTTGCCTACCGCTGACGGATATTGCAATATCGATAGTCGCCTCGCCCTGGACGGCCGAAGCCTTGGATGCTCTGGGAAAACTTTGGGCAACACGACATAGCAAAAGACCCGTCGAATCTCGGGGTCCCGCCGCCAAAAATAGCTAGGTCGAGAGCAAAGGTTGAGGCAAGCCCTGCCAGGGACGCCATTGCCATGTCATACGCAGACGCAGGAGACGCTGTCCACACAGGGTCTGACCTGTCCCTGTGGGTTTACGCCGGTTCGCTGCCCCAGAAGGGGTGGTGGTGGTGGTGGTGCACCGCTGCCCAAGCTCCCAAGTGCGATGGAGGGCAGCAGAGGAGCCCGAGCTCGACAACACGGCTGCGTCGCGGGGGTGCATGCCACGCCTGCCACGCCAACATCGGGCTGGACGGATAGGTATCCCTAGGAAACGACCGCACCCGTGGCGCGCCCAAGGCGAGGCGACAAACCGCAACCGCGTGTCGGGCGTGGAGAGCACGAGCGATACCGACTTTTCTCGCGAAGCCCTCTCCCCCCACCTCTACACGCACAGATCCTGGCCAGGGTAGCACTGGCGAATGCGTCTAAATATGGGTGAGTCAGAAAGGCGGGCTCCTGGTTGGCTGCCCGCATGCCATGGCAGCGGGCATCGAATTGGAGGTGACTCTTCTCCCAAGATGCACTGGGGGCCTTGGCCGCCGACTCCCGCTTATACCTAGCACTGTGCTCCAGGCGGGTGCATGGCGCGGTTCCCACAGTCTCAACCGCACAACCGCACCGTCTTGGTCGTTTGCTAGAGCCCAGCACCCCGGCTGGCACCGTCCGGCCCAGAGGGCATCTGCAGCCTCCCAGTGGTCAACGCCTCCCCCCTGTCGACCCCCCCTCCCCAGCAGAGCTACCCCCAGTTGGGCGGGTGTCACTGTGGTTGCTGGCACGAATACTACGCCGGCAGTGGCCCGGCCTCTAGCCATGATTATCCGCCAGGCCAGGCCAGACCTCGCCTCGCACGATACCCTCCCAGGTGCGTCGAACGGGGCTGGCCACATCGTGGCCGTCTACTGATGCGTCTCCCGGATGGCTTGATCGTGCCTCCGCGTTTCAGGTTTATTTTGATCCAACTGGTCAGCCCTCTGGTATTGGTGATGCAGTCTCTGACCAGCCGAGGCGGCCGTGGCCCATTATCATAAGTACGCCCGCTGCCCCACGACTTGGGAATACCGTCTTCTCCTGTCCTCACAGCCAGTCCTTCCAAACCCACAGCCGTTTCTTGTCTCATCTCCTTCCTTCTCTTTTTCTCTCTCCCCCTCTCCTTCCTCACCCCTCCTCCCGGGCTTGCCCGTCTCTCGACCCTCAGCCAATCATTCCTCCACCACCGCTCCCTTCCCCATCCCGACTTCTCTGGAGAAGTCTCAGCCAAACCAGCCCCCGGCCGCCGACCACCAAGAGTTTCGTCTGTGAAGCAGGACTTCCCGAGCTCGACATCGATACTGCGGCATCGTAATACCCCACGACATAAACCAGCGCATATACCCCCATACCCTTGCTCTTCCCGCAAGGCCCAATATTGCCCAACATGTCCACGTGAGTACTGATATCTCCTCTCCAACACGCAAACCTCTGCTTGGCGCAGCCCGAAACTGACATGCCATATTCTTTCGTCCGATGATAGTCTGGCAGCGGATCTTTCCTTTGACTTCACATTCCCGCCCTGCGAGCCTACCACACCTCCGAGCTTCTCTTTTGACCCGTCGCTTCTTGACATCCCGTACAACCCTGGACATGCTCGGTCCAGCTCGCAAGGCTCCGTCTACTCTTTCGAGTCGTCGCCCCCCGACTCGACACTTGACTGCCCAAGCACGCGGATGACCACGCCGGCGAGGTCACCTATCCGCACCCACGGTCCCCTGTTGCTGCCTAAGATCCGGAGCCAGGACCAGGCGATCGGCCACGCGGCCCCTCGCCCCGTCACAGCCTCCCCTCTCAAGCGCATGAGGATATCTCCCGCCCCGAGCCGCCCCAACAGGTTCAGGCCCAGCCACGCGCGCAGCTACACCAACCCGGAGACCATTCGGTACAGCTCCAATGTCTTTTGCCCTCAGCCCATGGCCGTGCAGCCCCTGCACGTGTCGGGCATGATCGAGGATGCCGCCAGCTCGTCGCAGCTGCTGTGTTCCCCCGTGTCCTTCGCCCCATCACAAGAATCCGCCATCGCCATGCCGCCAAGGCGTGCGTCTTCGTGCGGCCTGGTCGACGGCTTCCCTGTGTACCGGCAAATGTCGTCGTTCAACATGGCTACCACCACGGCGCCTGGATCCATGTCCGTCATGCAGCCGCAGACCCTCATGCCCCAGGCGGACTCGTCCTTCTTCTACCACCACCAGCCACAGCAGGCGTATGCCCCTCGCGAGTCCTCCCCGCTCGCGTCGGCTGCCTTCACTCCCGAGGTTTCGGCCCCCACGCCTGGCCCAACCCGCACACTCCTTTCGTACCTCTCCAGCGCAAACCCGGCTCCGGCCCTGGTGCGCACCATCTCCTTCCCTCTCAGGGACCCGCACACGAAGCACTTCTGGTGGGACGTGCGGCAGGTGCGGCCGTGGACGAGCTTCAACGCCTCGAGCGTCTTGGCCCTTCCCGGCGCCGCCGCTCTCCTCTCCATGCCGGTGCCGGCCTCGCTCCTGCCCAGCGCGCCCGTGACACAGCGCCACCCGGAGACCGAGGCGGCACTGCACGCGGCCTACGCGAGCTTCTACCTGCCCAAGCTCAACGCTGCGCTGGCCTTGTCGAGTGACAGGCCGCTGCAGCTGTCAGTGCCTACCAAGAGCGGCGCGGCGGGCGCGTCGTCGTCCGAGTGCGCCTTTGTGGCCAACGTCAGCGGCGAGTCATCGTCGGCGGCGGCCATCTTCGGCGGCAAGCCGACGGGCCGCGTGGTGGGCCTCGTCAAGAGCTTTGACAGGTTCAACACGGGCATGCGCGTCGAGGGCAACATCAAGCGCGTCGAGTACCTCAGGGGGCTGGCACACCTGCACCACGTGATGCGTGAGCACGGATGCCGCTACGGCTTCATCCTCACCGAGATCGAGCTCGTGTTTGTCAGGAACGGCGCCGAGGGCACTCCGCACTTTGGCTACCTCGAGGTGGGGAGCACGCAGCTGGCGGCGCAGGGCGGCGACGAGGACGCCGGAAACGGCCTCTCCTCGCCTTCGCTCACGGCCTGCCTGGCGCTCTGGGGTCTCTGCATGCTCGCCGGCGACGAGGCCGCCCCCGGCCACGCGCACTGGCGCAGCGAGATCGGGGCGCCCGCCGAGGGGACGCGGCGCAAAGCCCTCCCCCGCGACGACTGGATGCCGCAGCCACAGCTGGCGGAGAAGCGTGAGGCCAAGAGGGCGCGCGGCTGGGTGCTTCCCGAGGACGCCGTCGGGCGCAAGGAGCTCGGCAAGCGGGGCGTGAGGTATGGCGGCTGCTGAGAAGGTGCGAGCAGCTAGGCGGCGGTTTCTTAATCATGGCTGGTTCCACGAACCCCCGCCTGGCTCTGATACTGGCTTACTCTTAATACCTCTCTTTATACTGGCC